CCCCACGTGCCATTGCTGCCTTCCCTAGTCCATTCTTTCCGACGACGGGTTCCTGCTTTGCTCCCACTGCCCGTGCCGTGTCCAGACCAGACTCTCAGATTAAGCCGGACGTGACTTTGAGGGGATTTTTCTCATGTAACGGTTTCCCCCCCTCATCTTAGCAGCATGTGGCACGCAGGGGAGCAGCCACTGGGACTCACATGGCGTTCAGCTTGCTGCCCACCAAGCCAGCCCTGGGAAGGTTTGGGCAGGGAGGCGGGAGGGGCACCACGGGGCGGGGGCAGAGAACCAGGGGGGTTCAGACTGCAAGAGGCTAGATCAGACCAGGCCCCCTGGCCAGTCTCCTCTCCACAGAGACAGCCAAACGCTTCCCCCGCCACCACCTGGGGGACCCTGCAGCTGGCTTGTGCCTGCAGCCTCAGGGACCTGAGGGGTTTTGCTTCTGAGCCAGTATCTCAGCTGCTGGCCTCAGGCCAGAGGTGCCGTCCCTCCTGCTGAGAGAACACCTTGGGCTTCAAAGCCGCTGTTTTTGTGCTGCCAGAACTGGGTTCCAGATACACCCCGACACACTGCTGTGTGGAGGGGCGTCTGTGGGTCTGTGTCTGCCCCTTGGGGCCAGACCTGGTGGTCGTGGTGCCCAACTGGGGGTTTTCACGGGAGAAGTAACTTCAGAAGCCTTTTCCTGCTTGATTATTTCCACTGCTCCCGTTCACAGAGCTGCTTTTTAAAACCACGTAGCTTTGATCCCTAGGAGGAGAGGAAGTGTGTGCCCGGAGGCATGAAGGGTACCAGCAAACCGGGAAAATTCCAGAATTCCGGGTATGCTGAAGGAAGTTCTGACTTGTCAGGACACTTCCCTCTGCGGAGCTTGACAAAGCGGGTGGTGACTTATTCTCCATCAGCTCACAGATATTTACTAAAGACCCGCCACAGATGAAAGCTCTCCTGCTGCCAGAGCCCTCAGGCTTCCTGCTGGCCCACCTCCTTGGGCTGAGGAGTTGGGTATGAATAGTGTTTCTGTGGCCTCTGCTTCAGTGGCACCTCTCCCTCATCCCTTAGGGCGGTGGCCCGGCCCCACACCTCGTGGCCTTTACTCTCAGAGCCACGTGGGATCCAAGCTGCCTGGAGTCCAAGTGCCGCCCCCGTCGGCAAGCATTTCGTACTCACAAGGGCCCAGGCTCTGGAAATCATCCCGACACGGGGGCCACTGGAGGTTTCTGGGCAGGGACGGACAGGAGGCTTCAGCGTGGCAGTGCACCGTGCACGTTACCTCCCCAGAAGCACCCTTGGCTTGCCTTTCCAGAAAGGGCGTCAGTTAGCCAAAGAGTGCACCCTCTGGTGTGTCTGCCAGCAGCTCTGAGTCAGGGGCCCAGGGCCCAAGCAGAGAAAGGAGACTCGAGAAAGCCAGCGGCTTCGTGTGTCGGCCGGGTAGCAGGCCATCCTGGGCTCTGCCCGTGTCGTGGGCTCTCCAAGTCATGAGACAGAAGACCATAAAGGAAACTAGAAGGGGCTGCTCTGAGGTGTTTGGCAAGCGGCTCCCAAGTGTTGGGAGGCCAGCAGGAAGGGGAGTAGCAATTGGAAGGGATGTAGAGGCGAATGAGTCCATCCCTGTGTCGCTCCCTCCCGTCCCTGTGCCGTCCTCCCCGTTCAGGAATTTCTTAGCCCTGCCCAGGAGTCATTGCAGTTGCCTCCCGGGACCTCCCACGTTTGGGCATTCTGCACACAGGCAGTCTGCCTCCTCCCCACAGCCTCGGAGGCCCCGTGCCCTTCTGGCAGATCCTGCATTGCGGGGAGCAGTGAGGGACGGACCGACCAGTCCAACAGCTCTGGGCGCAGCTCCCAGCTTCTCTACTTTCAGCTCGCAGCCTTGCTGTTCCACCTCTTACCCCGGGGGTTTCCTCATCTGTAGAATGGGTGTGCAGGTCCCTGCATTGTCATTGCAGAGGGGTGACAATCAATGGCAGGATGTATGCAAAGCGCCCGCACAGTGCCTGGCACGTGGAGGATCAGGAATGGCAGCCCCTGTGCCCCTGAGCCTGGGTCTCACCCAGAACACCATGTCCCTGCCTGGCCAGGCTCTGCCTGCTGGAACCCTGCCCTTTGAGGTCCAGCTTGGACAGCACTGGCCCCCGCAGCTCACCCAGCCAGGAGCATGTTTGGCGTGTTTAAACCTCCCTTGCAGCTCTTATCACTGTGTCTCTGTTGTTCTTATCTCCCTCGCCAGAGGGGCGCTCCTCAAAGCCAGCACAGCCTCTGCCCTGGCAGCGGGTAGCGGGCCTGCCCACCCCCTCCCGACGGTGGTCGCTAACTGGAGCCGGAAGTGCTCACACCTGACAGCCTTGGGTCACAGCGCCTCAGCCACAGGGCATTCACTGGCCCAGACCCGAGAATGGCCGGAACGGGACCGCATAGCAGGGCGGCTGGGCCTGGACCCCAAGGCTCTTTCACCCCCATCGCTTTTTCTTTTCTTTTTTAAATTTTATTTATTTTTATAAATTTATTTATTTGTTTATTTTTGGCTGCGTTGGGTCTTCATTGCTGCGTGCAGGCTTTCTCTAGTTGCGGCGAGCGGGGGCTACCCTTCGTTGTGGTGCACGGGCTTCTCATTGTGGTGGCTTCTCGTTGCAGAGCGTGGGCTCTAGGCACGTGGCCTCAGTAGTTGTGGCACGTGGGCTCAGTAGCTGTGGCTCGCGGGCTCTAGAGCGCAGGCTCAGTAGTTGTGGTGCACGGGCTTAGTTGCTCCGTGGCATGTGAGATCTTCCCAGACCAGGGCTCGAACCTGTGTCCCCTGTGTTGGCAGGCGGGTTCTTAACTCCTGTGCACCACCAGGGAAGTCCTTCCATGCCTTTTAGTCCAACTCTCCAGCCAGTGCCCGAGAGCAGCTGCCCCCAACGCGTGCCCCCTCCGCCTGGCGCTGGGCTCCTCACTGATGAGGAGGGAGGGAGAGGCGGGGGCTGCTCTGTTGTAGCACGGGGTGGGGGCAGGGAGAAGTTAGCCAGGCGGAGGGCAGGAGGGGAGTTGGGGGAGTTGGGAGAGGATGGGGACCTCCGCTGTTAACCTGGAGCGTGGCAAGCGGCCCCACAGAGCATATCGGCTGGACGAGGCGCGAGGGTGCTGAGCAGGACGTGCAGAGCATCCATCCTGCGTTGCGAGGCCCTGAGCAGCCCTGCTCTTCTCTCTCCCGGCTCCTCTGTGCCAGCCTCCTCCTGCTGCTCTTTTTACTTAAGCTCTTAATTCGTCAAAGTGGATCGTCTGCCCCGGTCACCGAGCCTGCAGATCGGCTGTTTATTTTCCATATCATATTGATCAGGTTTCCCCGCTGAGATGACTCAATTACAAGGCCTCCCGTTGGTGCAGGATTCGAGCTTCCGCTGCCCCTGAGGGGCCACTGCAGCGTGCCTGCCTGGTCTGGGGCAGCCGTTCGTCCCCACGTCCCTCCCTGGGGGAAAGAAGGTTCTCCTGCCTTCCTGTTCTCTGCTCGACTCCTGGAGCGGCTGTCCTGCCGGCTCTTGGCATACGATGTCTTGTGTTTTCAGATTGTTCCACTGCGCGTTCTTTGTTTCTCTCCCGCGTGTCAGATTCCTCGCTCCTCTCCAAACATGGCCAAGGCTAGAAGGCTGAAGAACGCCAGTCCTTGAGAGAACAGCCCCTTCTCCGAGTGGTCTTTATTATGAGTGCCCACGGGTACCTTGCATGGGTGGAGGTCGTGTAGGTGCTCAGGGATGAAGCCCCATCTCCGTTCCAAGTTTGCTCACTTTCCAGGTGCCTGGGGCAGGTGTCCTCAGACCACACGGCTCCACTGCTTCTCTGTGTGAGAGCCTGAAGTGGGTGCCCTCTGCCTGTCGCAGTCACTTGGGGGTCGTGTCGTCGTAAATCTGACCATTCAGAGTCCAGGTGGGAGCTGGGCTGGGGCCGTCGCTGGCGGAGCAGTCCGAATGGGTTAGCACACGGGGAAGCGAACAGGTTGGGGTCCTTCCACTTTCTGGCTGGTAGTAACCACCTCTGCAGTCTAAGCTGCAGTTTGAACTGAGGGGGACCTGGAGCTGGAGCCCTGGAGGCGCCTGCAGGCTGAATTGCAAGCAGGGCACGCTCCTCTCAGAGGTTAGAAATAATATAAGGGCAGTAACATAGGTCAGACCAAACATACGGTGGGGGGTTGGCTCATGCAGTTTCCCGGAGAGGTACCGCCAGAGGGACAGGCTGCAGAGGGAGCCTCCTGCGGGGCAGAGGTGTGCACTCCCTGGTGGGTCGTGCGCAGGCCAGCAATACCTCGATAGAGCCGCCATCACAGGGTACGGACAGACACAGGAAGGCCCGCGCTCAGAGGGTCACAGAGCAGCAGTCACTCAGCAGTCCCACCTGGTGGCTGGTCTCAGAACCACTCGTGGACCTTTTTTCCAGACAGCTGCCCGGCCTCCTTAGAAAGGACCCTGTTCTGGGCCTTCATGGGACTCACGGTCCCTGAGCGCCCTGCCAGGGCGGAAGTGAAGCCAGGCGTGCAGGTGGGGAGCCAGGCTGAGATCTGAGAGGCCCGTGTGACGGGCAACAGCGAGTTCATCTCCGAAGGCCGCTGCCAGCTTTGGCCGAGCGCAGCCTCTCCACAGCGACCCCTCAGCCCTGGCTGTCACCTGGCGGGGGTGGCTGGGGCCGTGGCTTGGCCTGGGCCCCACGTTCCCCCAGGGAGGCACCCATATGGGTTTCACAGTGGCAGCCAGTGTGGGCCCACTGCTGGTGACTCAGGCTCCCACCCAGCTGGGCAGGCCCAGGAGGCCATGATTTCCACACCGCCGTGGTCACAGCCCTGCCGGAGAGTGGGCAGCGCTCACCCACCCCCTCTGCTGCCTCCCCCACCCCGGGGGGGGGTGCCTTGGCTGACGGGGCCAGCCCCTCTGCACTGCGGGCCGGAGTGGGGGGGGGGGGGGCGGCAGCTGCAGAGAGAAGAGTGGGCTTCAGCCCGCGGGGCCTCTGCCAGGGCTGCGCCTCAGTTTCCTCTCCCGCAGCCGGGGAACACCGTCAGTTGTGGGGAGTGCTGGATGCAGACGCTACACGTGAAGGTGTTACTTCCATGGTGGTGCTGCTGCTCTTGCCGGCCCCGAAAAGGTGTGTGCGGGGTCCCCGAGCAGGACCGAGCGGCAGAGTCCTGGCCTCCCACACAGATGGGGCACTCCCCGCCCTCCGGCCTCCTCCTGGGGGCTCCCCAGGCCCCTCCTCTGGAGCACAGCCCAGCACTCAGCACAGCCTCCCTTTGCTGATGCTCTTGCTGTGGTTGGCATGTGGCTTGCTTTTTCCCACTTTTCCCTTTTGGCCTTTTGTCATCCTTTCATCCACTTGTGCCAGTTCCAGACTGTGGGCCTTGGAGAGAAGGGACCTGGGGCAAATCAGCCTGAGGGACTGGAGCTTGGAGCTCCCAGGTGGGGGTAGGGCGAGGAGACTGGTAGGGACCCAGATGTTCCCAGCACAGCCCCCCAGGTGCCAGAGCAAGGAGGCCCCACATGGGAGCTGTCAGAGGGCTCCCAGGGAAGATGGGGAGGTGACACTCCTGGAGGGCCTGGAAGAGGCTGTGGGGTCTGCCTGTGCCCTCTCCCCTCAGAGAAAGGATGTAGTCCCCGCCAGCAGGGGCTGCTCCCTGGGGGCGCCCATGTCCCCTGTACTGAGCAGGCCCTCGGCCCGGAAAGTGTGGTTTTTGAGCCCCAGCACTTCAGCTACCCTTTCAGTTCACCAGAAGTGTCTTGTCTCACATCAGACACCTAACTCATTTCCCTCTGGCAACCACTGAATTTGAGAACGTCCTGTTTTACCATAATCAAAAGAAGTGAAACTGCCCCATGAAATAAAGTATAACACCCCAGAAACACCTAGGAGAGACCAGGGTCTTTCCTTATAAAGTCAAAAATGGGAGGGCAGCCCCTGCCTGCCCTTGGAGGTCCCCCAGATACTGGTGCATGGTGGAGGGGCCCTGAGCCAGCCCTGCTTCCTTTCTGTGCCCCATCCCCTCCTGGGCTCCCGGGGTGCAGCTGCCATGAGAACACTGACTTGCAGGGGCATGGAGCTCCCCCCAGACTCCCCTTGACCCCCGGGGGGAGAGGCAGGGATAAAGGCCTATAGGCTAGGTCTGCCCTACAGTTCTGTGGTTCCCCTGGAGAACCAAGATGCGTGGGGAAAGTAACAGCAGTCATCGGTGTGGGCAGCATGGGTGTCGCAGGAGTACCCCAGAGCACACACTTGCACACAGCAGCCTACGGCAGCCTGGCCGCAGCTTGGTGGGTGCACACCTGTCACCCCATTTTACAGAGGTGAAAACTGAGGCCCAGTGAAGCTGATGGCCCAAGACCACACAGGTTAGGGTTAGGGTGCCTTCAGGAGCCCCGGGAGCGGTCCTGACAAGTGGGCAAAGACTGCTGCTGGCCACCAGGAAATTGTGTGTGTGTTTGTGTGTGTTCACACCCGTGCACGCAAGAAGTGACTTCTGGGCACCACAGTTGGCCCGTGTGGGGCAGGTCTTCCCTCCCACTCGGCGCTTGTCCCATGGCAGTCCTCATGTTCATTTGGCCTCAGGACCTGTTCGCCTCTCAGAGGTGCCCCTGGCGCGTGCAGACCCTTGGTCCCCGAGAGTCCTTCGCAGAGAGGCAGGAGTTCAGTGGGAAAGGGAGGCCACAGTTCCCTGAGCAAAGGGGCTTCCGTGAGCCTCGGCGTCTCGCTGAACCACAGCAGCCCCGTCCGGGTGTGGGCCCCGCGGCCCTGTGAGGGGGGCCCGGACAGTCTGCACAACTCCGCAGGGGTGGGGGACCCTCTTGGGGGCTGCGGAGCTGCCAGCGCAGCCTGACCTGGTGGGCGCAGCCAGGGTAGGCTTCCGGCCGGAGGAGCCCCCGGCCCTGGGTTTGCAGGAGTATGTGGGTTTGGAGCAGGAGCTCGTTTGGCTCCCCGTTTTGCCATTGGCTGCCACGTTCAGCATCCCTGGGAAGCCATCGTGGATGCCTGAGCCCTCGCCCTCCTCCTCTGAGGCTCACACTCTCTTCCCTCCTTTCGTTCCCCAGCTGGTCAGTGAGAAGGTCGGAGGGGCTGAAGGGACCAAGCTGGACGATGACTTCAAAGAGATGGAGAAGGTAACAGGAGAGGGATGCCTGTCTAACGCTGGCAGTGTTACCAGCCCCCATAGGCCCCGGCCCTGGCACCTGGGGGGAGGCGAGGCCTACCGGAAGGGTCTAGGCGGGTCGCAGGCCTCCCCCCAGCCCAGAGCAGGCAGTGGCGGGGGCACAGCACAGCCAACAGCAAGGAGGCAGGGAGGCGAGGCGGCCCCCAGAAGCAGCGGGCAGTTCTTGCGTGGGCTCTGAGGCGGTTGGGGAACTGGGACCAGGGCAAGGGCTGTCCAGGTGCTCCTGGTTTGGCCTCAGACGCCCTGATGGTTTCAAAACCCTACACGTGGACTCCCTTTACAGAAGGTGGATGTTACCAGCAAGGCCGTGACAGAAGTGTTGGCCAGAACCATCGAGTATCTGCAGCCCAACCCAGGTAGGGCACCAGCCAGCTGCAAGGGGTCTGCCCCCAGCTCCTCGGGTCTCTTGTCAGTCCAGAATCTTCTGGTTACCGGAGCATGAAGAAGCAGTGGGTGGGCCCACAGAACTGAAATGCCCAGGGCTAGGCAGGTTCAGGCATGGCTGGATCCAGGCATCCAAAGGATGTCTTCAGGGTCATGCGTTTCCTTTCTGCTTTATCTGTCAGCTCTCGCTTTTCACGGCAACCCTAGCCTTAAATTATCCTTAGAGCTAATGGTCCCAGCAGAAAAGGGCATCTTTTCCCCCCAGTCAACTCTTTGGACCAATTTGAATCAGGTGCCAGGCCCCAGCCACAAGCCTGTCTTTGGAGCATGAGGTGGGGTCTCCGAGGCTGAGAGGGAGGCAGGGACTTTTCCTGGAGAAAAATCCAAATGTTGGTTCCTGTAGTGAAAGGCAGAGGATGCAGGACAGGCAGCAAAAGCAGCTGTGTCCACCTGAGGCCTTCGCTGAGGACAGACTGGAGCTGGCAGAGGTGCAGGCACGCCCCTCACCTCCCGCCCCCAGTAGAGGTCTGCACTGGGGCACCTGTGCCTGTCCACACCTCTACCTGCCTACCCCGCTTCTCTGGGGGTCTCGAGGAGCTGGCCCCCTCTCCTGCCCACTGCCAGTACTCCTGCACGAGGACCAGAGCAGCGGGGGGACATCTCTTCAGGAGGTTCTTCTCACGCTCTGGTTCCTCAGGCCGAGGGAGCACTTCAGAAATAAACAAGCACCCGGGCAGAGGGGGGCAGCTGGCAGTCTGGTGGCTCCTTAAGAGACCACACCCACCCGGCCCCGCCCTCTTCTAGCCTCGCGGGCCAAGCTGACGATGCTCAACACGGTGTCCAAGATCCGAGGGCAGGTGAAGAACCCTGGCTACCCGCAGTCGGAGGGCCTGCTGGGCGAGTGCATGATCCGCCATGGGAAGGAGCTGGGCGGCGAGTCCAACTTCGGTGAGGCCCTGGGGAGGCTGGAGGCGGGGGCGGGCCTGAGAGCTTGGGGCCAGAGTCTCTGCTGCCAGCAGGCTGGCACTTCCCCGTAGCTTGAGGATCTTCTCCAGGGTGGCTGGTCCCCTGGACGAGGGCTGCCTACAGCATCACGGCCATGCAAAAGCCACCCTCCCGGCCCACGGTGGACCTGGGTGCCTTCCAAGAGGTGGGAGGGCGGCTCGTGAACACCTGTCACCACTGGCCCCCGTGGCTCCGGGTCAGACTTAAGGGTCCCTTGTTTCGTTCTCTGTTCTGGTGTCCAGGTCCTTGGCCGTGGGGTGTGCCTCGGCCGCGCAGGCCAAGGCCTCCTGTGACGGCTTCCTCCGCCACCCCATCCTCTCCCCAGGCGACGCCCTGCTGGATGCCGGGGAGTCCATGAAGCGCCTGGCTGAGGTGAAGGACTCCCTGGACATAGAGGTGAAGCAGAACTTCATCGATCCCCTCCAGAACCTGTGCGACAAGGACCTGAAGGAGATCCAGGTATGCGGGGCCGCTCCAGGCCCACCCTCGCTCCTACCCCCTCCCCCCACACATACAGCCCAGGCCAGGTTTCCCAGCGGGAAGGGCTGCAGGGCATCAGGTGGCCCTCCCCGAGGTCCCAGGCACGCGGTGTGACCCTCGTCCCGGCCCCCAGCACCACCTGAAGAAGCTGGAGGGCCGCCGCCTGGACTTTGACTACAAGAAGAAGCGGCAGGGCAAGATCCCCGATGAGGAGCTGCGCCAGGCCATGGAGAAGTTTGAGGAGTCCAAGGAGGTGGCCGAGACCAGCATGCACAACCTCCTGGAGACTGACGTACGTGTGTAGGCCCTGAGCCCCTCCCCGCGTGCACCCACCACACCGGTCTGCCGGGGACCACTCTGGGGGAGCCCCTGAGACACGAGCCCAGCGGCGGTGCCCACTTCCCAGTGCCAGTGGGCAGCCTGTTCAGGGTGTGAAGGGAAGGAAGGGGGAACAGGAGTCCCACAGGAAGCCACTGGCCCACTGAGGCTTTGGGGTCTCCTCAGGCCCTTCACCCTCCTCCGGCTGCAGCTCAAGGGTCAGGCGGGGGCTGGGCCCACGTCTGGAACAATCTGGGAAGGCTTCCTGCAGGAGGCAGCCAGAGATGGGGGCCAGAAGGAGGGCAGCTCTTCAGCCCTGGCTGGTCCCTTGCAGATCGAGCAGGTGAGCCAGCTCTCCGCCCTGGTGGATGCCCAACTGGACTACCACCGGCAGGCCGTGCAGATCCTGGATGAGCTGGCTGACAAGCTCAAGCGAAGGTGGGCCTGGCCCCCTGGCCTTCCCCGCGGGAGCCCCGGCCCACCCTGCTGGCTGGGAGGCCCGGTGGCTGGGTGCTGCGGCTGCCAGGGCAGCCCTGGGGGACCCGTGGGACGCCCCCGCCCCTGGACAACCCAGCCTCACTGTGACACGTTCCTTCCAGAGCAGCGGGGTTACTTCCTTTTCAGAAAGAATCCCAGGCTGCATGAGTCGGGGCGGGGGTCCCAGGAGGGAGCAGGACCTCATCATGCTCATCCTGGTCCCCAGAGGAGAGGCTTGGGATGTCCTGTGGGGAGAGGGTTTGGCCAGCCCTGCCCCTGGGGAGCCCCTTCCTCTCTTTCCCTGTCTCCAAGGGCCATCTTGCAGTCAGCAGCGTCCAGGGCCTAAGAAGGGAAGCCCCGGTGGGCGGTGGTTCCCTGGTGAGGGGTGGGTATCTGTTGGGCACCAGCTCCCCAGCCGCCACTGCCAAGGAGGCTTCTGGGTGCAGTAGGATCAGGCCTGTAGGCAGCCTTGGAGATATGCCTGGGGGCCCCCCTCTCGCCACCTCCCACGTGCATCCCGAGTCCCGAGGCAGCAGCATAAATAGCTGGGGTTGGAGGCGTTGTTCCCTGACCTCGACACGCGAGGGCTCAACAGGTGCCCTGCAGTCGCTCACAGGCGTCCTTCCACATGCAGGATGCGCGAAGCCTCTTCGCGCCCCAAGCGGGAGTATAAGCCCAAGCCCCGGGAGCCCTTGGACCTCGGAGAGCCTGAGCAGTCCAACGGGGGCTTCCCCTGTGCCACGGCCCCCAAGATCACAGGTAATGGAGGAGAGGGCACCACTCTGCCCCAGGCCCCTTCGGGGGAGCCCCTAGCCCGCCACCCATCCAACCGCAGGGCCAGTTCTCTGCACAAGGAGCCCCAAGGATGGGCACCAGGCCCCACGCCAGCATTCTCAGCCCACCTCTGTTCTTTGCGAGCAGCTTCGTCATCTTTCCGATCTTCCGACAAGCCCACCCGGACCCCCAGCAGCAGGAGCATGCGTGAGTGTCCCCAAGGGGCCCAGGCCCTGCCCCGTGCCCCTGCCTCGGTTTATGATGCCGCCTGCTAATCTGTGCCCCAAGGGTCCTTCTCCACCCCTTCTCTGGTAGAAGTGGAGCTGGGCTTCCCTCTGTTCCAAGTGGTACCCTGAGAGCTATGTGCTTCTGGTCACTATCACCCTGATGCCACTGGGTGTCCCCAGCTCCTCCCAGGAGCGTTTTGGTGACGACTCACAGAGCCCTTTTCCCTCCCCTTGTCACTTGGCTCCTCCTGATAGCAGTGGGGGCCACAGGGGAGAGAGCGGCTCTCCTTGGGGGAAAGCAAGGAGCAGTGAGTAGGCAGGACAAAGGGGTGGGGGGGGGGGGGAGAGGAGGCGACATCCCCCTGCGCCCCCACAGGGGCAGGTGACAGCCTGGACCTCCCCCCGCCCCCAGCGCCCCTGGACCAGCCGAGCTGCAAGGCCCTGTACGACTTTGAGCCTGAGAACGACGGGGAGCTGGGCTTCCATGAGGGCGACATCATCACGCTGACCAATCAGATCGACGAGAACTGGTATGAGGGCATGCTCCACGGCCAGTCTGGCTTCTTCCCCCTCAGCTACGTGGAGGTGCTGGTGCCGCTGCCCCAGTGACCGCGTCTCCATGGTGTGTCGGCCCGCCGCCCCTCCATCCAGATCTCTGCATTCCACGGGCCCCCGCAGCTGGGCAGTGCTCACAGCCTGCGGGGCAGCCCACTCTGGGCCTGATCCAGCCCCAGGGCAGCGGGGCCCCTGTTTACACTAGTGCTCACCCCCGGTGGTGGGGGCTCCCTTCCCCACTCCACGTGGCCGTCTTGGGGGCTGGGCAGTGTTCCTCCTTCCTGCTGCTCACAACTCTGCCCCCCCAGCTCCGCCCGCCCCGCCCCAGGAGGCTCACACTAAGGTGCTCTTAGAAACACTAACTGCTCCCACCCCTCCAGGGACTGGTAACTCAAGGTGGGCCCCCCTTCTCTCTCTCACACACACGCACGCACGCACGCACGCACACGCATCCTCTCCCACCTCCATCCAGCCCTGCCTGGAGACCTGCCCTTAACGGGATAGGACTGAACATCGGTGTGATGGGGTGGTCTGGGCGAGACCCCTGTTTGAGACTCGCCACCCTGCTTTTAAATCCCCCCCGGACACTACCAGCCCCCTCCAGAGCTCCCTAGGCCCCTGAGTGCCTACAGATGCCACCTTCCTGGAAGGGTTTCACCCCTTTCTTCTGGCTGGGGACTTGGGGAAAGACGAGCCTGGGCTTCTCAGGAGCCAGGGCCCCTAAAGACAGGCCATCTCCCCCCTGCAGGGCACTAAGCCCCAAACACCCGTGCCCACCACTGCATCCCAAGCCAAGAACATGGAGCATCTCTGGCACAAGCTGCCAGCGTGCACGTGCGTGTACACACACACACACACACACACACACACACACACACACACACACACACGACCACGGGAGCCCAGCCTACACACATACATGCGACCACGGGAGCCCAGCCTCCACTATGTGGAAGGTCAAGCACAAAGGCTTTGTTAAGTGAATGTTCCCAGACCCCTGGCTGCTGGGACCCTTGGGGGAGTCACGGGCACCACCCTGGTGAGCCAGCCACCATACCCTCTTTGGACAGTGGCCCAGGCCGTCTCCTCCAGACCAAGGTAGGCAGCTGCCCAGACCAGCAGGGCCCCAGCCCTGCACCCACGTCCCCTCTTGCCTAATCCAAAACTTGGCTAAACAGGGGACCCCGGGCCTGGTTCACATTCCCCTCCTCTGGTGACCCGGTAAAGCCCCCAAGGACACCAGGCCCTCCCTGCTCCTCCAAGAGGCCCCTGGTCACCAGTACCTGGAGGAGAGACAGCCATCCCAGCCTAGGGCAGATCAAAATGTAATCCTGATTTTTTTAAGAAAAGTATTAAATGTCTCTTTCTACAGTCTCTTGCCTGGTTGTGGTGCAGGGTGGGCCCTCTCGAAGGGGTCTCCAGCCAGGGTGGGGCCCACATGAGCACCAGCCCACAGAGAGCCTGGGAGGGACGGCTGTCATCCGCCCAGTCGCCAGCACGGCCCCTCCCCATAGCCACGGCTGCATGGACAGCAACCCCTCCTGAATCCGTGAGACACATGCCTAGGCTGTTTCTCCTTTATTATCTGAGCCCCTGCCGTCACACACCTCAGTCACACAGGAACGAAGCAGCACAAAGGCCCTGGGCCCACTCCCCTCAACGCAGAGCCTCGGGGAGCCGCATCTGACCAAAGGCTTCCCTGGTCCTTGGAGGCTGGTGCTCTCAGCTCCCCTGCCTGAGGACGCTGTAAACCTGCTCCAGCACGTGGCACAGGCCCTGGTCCTTGGGCGTCCTGCTGGCTAGGGAGATCTGAAATAAGGAGGCCTGATGCCTCAGGGCTGCAGCCTGCCAGGGGGCTCTCCTAACCCAAGCACGCAGCCGTGTCCCTGAAGCCACACCTCGAGGCCTGGGGACGTCGTCCTTTGGGGGTGAGGTTCCTCCACACTTCCCAAATCCTGCTCTTACACGCGCCCCCCTCGTGTGCCGAGGCCACCCCACCCACCTAGCACCAGTCTGGGAGGTAACCAGTGGCAGCTTTAAGCCCTGGTCACTGTTAAGTGTGAACAAAACAAGCAAACGTGTGAAGCTATTTCTCTGCAAAGCGGAGTGGGTAGTGTCTTCTGAGAACGACTCTAAGGCAGGAAATATGCGGAGCGCCTGCCGACACGTCCCGTTTACCAGCGGTAGGACCAGCGGGCTAGACAAACCCACTCCCAGCACCAGCCGCTCTGCTCGGTTCAGCTTTGCTGCTGCTTAAGATTCAGAACCCCTCCTGCACCTCCATGGGCGCCCCGGGAGAAACAGGGCCCAGAGCAGCGTCTCCAGCTGGGACGTCCCAGGGGTGATGAGGTCTACGGGGCTTTTGCATTTTCATCTGCATGTCGATGGTGATGTCCACCAGCGTCACCACCTCCATGTGATAAAACACGACTTTTCTTTGGTAGCATTCATTTCTGACTGAAGTATTTTTGTATAGGCCCAGGTAAGAACTCACTTCTCTTCAAGCTGCCCACGAATATATTCAGTGGGGGGGGGGGGGTCCCCAGGGCTCCCAGAGATCTTTATAAAAGGAGGGGTTTGCACAGGACTCAGCATGAGTCTTACCTTGAGCTTGTCGAGGTAGGTGTGCTCCTGGTTCCAAGGCTCCTGGAACCTGACGAGGTCAGGGGCGCCCTTGTAGAACTCTACCAGCAGCATCTAAGGAACGGTGGGGCAGGTGAGCCCCTGCGACCGCACTTCCCGGGCCAGGCACTCAGGATACATAAGCGAGTGGGACAGACACTGCTGCCACCCCTCGGGGGGCCTCTAGTCTAATGCAGTGTGGCATGTAGACGTTACCCAGGTCCTGAAGAAATTAGGGGCTTGGCAGGAGGGCCCCCTGGAGGGGGAGACAACTTCTGCAGAAGCAGCAGGCACACTGAATGTGATTCTTTATACCTGCCCCGGTCCTGACATGGCTCCACGGTTTAGCCTTAGCCAGAGCAGTAACATCAGTGAAGTCACAGGTGTGACGAACTAGCTCCGTTTGTTTACGTGCCTGCTCGCTATTCGTCCGAGTAACACCTGAGGTTCTCACGTGTCCCCACTTGGAGAATCCCTGGCAGCTGCGGAGGCCCAAGGTGGGAGCGTCCCTAGCATGTTCCAGAACAGCCAGGAGGGCGAGGGGGAGAGGTAGGAGGGGCTGAGGCAAGGATCTGGGACTTGATCCTAAGAGCCCGTGATTTTCAGAAGCGGAAGAGGAGCCTGACTGGGCCCTGATGTGGCCCGTTCAGCCAGCGCTTCCCAAGTCCTACAGTGTCATGTCCATCCAGCTGGGCGCCCTCATCTCCCACCTGCTCCTCCCAGGGCACCCACCCCACCCCCACCCACCTCACGCGGCAGTGAACTCACCATCTCATGAAGGACGTCATTAGTCAGGAAGCCATCCTGGACGTAGGCCATTTCCACGTCCATGGGGATGCCATAGTCACTGGGCCTTTGCTGGCAGAGACACATGGCAGTCACCACTAGCTACCCCCAACCCGGCCCCCCTCCAAGATGGCAGAGCACAGCAGGAAGTGCCCAGGGCTGGGAGTCAGAGAATTGATACTGCAGGCCTGGCTCCGCACTCAGATCAGATCCAGAGCCGCGCGAGACCTTAAAGGAACCCAGCAATGCGACCAGGGAGGCAGGGTGGCACCCACCCCACCACACACACAGGAGTGGCCATGGCTCCGGAATTCCTTTCTAAAGCTGATTTCTGACCCCGAGATGGACTTGGGGAATGAAACCAGACAGGGCTCAGGAAGGAGGCTACCTTGGTGCAAAAGCAGCATGCTACAGGTAGAGCACCCACCTTTTCAACAGTCCTCACACCCACAGCCTCAGAGCAATGATTATGTTCCCATTTCACAGATGAGAGCAGACCCCAGCTCCCCAGATGAGCCCGGAACCAGAGTACTGGCTTCCTGCGGCTAACAAGGCCTCCTGACCCCTCCCACACCCACACAGGGCCCCGCCCACGCCTCCCAGCCCTAGGCCTCCCCCCAGCAGCCCCGCCTACCTCAGGGGGCGGCATCACCCAGAAGGGCGAGATCTTGGACTCTGGGCCCGGGTTACCAGAGTAGTAAGGGGCTGGGGGAGGAGAGAGAGAGAAGGGGCTGGGCATGGAGGCGCGGTGGCCCTCTGGGGCCCCACGCCCGCCCCTTCCCGGGACTCACAGCAGAGCAGGGCGAGGCAGGGCTGGAAGCCATTGCTGGAGCCCTGCAGCCGCAGCTGGTAGTCCATCTGTGCGTCGATGTCCTGCAGCGACGGCAGGGCCGGGCTGTACGGGTGGCTATGGTACCAGCCTACCAGGGACAGGCCCCGCAGGAGCAGGCTCTGGTAAATCTAGGGGCAGAGACGCACGGGGCCGGGGGCTGTAGCAGCCCTAGTGCGCTCACGTGCCTGGCACCCATCCAGCCCCACGCGGCCAGCATTTAATGAGCGCCTGCTGTGTACCAGGCCTGAGGGCACAGCAGTGACGCAGACACACCCTGCTCCACCCTCAGCGAGTCCAGTGAGGGGGTGGGGGACAGTCAACAAATAACGTTAAAAAGTTGCTGCTACATTTCCTGGCGGTCCAGTGGTTAGGACTCCACGCTTTCACTGCCCGGGGCCTGGTGTTCAATCCCTGGTCGGGGAACTAAGATCCCGCAAGTCAAGTGGTGCGACCTCCCCCAAAAAAACAAAGATGCTCCTCACATAAATCTAAGATAAAAGGTTATTTTGCTCACTGCTGTATCCTCAGCTCAAGGAACAATTCCCGGCACATAGTAGGCGCTCAATCAATAGTTAAACCAAGAGATAGGGTAAAGAGAAAGGAAGAAGTGGGCGGAGAGACATGTGCGCGCCCAGTCCACACGCATTCTGTGCCCTGTGACAAGGTGCGTGTGGAGCGCAGGCGCGTACTAAGCACCCTATGAAAACATTAAGGACGGCAGCTAATACTTATCGGGCCTTTACCAGGTGCCAGACAGGCTCAGAGGGGAAGGGGCCGGCGGCGGCGTCTGTACAGAAGGAAGTATGAGGGTGGGGGTCACAGGTGAGGGGACCGGAGGTCACACACACCCATTTGCACCCTTGCTGAGTGGCGACACGGTGCTAGGCGCCAAGACGCGGTAGCCAGGACAGCTGTGTCCACGCCAGCCCTCCCCAGAACGCCGAGTCACCGTGCGCCCCCTCACCTCCTCTTCCATGGCGGCCGCGGTATCCGCGTCCCCCAGCCGGCTCCGACAGGGGAAGGCTCTCAGCACCGTGAGCACTGCACGGAGGCGGGAGAAGGCGTGGACATCGACCCCAGCCCCAAACACCCCCCTGCCCACAGGCCCCAAATACCCACTCTGACTGTTGATGTCCCAGCGGCCGCCCAGGTACCCCACGACCTGGCTGCGGGTCAGGTGGCTGTGGAAGTCCTGGGGAGGGGAGGGACAATGGAAGACCCGCTCAGACTGCGCACCGCCGCCCCAAGGCCGTCCTGAGGGCCAGGGCCCTTGCGTTGTGACGGGGTCAGCCCATCCACCTCCTTCTTCATTCAGACATTGATTGAGTGCCTACTGTTCACCGGTAGTGAACAGAGCAGACAAGGTCTCTGCTCTCATGGAGCCGACCTTCCAGGGATCCTCTGGTGGGGGGTGGGGTGGGGGGACACCCCCTGCCCAGGCCTGAGAGCCCCTGACCCCTAAGGGGCAAAGTAGGAGCTGGGCACACACCAGCAGGAACAGCACGTTGCTAGAGATGGCCACGTTGAACGGCTGGAACTTGTTGATAGCTGCGAAGGATGTTACTTCCACCAGGGTGTGCGGGTTCCTGAAGGAGCCAGGAGGGTTCCACAGCCTCAGGAACCCCCAGGCCCTTTCCTCACCCCCACGCTGGCTCCCCAGCTGCCCACATCCAGCTCGGACCTGAGGCCTTGTCTCCACCCTACCCCTGCCTTTGTTCCCCATACACCGGCAAGAGCTCACACCGATGGGGGTGAGGGTCCCGGCAGGCATGGGGTATATCTGACCTGGCAGAGTCTCGACTACCCAGCATGCAGTAGCGCACAGGCACCCGGATCTTGTTTTCCACCCTTTTCCCTGGGGGCGTGGCCTCTGCGGGGTTGGGGGGTAAGAGAAAAAAAAAAGGCAGCGTCAGTTCCTTCCCCAGCTAGAAAGTGGAAAATGAAGACCAGGCAGCCGGAGAAAGAAAAAAACAAAAAACAAAAAAAACCACTCCAGGGGCAGCCTTAAAAATCAGGCAGATGGACTGGGAAATCAGGCGGCAGGTTAACAAATCAGGCAGAAGAGATTTAAAAACTCAGATGAAGGGCTCAGGAAGTCAGGTGAGGACCAGGCAACGGGTCAAAGAAATCAGGCGGCAGGGCTAGAAATCAGGCAACAGGGCAAAGAAATCCTACGGGGGAGCAAGGAAATCAGGCGGCATGGTGAAGAAATCCGGCAGCAGATAAAGAAACTGGGCAGTGGGACCAAGAAATGTAGTATTAGAGCTTAAAGAAGTCAGGCAGTGAGAGTGAAATTAGGCAACGGGGGCTGGGAAGTCAGCCAGGCATCTTGGGGGCTCTAAGGAAAAGAAAGGCCAGACTTGCCCCCAGCCTCCTCCCCCACCTGAGTTCCGTCGGCCTCCTGCCCTTCCTCCTCCCCTCCTCCCCCCACCTCTCACCAGGGTGGACAGGCTCCGAGGGGCCCTTCACCGGTGGTCTCCGACTCTTGTCCTCCGCTGAGGCTCCTGTCAGAACCTCCTCCTCCTCTTCCTCCATCATTAGCTCCTCCTCCTCTCCTTCGCTGGCCGGGCTCTGGCGGGGTCGGGGTTGGGGGGACAGCGACGGGACTTTCAGCTGGCTGCTCCCTACCCTCCCGGCAAGTTCCACAGAGACCTCTGGCTGGCCTGAGCCTTCGGTTCCTGTCGTTGCCCCAGGTGCCCACTACAGGGAGGGAGTGAGCAGAAACAATCTAGGCTGTGGACTAGCCTCGCAAGTTCGAATCCCGCCTCTGCCTATTACAAACAGACTTCGGGCTCTAGTCTCCTCATCTGTTAAACGGCACAATGACCTCCAGCCCCACAGGCGTGGCGTAAGGGTGAAATGAGAATGCGTGCAAAGCATTTAGCATATGCCCTGTTGCTCCATTCATCCAGCAAGCAAGCCAGCACTTTGCATGGATTATTTTACCAGATTCTCTCAATAACCTCTCCCCCTGCTCTCTCAAGAAACCTTGCCGAGGTGACCTCTCTGTGTCCAAACACAATGGTCACATCTCAGTCTCTGTCCCCCTGCCCCCCTCTTGGCAGCGTCTGCCCGGGTCTGTTCCTCTCCTCCCAGAAACTCCTCAGGGAGCCCCCCACTCACCTGGCTTCCCTCCCACCTCTCCTGGACCCCATTATTCTCCCCCATCTCACTCGCTGGCCCAGGGCTGGGTCCTCGGGCCTCTTTCCTTCCCCACCCACATCCCTCCTGGGTGGCCTCCAACCCCCTCTACCCCCTGAACAACTGCCCACAGTCCTGACTCCAGCCTGGGGCTCTCCTGAGCTCCTGACTTGGGGTCCAGCTGCTCCTTGACATCTCCTCGTGGGGGGTTCACACTCAACATGGCCACCCTGCCCCAACCATCCCCCCAAACCTGCTCCTCCCCACATCTCTGATGAGGGCAATCCTGTCTACCCACTTGCTCAGAACAAAACATCTCCTAACACCAACATCAGATCCATCAGCACAACCCATCAGATCCACTTGCAGAATTAACCAGAACTTGCCCACTTCCTCCCCCTTCAATGGCTGTCCTGGTCCACCCCATCATCAGCCACCTGGATCTGTACAATCACCTGCACCCCGATTCCCCGGCTCCTACTCTCACGCCCTGGCCCCAGTCTGTCCTCCCTACACCCTACAGCAGCCAGCAGAGGGCGGCCGTGAGCACCTGAGTCAGGTCCCGCCCCCTCCTCTGCCCACAGCCCTCCAGGGCTCCCACCTCCCTCAGGGTAAAAGCCCAAGTCCACCCCGCAGCCCATGATGTCCTGCACGACTTGCCCCTGTCCTCCCCCCGCCGGCCCTGGTCCTCACCTCCTCCCTCTCTGCCCCTTGCTCACTCTGCTCCAGACACACTGGAGCCTCACTGTTCCTCAAAAACACCAGCCACAGTCTAGCCTCAAGGCCTTTGCATGTGCTGTTTTCCAGAAAGCCTTATGGCTCCCTCCCTCCCCTCCTTCAGTTCACTGATCAAATGTCACCTTCTCAGTGAGGCCTTCCCTGACCACCCTAACCCTCCCACCACTCCCATCCCCTGTCCCTGCTTACTTCTGCCAACGTACAGTAAGGTGGACTTATTTGTTTCTCTCTCCATGAAGGCAGAGATTTTTTCTCATTTTGATCTGTTTTATCTCCAGCACCTAGAAGAGGGCCTGGCACACAGGTGGCATTTACTAAATACTTGCTGAATGAATAGCCCTATGGCATGCTGTGAAAGTTAGTTTTAAAAGTCAACTTGGCTAGGATATAGTACCCAGTTATTTAATCAAACACTAGTCGAGGTGTTGCTTTGAAGGCATTGGGTAGATGTGGTTCACATCTACAATAAGGTGACTTTCAATAAAGAAGATTACCCTTGATAATGTCAGTAGGCCTCATCCAATCAGTTTAAAGGCCTTAAGAGCAAAAACTAAGGTTTCCTGGAAAACAAGGAATTCTACCTCAAGACTGCAGCATCAACTCTTGCCTGAGTTTCCAGCCTGCCAGTGGCCCTAAAGATTTGCCAACCAGGTGTGTGTGTGTAATACACCTGGGTACCGTTATCATCTCTATTTTACATATGAAAAAGACTAGGAACCCAGAGAGGGTCCTTGGCCAAGTTCAACCCAGCTGGTGAACATTCAAAGAATATCTATTACTATCATGGCATTCAAGACCCTCCCAGATCTGGTCCCTGCTGATGTCTCCAGGCCCTTCAGCTACCAAGGCATCTGAATGTCCAGCTGCATCAGCTAATAATGGTTCCCTAAGCAGCATGTGTTGCTTCATGCCTACAAGGCTTTGCATATGCTATCCCTTCCTCTGGAAAACTCTTCCATTCACCTTTCTCTGACCAACTCCTGTTCATCCTTCAAGGCCCCAGCTCCAACATCCTCTCTCTGGGTACTCCTTATCCAACAGTGAGTCAGGGAGGCTGAAGGACGCACCTCATCGGCGGCAGCTGCAGGTATATGGAGCTGGTTTCGCCGGAGCCAGGCAGCCTTGTACTTGTCCAGTTTCTGGCCCTTGTACTTGACAGAGGCCCAGCCACAGCCAGACTTCTTGGCTGGGTTCACCAGCTTCTTGCAATGGGTGGCCCAGGCGCTGGGTGAGTTGAACACCTGGCCCGTTTCCTGCCACACAATCCTCCCATCGGGCTGCAGGTCTCCCACGAACTTCTTCCCCTGCAGTGACAGTGGGCTGGCTGGGCCCAAGAGCTGGTACCCATCAAGACCCCTCCTCTGGGAAGTCCTCCCTGACCCCATGCCGCTTCCCAGGGTTTGGTAACCACTTCCTGCTTCCTTCCAGGAAGGCTTCCAGCTTAGGTACCATCCCGATCAGCCTGGATTGGAACTGTCCAGTTATATGACTGTACCCCCTCCCTTCACTGGACTGTGAGCCCCAAAGGGCAGGAACAGGGTCTGTCTTGATCTCTGCTGTGTCCCTAACACCCAACACAGCCTGGCACACAGCAGGTGTTCAATTCACAAATTGCTCCCACTCACAAAGAGCACAACAACAGTAACAATAATAGTAATAATAGCAAACACTTATAAAAAGCACTTACTGTGTAGCAGGCATACTGCTGAGCACTGTATTCATTGAATCCTCACGCAACCCCATGGGAGGAAAGAAAATCCCATTCTACAGATGGGAAAACTGGTATACGGAGAGGTTGAATGAGGTCACACAGTCAGGAAGGCACTAGTGTCCTCTCTGAGTGGAGTATTTGGTAAACAATGTTCTCCCGCCCAGAAGGGCTCGTGCTGGGTCAGGATGCTCCGTACCTCAGTTTCCCCTCCCCACACCGGGGCTCGGCCTGCGGCAAGAAAGCACACTGGACTCCGGTTTCCCCTTTTGCACCAGCTAGGATGGGATGCGGCTAGGGGGTGCTCACCAGATAGTAGATGGACAACACCCCGGCGCCGGGCTCCAGCAGCGCGTCTTTGAGGAGCACCCGCAGCGTGACCGCGCGCCTGGTGAGCGCGCCCCCCGGGCCACCGCAGCTCCCTGGCCCGGCCCCGCCGCCACCGCCGCCGCCTCCGCCGCCGCTGCGCGCGCCACCCGATGCCCCCGGCCGCTCAGAGTCCTCGGCCTCCGCCTCGTCCTCGTCCGGCGCCTCCTCGCCCGCGCCGCCCGCGGGGGACAGCGGCTCTGGAGCTGCGGGCAGCAACAGGCTGCAGCGGGGCCTCGCACCCCGAGCTGGTCCAGCCACCCCACCCAGCGCCTTGCCGGCCCCCCGCCAGGCCCGCCGTACCTGCCATGGCCGCTCAGCCACACGCCCAGCGCGCCTCTGGTGCTTTCTTCCCGGCACGTGACGCGGCTCTGCCCCGAGCGGGAAGCGCCCCACCCATTGGCCGCCGCCGGTGGGCGGGTCAGCAGGAGCGAGCGGGGAAAGTCAGGCCTCCGGCTTGCACACGCTGGAGAAAGAGGCGGCGGCTCAATCCTCCGGGACCATTCGGAAAACTGAGGCCTGAGGCCACCTTCCATGGGAGGGGGCTGGTAGCCGAGAGTTCAGGGTACCATTGGGGAAACTAAGGCCGGGGACTTACGGTTTCGGAGAACCAATGACTCCACCCGAGGCCATAGCCTACAGGATTGAGGCCTGGGGCTGGGGGACAAGGGTGGCTCAGCCCACTACGTCGACCGAGGAAATTGAGGTCCGCGGCCACTCCTATTGAGGGACACACAGGCCTCGGCTGTTGGGACCGAGGAGACACTGAGGTCCGGGAGAATGAGCCACACTGCCCTGGGGCTACGGGATAGAATGGGGAAGCAGCCCCGCGCCGCGACTGTAGATCGCCCAAGCCGGGCGGCAGTCTCTAAAGGGTTAACTTCCACCCTTCCCGGCGGCCCTCGACTGATTCCATGATTGGATCACAGCAGAGCCAGCCAACCAATTAAAACTGGGTCATTTCATCTTCAGCCAATAGACGGTAGAGGCTGGATTCCTTCCAGCCAATCAGTGTTAAACTGCTCCTCCTCTAGCAGTCAGCAGGAGACTCCGGCCTCACGCATCCAATCAGTTGTAGGGTCTTGTCCTCAGCTAGCCAATCAGCTCGCGGGTCAAAGCTGGCTCGTGGCCTCCACCCCCCACCCAACGCTAGCGCTTCGTGCATGTGGGCTGAGCCCAGCTAGTGCGCCGCACAGCTGCAGCCCTTTCTTTTCTCGGTGGCCGCCGTCCCGGGACCTCCGCTCCGAGGCGCAGGGCCACCTCCCAGCGCTGGGACTCACCAGCCCCTCGCAGGGCTTAAAGCCCGGGGTGGGGGCTCCGTTAAGCTGCAGGGCACCTTTGGCTGGGCTCAGCCGCATATGGGTGTACCCGACCCGGGTTTGGAAGAGGGGACAGGCTGTTAGGGGCGGGGGTGTCCAGCCAGGATGATCTGGAATCAGACTGGACCTGGCTCCAAATCCTGCGGCACCACTTCCCAGCTCTGTGACTTTGGCCAAGTGTCTCCACCTCCCTGTTGCCTCCTGGGGATAATAATTCCTACTTCAGAGTTGTTAAAGACCAGGGCTTGACAAAGAGTAAGAGCTAGGCAATGTGAATGATTATTATTACTCATGATGAAATAAAAGTTGTATTTTAAGGCAGGACAAGAAAAAGTAAACAAAATTCTCTGTTTGTTTGGACATCCTTCCTCCCTCTCTCCCCAATCTGCATTACACATTAACCAGTGATCCTCAAACATGGGAAGATGGGAATGCCTACTCAACAGTAAATGTAACTTCTTAAAAGAATAGTGTTCTTTCCCAGCTCTGTAGGGGATCAGGATGATTTGCTCCTCCTTTTTTTTTTTTTTTTTTTTGCGGTACGCGGGCCTCTCACTGTTGTGGTCTCTCCCGTTGCGGAGCACAGGCTGCGGATGCGCAGGCTCAGCGGCCATGGCCCGCGGGCCCAGCCGCTCCGCGGCATGTGGGATCTTCCCGGACCGGGGCACGAACCCGTGTCCCCTGCATCGGCAGGCGGACTCTCAACCACTGCGCCACCAGAGAAGCCCGCTCCTCCCTTTTTACGGGCTTACCTGGACTATCTATCCTTGGTGAACTTTATGTAGAATATCAGTATCATTTCGATGTATGATCCTTTGTCTCAAGGCGGTCCAGTGGTTAAGACTCCATGCTTCCACCGCAGAGAGGGCGCGTTTGCACCCTGGTTGGGGAACTAAAGATCCCGCATGCCCCGTGGTGCAGCGTAAATAAACAAACAAACAAACAAATAAATAAATAAAATGTATATGTGCCTTCGGCTTCTAACAGGCAGAACAGCTCTCAGCACTTTCTGAGAATCTGCTTCCTCTGTTATAATCCTCAGTTTGGCTCAAGTAAAATTCCCTTTTTTCTTCTTCTTAACTTGATAGTTAAATTTCATTGACACTCACTTTGTGTCCAGTCCAAACCTCCTTTTGGAGTCATCTCACCACCCACCCAGGAGCTAGCCATCAACTATGCATCCCCCAGCCCCTTAGACTCAGCAGAGCTCAAACTGGCCTGTTTATTCCCACATAACCTTGCCTACTTTCTCTTTGGCTCTCTTATAAAACCCAGGGCTGGATCTCGAGCCTCTCCCATCTGGATCATTTCCTAGGGACTCAGGCCTCCACACTCACCCACACCCTGTCCATCTCTCACCCTGGCTGGCCCCAGAGAGATCTTTATAAAATACAACTATGACCACCTCCCTCCCCATTGCCTTTGATAAATAAAATTAAAACTAACTGCTGTGTGGACTTCCCTGGTGGTGCAGCGGTTAAGAATCCACCGGCCAGTGCAGGGGGCATAGGTCCGAGCCCTGAGCCTAGAAGATCCCACATGCCGCGGAGCAACTAGGTCCGTGTGCCACGACTACTGAGTTTGCGCTCTGGAGCCCACAAGGCATAACTACTGAGCCTGTGCTCCTAGAGCTCGTGCTCTGAAACAAGAGAAGCCACCTCAATGAGAAGCCCGGGCACAGAAAGGAAGAGTAGCCCCTGCTCGCCGCAAGTAGAGAAAGCCCGTGCGCAGCAACAAAGACCCAACGCAGCCAAAAATAAATAAATAAATATATTTTTTAAAAAAAAACAAAAAAAACCTAACTGCTGTGACCTTATTAACCATTTACAGCACCCCTATATGGCAGATAGTATAATCAACATTACCAGACAGTTCAGCAGATGAAGAGGTTGCCCAGACTACACAGTTCTTGAGCAGATTCCAAAGGCTATTCTTTGCTATGCGTATAAAGTCCAGGCAGCCTTATAACTACGAAAGAAATTGAATTTGTAATTTTAAAAGTCCCCAGAAAGGAACTAGGTACCTTCAAGATGCATAAATTCTTTAGCTACACGTTAATTTCTGTAGCAGGCCTGGCAAGTATTTGAAGTCAAAACCCTATGTGTTTTAAAAAAATGTTTTTTACCCTATGTGTTTAAAAAAATATTTTTTACCATGCTAATAAAAGTATTCATTTGCTTGGGAGAAAAAAAAAAAATTCCCAAAAAAGAAATCTCCAGGCCCAGATGGAGAATTCTATGAAGGTTCAAAGACAAATTAATACCATTTTACATATTCTCTTCCAGAAAATTGAAGAGGGAATATTTCCCAATTCATTTTTTTTAAAGATCTTTTTGATGTGGACTATTTTTCAAGTCTTTATTGAATTTGTTACAATATTGCTTCAGTTTTATGTTTTGTTTTTTTGGCCGCGAGGCATATGGGATCTTAGCTCCCTGACCAAGGATCGAACCTGCATCCCCTGCATTAGAAGGCAAAGTCTTAACCACTGGACCACCGGGGAAGTCTCCCCAAGTCATTTTATGAAGCTAGCATCTCCCTGACACCAAAACCAGATAAGAAGAGTACAAAGAAAACTACAGGATATACCTCATGAATCCAAACACAAAAATCCTTACCAAAATATTAATAAATAGAATTCAGCGACACATAAAAAGAATTATATACATCATGACCAAGTGAAGTTTATTCCAGGGGTGCAAGGCTGGTTCAGTATGCCAAATTCAGTCAGTGTTTTCCACCATATTTAAGAGACTGTGGTGGGTGGAATAATGGTTCCCTGAAGGTGTCCATGTCTGAATCCCCAGAGCCTGTGAATATTTAGGTTACATGGCAAAGGGGATTTAAGGTTGCAGATGGAAGTTCAGTTGCTAATCAGCTGACTTTAAAATAAAGAGATGATCCTGGGACTTCCCTGGTGGTCCAGTGGGTAGGGCTCCACACTCCCAATGCAGGGGGCCCGGGGTTCAATCCCTGGTCAGGGAACTGTATCCCGCATGCATGCCGCAACTAAGAAGCCCGCCCGCCACAACAAAAGATCCCACGTGCCGCAACAGAGACCTGGCGCAGCCTAAATTAATTAATTTTAAAAAAATAAAAATAAAATAAAGAGATGATCCTGGACTATCTGCTGAGCCCAATGTAATAACAGGGGTCCTTAAAAATGGAAGAGAGTTAGGAAGAGATAACTATGGAAGAAATTCAGAGTGATATGATGTGAGGTTCCTACCCACAGTTGCTGGTTTTGTGGATGGAGGAAGGAATGAGGAAAGCTTCTAGAAGCTGGAAGAGGCAAGGAAATAGATTCATTCTTTGAGCCTTCAGAAAGGAAAACAGCCCTGCCAACACCCTGATTTTAGCTTTGTGAGATCCACGTAGGACTCCTAACCTACAGAGCTGTAAGATAATACATTTGTGTTGTTTTAAGCCTTTAAATTTGTGATAATTTATTATATCGACCACAGAAAACTAACACACAAGCTAAAGAAGAAACATCATAAGAACGTATCCATTCATGCAGAAAAAGCATTTGACAGAATTCAACACCCACTCATAATAAAAACTCTCAGCAAACTAGGAACAGAGGGGAAACTACCTCAACTTGGAGAAGCACATCTACAAAACTTAACATTGTGCTTAATGGTGAAAGACGGAACACTTTTTTTTTCTTTTGCCACGCCACGTGGCATGTGGGATCTTAGTTCCCCGACCAGGGACTGAACCCGTACCCTCTGCAGTGGAAGCATGAAGTCTGAACCACTGGACTGCCAGGGAAATCCCACTTTTCCCCTTAAGACTGGGAACAAGGCAAAGATGTCCACCCTCACCACTCTTATTCAACAGAGTCCTGGAAATGCTAGCCAGCACAATAAGACAAGAAAAGGAAATAAAAGGCATACAGATTGGAAAGGTGGAAGAAATGAAACTTACCCTATTTGCAGATGACATGATGGCCTGTGTACAAAATCACAAGAAATCTACCAAAAATGCCCCTTGAACTAAGAAGTGGGTTAGTTCAGCAAGGTTATAGGATAAGAGATCAGCACACAAAAATCAATGGCATGTCTGTATGCTAGCAATGAACAATGAAAACTGGAACTAAAAGTACAATGGTGTTTATAATTACTAAGGAAGAAAGAAAGAAAGAAAGAAAGAAAGAAAGAAAGAAAGAGAGAAAAGAAAGAAAGAAAGAAAGAAAGAAAAGAAAGAAAGAAAGAAAGAAAAAGAGAGAGAAGGAGGGAGGGAGGAAGGAAGGAAGGAAGAGAAAGACCATGTCTGTGGGTTGGAAGACTCAACACAGGACATAAAAGATGTCAAGTCTCCCTCAACTGATATACAGGTTTAGTGCTATTCCTGTCAAAATCCCTGCAAGATTTTTGGTAGATACAAACAAGATTGTTCTAACGTCCAGGCGGCCTAATGGGCTTACTGGACATCGTACCACTCTCTGGTCTCATCCCCTCACCACTCTGGCACCAGACTCCGTTCTCTCCCTTCCAGGCCTTTGCTTAGGCAGGTCCCCCTCCTGATGCCCTGGCACTGACAGCTCCCAGCAGCTCTCTCCTCTGTTCCCTTACTCCAGCCAGGCCTCCCTGACCTCTTTTGGGCACCAGAGAGGAGGGGATTTCCCTAAGATCTCGGGACCTGCCCAGGCCCAGCCCCCATCCAGCCCTGGCAGGGGAGGGAGCTCGGGAGCTGACAGAAGAGAGGAAATTCCCCTGGAACCTGTTTCTCTGCTTCCTGGCTCAGCTGGGGCACCCACTGGAGGGAGAGGCCAGGCCAAAGACCCGGCCCGCCATGGCCTTGGCCCTGAGGCCACCCCGGGTTCCCAAGCCCAAGAGGAGCCTGCCCTCACACTACCACGAAAGCTTCCTGGAGAAGAAGGGACCCCGAGACCGGGTAAGACGGGCCAGGGAGCTGGCGCTGCTGGGCGGCCGAGGCAGGTGCAGCACCTCTCTGAGCCTAGACCTCCACAACCGGCCCAGGATAATGCGGTGGGTGCTGGGTGGGGCAGGGCATGGACTGGGGGCTGGGAAAGGTTACGTCCCTCTGTCTGTCTGTCTCTGTCTCTCTCTGTGTCTCTGATTCTGACCTGAGCTCTTTCTCTTTCTCTGTATTTCTCCCTGCCTGGCTCCATCTCTCTCTGTCTTGGTCTCTTTATGTCTCTCTCGGATACAAACAGGATCAGCGACTTTACTCCAGGAAATGGGGAGTCTTCTGATTCCCACACCTCCCCTCCCCCCCCCCCCCCCCCCGGCCCTGAGCTAACTCTGTGAACTTCAGATCCAGGGGTCAAAGTCAGTACAGACTGTGAGGAGGGACAGTGAGAATTAATGGAGGCTACGTCCCACAGAACCAGATACTGGCCAGGGGCCCAATGTGTGTGTGTGTGTGTGTGTGTGTGTGTCCTCCTCAGAATAAAGCCCAGCCTGGTTCCCACTAAGGCCCATCCCCCTCCTCATCTGCATACTCATCTACCAGGATGCAAACCAACCAGGATTTTCTCTGCCTTTGCCCTGGCAGTTTCCTCCTCCCGTTTCCTCCTCCCGTCCTTCGGCCTCCACACATCCAAATCCTCCCCAGCCTAGAAAGCATCCAGAGGCAGGAGATCTCAGGGGTTAAGAAAGAGCACGAGGGCCCCAGAGGATGAAACCCAAGTTCACATCCCTGCTCCGCGCGGTCCTGACTCCCACGCCGTGTACAAGTGACTCTGCATCTTTGTGCCTCGGTTTTCTCTATTATAAAATGGAGAGAAAAAAAAAAAAAAAAGGACTCCCTTGGTCGTTCAATGGTCAAGATCCCACACTTCCGCTGTAGGGGGCACAGGTTCTATCCCTGGCTGGGGAAATAAGATCCCACAGGCCACACCGTGAGGCCAAAAACATAAAATTAAAATTAAAACGAAAAAAATAAAATGGGTTGACAAGGCCATAGGCATGGTTACAGAAGAGGGATATCTCTTTTTTTTTTTTTTTTAATTTATTTTTGGCTGCGTTGGGTCTTCGTTGCTGCGCGCGGGCTTTCTCTAGTTGCGGGAAGTGGGGGCTACTCTTTGTTGCGGTGCGTGGGCTTCTCATTGCAGTGGCTTCTCTTGTTGTGGAGCACGGGCTCTATGCGCAGCGGGCTTCAGTAGTTGTGGCACACGGGCTCAGTAGTTGTGGCTTGTGGGCTAAGAGCGCAGGCTCAGTAGTTGTGGCACACGTGCTTAGTTGCTCCATGGCATGTGGGATCTTCCCGGACCAGGGCTCGAACCCGTGTCCCCTGCATTGGCAGGCAGATTCTTAACCACTGCACCACCAAGGAAGTCCCAAGGGATAATTCTTTTTTTTTTTTTTTTTTTTGCGGTACGCGGGCCTCTCACTGTTGTGGCCTCTCCCGTTGCAGAGCACAGGCTACGGACGCGCAGGCTCAGCGGCCATGGCTCACGGGCCCAGCCGCTCCGCGGCATGTGGGATCTTCCCGGACCAGGGCACGAACCCGCCTCCCCTGCATCGGCAGGCGGACTCTCAACCACTGCACCACCAGGGAAGCCCCAAGGGATAACTCTTAACATGCCAAGGATCTGACTCAGCGCTTTGCATGTATTAATTCACCCAATTCTCATAGCAGTCTCTGAGGCAGTTACCTTTTTTTTTTTTTTTTTGGCCATGCCAAGAGGCATGTGGGATCTTAGTTCCTGGACCAGGGATCGAATCTGTGCCCGCTGCAGTGGAAGCCCGGAGTCTTAACCACTAGACTGCCAGGGAAGTCCCAGGCAGGCACCATTATTATTGCCATTTTATAGGTGGGGAAACTGAGGCAGAGATAGCTTGAACAATGTGCAATGGATGGCACATAGCTGGTGCATGACAAAGTAGGTCTGACCATGTGAGTTTAATCACTTACTGCTGTATTCCCAGTGCCTGGCACACAGTAGGTCTTCAATAAATGTAAAATGTATATATGTAGCATGTACCTATGGATGGACAGATGGGTGACTGGGTGGAGGGACAGATAGGTGAATGGATGGATACATAGAGCTATACTTCGGAGACACTGCAGGTTTGGTTCCAGACCACCACTATAAAGCAAATATATATTATTTATTTATGTATGTATTTACGTATTTATGTATGTATGTATGTATTTATTTTGGCTGCTGCCAGGTCTTAGTTGCAGCATGTGGGATCCTCAGCTGCGGCAGGCGGGCTTCTCAGGTGCAGCATGCAAACTCTTAGTTGTGGCATGCAGGACCTAGTTCCCCATCCAAGGATTGAACCCAGGCCCCCTGCAATGGGAGCACCCAGTCCCACCACTAGACCACCAGGGAAGTCCCACAATAAAGCAAATATTGCAATCAAGTGAGTCATATGAAGTTTTTGGCTTCCCAGTGCCTATAAAATTTATGTTTACACTAGACTATACTCTATTAAGTGTGAAATAGCATTCTATCTTAAAAAAACAATGTACGTACCTTAATTTTAAAATAACGCTGTTGGGGGGCTTCCCTGGTGGCGCAGTGGTTGAGAATCTGCCTGCCGATGCAGGGGACACGGGTTCGTGCCCTGGACCAGGAAGATCCCACGTGCCGCGGAGCAGCTGGGCCCGTGAGCCATGCCCGCTGGGCCTGAGCGTCCGGAGCCTGTGCTCCTTAACGGAAGAGGCCACAGCAGTGAGAGGCCCGTGTACCACAAAAAAAAAAAAAAAAAAAAAAAATAACGCTGTTGGAAAAATGGCGCCGAAAGACTTCTTCAAAGCAGGGTAGCCAGAAATCTTCAATTTGTAAAAAAGAAAACAACAGAATATCTGTGAAGTGCAATAAAATGAGGTATGCTTGTAGACAGGTGGATGGATGTGTGGGTGAGTACATAAGTTGATAAAAAGGATGAATGGATGGATGTGCGGCTGGATGAATGGATGGGTAGGCAGATGGATGAATTGATAGGTGGATTGATGGATGCTTGATCGCTGTCAGTATAAGAGCTACCCTCATTATCATTATGGACTAATTAAAGTACCTCCTGTTTCAGGAAGTCTTCCCAGATTTCCCAGTTGGAGGGCTTCTCTCCTCCTCTGTGATCTCTTGGTCCAGGATCTATCCCTCCCTGAGGGTGCTAATTTCTCTTCTTTGGAGGATTTAAGTATCTATGCTTTCTCTACCTTTCTAAAACATCATTATTTTATTTTATTTGGCCTCACCATGCAGCTTGCGGGATCTTAGTCCCCACCCCCACCCCTCACCCCCAGGGATGGAACCTGTGCCCCCTGCAGTGAAAGCACGGAGTCCTAACCACTGGACCGCCAGGGAATTCCCGAAACATCATCTATTTAGAAAAAGAAGCCATGCCCCATTTATTATTTTGCCTGCAACAGAGCTGAGCGCAGAGTAGGCACTCGGGGAATATTTGGTGAAAAACAAATTCTAGAATCTTATAATCTGATTTGTATCAGCCCCTTCGGCCTCCAGAGAGCTAGGACATTTGGAATTCAGAATCCTGAGGGGGAAATCCTGAATCTGCAGACCTTCTAGTGTCCAGAGCCTTGTGAAATTCTGACTGTAGACTGAGCACCTAGCCCAGTGCCTGGCACCTAGGAGATGTTAATATTTACAGGGTGGATAAGGGGACAGGGGGTTATATGTATGTATGGGTGAATGGGAGGGTGGAAGGATGGGAGGGCGGAACAGATGGATGAGTGGTGGATGCATGGAAAACCATAAAGTGAGTTAGCACAAATTACTCCTAAAGCTCCCACCCCTGTAGGTTCCCTTTGGTCCTTTCTGAGAGTAACAGATCCCCAGAAGCCGGGCCATGGATGAGGAGGACCTCCCCTAGAAGGCAACACTTGTTCACAGACCCAAAGCAGGTGATGAATGAAACTACCTAAAGATCTGGGAGAAGAGTGTTCAGGCAGAGAGAACAGCCAGTGCAAACGTCCTGAGGTAGACTATGATGGAGGTACCCAGCCTCGCCACCTCACCTCATTCTCTTTCTCCAACTCTGGTCCACAGGATTACAAGAAGTTCTGGGCAGGCCTCCAGGGCCTGACTCTCTATTTCTACAATAGCAATCGGGACTCCCAGGTAAGGATGGAAATGAAGGCTCAAGAATTGGCCCACCTTGACCCCAGGGACCAAGCAGAGGACATGGATGGTATGTTGGTATGTCTAAGACAGGGGGCCTGAGGGGCCACAGGCCTCGTGCTCAGACCCTGTCTACTGTGCTCCCAGCATATGGAGAAGCTAGACCTAGGAACGTTTGTGAAGCTCACAGATGAAGCTCCCTGGGGGAGCTCCCATGACCGTGGCACCCACTTCTGCTTGGTCCTGCGGAACCAGGAGATCAAGTTCAAGGTAGGTGTCTTAAGGTGGGGCTGGTAGGAGACCCTTCCTTCTTGTCACACCCACCATTAACACATAGTAGCATGGAGTCACAAAAAGTTTACCACTGGGCTGGTGACACTGGGCAAGTCACTTAACCTCTCTGGGCCTGTTTCCTCAACTGAAAAGTGGGATAATATATGTAAAGTGCCCAGAACAAGATCTGATCCACAAAGACCATCATTGCCATCATCCAATCTTTCAGCTAACATTACTGAGCACCTACTGTGTACCAGACACTCTTCTAGTGTCAAGGCAGTGACTAAGACAATTAAAAATCTCTGTGCTTAGAACATTCGCTAACACCATACCCCAAAATAAACTCAAAATAGATTAAAGACCTAAATTTAAGACCGGATACCGTAAAACTCCTAGAGGAAAACATACGCAGAACACTCTTTGACATAAATTGCAGCAATATCTTTTTGGATCCACCTCCTAGAGTAATGGAAACAAAAATAAACAAATGGGACCTAATTAAACTTAAAAGATTTTGCACAGCAAAGGAAACCATAAACAAAATGAAAAGACAACCTACAGAATAAGAGAAAATATTTGCAAATGATGTGGCTGACAAGGGATTAATCTCCAAAATATACAAACAGCTCATACAGCTCAATATCAAAAAAAAAAAAAAAATACAACCGAATCAAAAAGTGGCAGAAGATCTAAACAGACCTTCCTCCAAATAAGACATACAGATGGCCAAGAGGCACATGATAAGATGCTCAACATCACTAATTATTAGAGAAAAGGAAATCAAAACTACAGTGAGGCACCACCTCACACCAGAAAGAACGGCCATCATCAAAAAGTCTACAAATAATAAATGCTGGAGAGGGTGTGGAGAAAAGGGAACCCTCCTAACACTGTTGGTGGGAATGTAAATTGGTGCAGTCACTATGGAGAACAGTATGGAGGTTCCTTAAACAACTAAAAATAGAGCTACCATATGATCCTGCAATCCCACTCCTGGGCATATATCGGGAGAAAACAATAATTTGAAAAGATATATGCACCCCAATGTTCACTGCAGCACTATTTACAATAGCCAAGACATGGAAGCAACATAAATGTCCATTCACAGATGAATGGATAAAGAAGATGTGAGATATATATATATATATATATATATATATAAAGCCCCTGTGGCTGGAGCAGAGTGAAAGAGGGGGAGAGAGGGAGGGAATGAGGGTTGCGGGGGGGAAGGAACAGGTTGTACAGGGCCTGTGGGTGACCAGGAGGACCTGGGCTTCTACCCTGAGGGAGGTAGGAGTCAAGGGAGGGTTTCAAGCATAGGAGATACATGATCCGACTTATGTTTTTTTTAAATGTTGATGTAATAACATTAAAGAATAACAGTACCCCACATTACTAAGAACTTATATTCAGACATCATTCTAAATTAACCTGTTCAAGCTCATTTAATCTTCAAAACAGCCCTTGGACACAGGGACTCTTATTCCTCACTCCCATTTCACAGATGACTAGACCGAGGCTCATCGACACAAAATCTTTTTCTTTCCCTCCCTAGGTAGAGAGTCTGGAGTCTCGGGAGATGTGGAAAGGCTTCATCCTGATGATGGTGGAGGTAAGAGTGGTCGTCCTCGGCCCCTCTCTCCCCCATTCCCCACTAGGCCTGCTCGGAAATCCTCTTTTTTTTTTTTTTTTTGGAAATCCTCTTTTTAATTTCCAACCTTCATTCCCCAAACAAACCTCTCCAGTATAGCAAACTGGTCACTAACTGGCGGCCTATGAGCCAGATGTAGCCCATAAACGTCTTTTGTTTTGCCAGCAAAGTGCTATAAATTTAAGTCAGCTGCTATCACTTAAAAACCAGGAGTGTTAGTAAACATTCCTGATTTCTAGGTTACTCATTTGTTCCCAGTCTGCCTCCTGCAGGCCGTTGAGTTTGAGACCCTACATGCTAGCATTTGCTCCGTCCTCCTCATCACCGAAGTCCTCTCTATGCCCTCTTTGCCCCTGAGGTGCCAGGTGGCTCTCGAGCCCCCAGACCTGGGTTCCCATCCTGGCTGTATCCGCACTCTGGCCCCAGTTTGCCCCTCTGTGACATAGTCACAGTCTCCCATTCCCTGACGCCCCAATGCCCCCCTCAGCTCCGTGTCCCGTCTAACCTGAACCTGCTGCCCGGACACCTGTACATGATGGCCGAGGTCCTGGCCAAAGAAGAGGCACGACGTGCGCTCGAGATGCCCTCGTAAGTGCCGAGGGTCTCCAGGATGGTGGCGGGCTGGACAGCATGGAGCCGGAGAGGGCAGTGAGCGGGGTCTCCAGGCGTTGGGTCTTGAGCGTAAGACTGCATCCAGGCAGGGGCGGGGCTTAGGTCTCACAGCTGGGAGCCCTACTGGGTGTTTGGGGCGGGTCTAGCTGCCTGGGGGCGGGCCTGGATCTCCATGGGCGAGCCTAGGTGCCTGGGGGCGGGACAAGTTTTACAGGAGAGGGTATAGGTGCCTGGGAGGCGGGTATGGGTCTCTGAGTGTTGGCCTGTGTGCCCGCAGGATAGCCTGAGCCTCCGGAGGCAGAGCCTGGGCCTGGGGTCGGGCAAGGCAGGGTCTCCAGGAACCAGGTCGTGGACGGGAGGGCAAGGCTTGGTGCCCAGGGGCGGGGTTACGTGGGGAGGGCGTGGCTGTGTCTCTGGGGGCGGGGCCTGTCCTGGTGAGTGACGCGACCCGCCCTAGGTGCTTCCTGAAAGTGAGCCGGCTGGAGGCTCAGTTGCTCCTGGAGCGCCACCCCGAGTGCGGGAACCTGCTGCTCCGGCCCAGCGGGGACGGCGCGGGCGGAGTGTCGGTCAGCACGCTCCAGACGCTCAACGGGTGCGCATGCGTGGCCCCGGCGCCGGGGTGGGAGGGGCGTCGGTGCGGGGGTGTGGTCATATATAGGGGCGGGGCCAGGCAGAATGTGGAGCCGGGGGCGGGGCCTCCCGGGATGGAATCCATACAGGACGGTCCTCCTGGGGGGCTATGCCAGGACCAGGCGCAGGGTTTTTCTAGGAGGTGGAGTCTTTCGAGGGCCTGGTCCCCTGCAGAGACCCACGCCAGGATGTGGCGTGGTCAATGTGCAGGGGAGCAAGTCGGGGTTGGGCCCTCCATGGTGGCGGGGCCCGGACGAGGGGCAGGCCATTTTTTGTCCTCACCCAGGCCACTCACTCGCCCCTGCCCTTGCAGGATGCCGGTGGTCCGGCACTACAGAGTGAAGCGCGAGGGCCCCAAGTACGTGATCGACGTGGAGGAGCCGGTGAGCGCTGGGCCCCGGTCCCGGGAATTGCAAAGGTCTGCTCCCCTTCCCCGCCAGCCCTGATAACATCCCCTATCTGACCCCAGTTCTCCTGCACCTCGCTCGACGCAGTGGTCAACTATTTCGTGTCGCACTCCAATAAGCAGCTGATGCCCTTCCTGCTGGACGATGACTACGAGAAAGTGATTGGTTGGTGCAGCCTCAGGGAACTCTGGGGGCCCAGTCCACGCCTCTCCAGCCCCCTCCCCGACCCGGACACCCTTGGGTCAGCCCCCAGCCGCCGTGCCTCCTCCAGGCCGCCCTCTCTGTTCCAGGCTACGTGGAGGCGGATAAAGAGAATGGCGAGAGTGTGTGGGTGGCGCCCTCGGCCCCCGGCCCAGGTGATGCCCTGTCCCCGCGGTCGCCACTGGGGCAGAGTGGGGAAAGACCTAGGAACCTCATGGCGCCACCTGTGCCCAATCTTCTACCCAGAGTTGCAGGGACCGAGAAATTACCCAGACCTTGCTCCCTAGGGGCTTCCAGGTTATGGAGGGGGCGGGCATGGCTGGGCACAGACAGTCCCAGCCCTGAGGAGTCGAACCTGGGGCTGGAGGGTGGGAGGGGAAGGCGCGGCACCTAGAGCTGGGAGAAGAGGAGGCAGGGCAGAGTAGAGGGGAGTCTTCCTGGAGGAGGGGCTGTTTGCTGAAGGTCCCCAAGGATTTCAGTAGGTAGAGATGGGAAATCAGGGTGGGAGGTAGTCCCGATTACGAAGCAAGAAGAGACTGGAAAGGTCTGTGGAGTGAGCAGTATAGTTCTCCCTGGGCTGGTCAGATGCTTCGGACCCCACGTGCATGATGGGCCCAAGTATACATACATACGTGCCACACTCATGAACACAGACCTGTATGTGTCCACCTGCATCATCAGAAGCTCCTATGTAGATAGTGGCTCCACACATGCATGAATACAGGTGTCACACAGTTCCAGTCCCATGTAGCACACATATACATACCTCACGTCACAATCACGTACGTACACACAAATGCAGACATACCCACTCAAGAGCACAAATTCAGACTTTTACACATACACTAAATTAGTGTACACACTAATATAGACAAGCGACCCAGCACATACCTTAGCATCCATGCGATGTCATGCACACACGTGTGTATAAACCCTTTGCATATATTCAACTTCCGCAAATTCACCCAGTGTCCATGTATATGCTACACAGGGACACACACACAGACTCATAAACGGGCACGTGCACAGACACACATGCATGCAACGAGGTGTGCACATACATCCTCATCCTGAGGTGTCTCTGCACCACGTGGGCCCTGACAGTGACCACAGTTTCCCACCAGGTCCCGCAGCCCCTAGGGGTGGCCCTAAGCAGCTGCCTCCCTCGTCCATCACGCCTGTGTCCAGCCAGGACAAGCTGCCTCCACTACTGAACCAGGATGAGAACTATGTGATCCCCATTGAAGATGACCCAGCTGCCAACTACGTGAACGGGGACGGTGGGTGGCGGCCGGGGTGGATGAGAGTTGGAAATGAGGAGCGGGCTGATGACTGGATGTGATATGCCACATCTCTGTCCATGCAGTGCCTTCCCCTAGTCGACCAGTTGTCCCGAAGCCCAGGAAGTTGGCCATGTTTCAGGCAAAGCCTCCAAAACCACCCATCGTGCCCAAGTCAGGTAGGGGTCCCTCTTCCCAGCCCTTTCCCATCCAGCCAAGAGCCAGCCTCAGCCTTCATCTACCTTCTCCACCAGAGCCCAAAAAAGGCCTCAACAGTGGCCTGGCCAGGAAGCTGGCAGTCAGCTCAGCGCAGGCTTCCTCCTCCCCGACCACAGGTAAGGGGTCAATGCAGGGTGGGCTTCACAAGCGGGGGACCCGTGTAGTCACACATGGGTGACCTCCACGCTTGGTTTAATGCTCTGCTGTGTCCATCTTGAAATTCCTCATGTCCACTGAACACATGTTTCATTTTATGCTGGGCCCCGAAAATTCTGCAGCAGTCCTGGGTGGATATAAGAGAGAACAGCCTGGACTGGGGAATCCCTGGTGCCGCTGAAGCCTCAGGGACCACCCCGCTCCCCACTCCCAGGGCTGGCAGATGTGACAGCAGAGCTGAAAGGGAAACTGCAGAGGAGACTGGCGCTGCAGCAGGCAGCCGAGTGCACGGGGGACCAGCGGGCCCATCTCCAAGTGTGGCGCACCAGTCAGGCAGATCCCTCCTCCCAGAATTAAAGCTCAAGTGACCCCAGGACCTGCGTGTTTGGCTTGGCTGGGTGGGGCAGTGCGGGCTCCCTCAGAGGACTGCCCACGGTGGTCCTCAGCTCAGCAAAACCTGCCGCCTGACCCTCAAGAAAAGCCTTTTGGGGGGGGGCTGTGCTTCACAGCTCATGGGATCTGAGTTCCCCAACCAGGGATCGAACCCGGGCCTCAGCAGTGATGGCTCTGAGTCCTGACCACTGGACCGCCAGGCAATTCCCAAGAAAAGCCCACTTTACAGCCAAGAAAGCTGAGGTCCAGAGAGGGCCAGGCACACCCAGTGCCACCCAGCCCCGAAAATAAGACCAGCAGCACCGCCTGGCCAGTGTTTGACCTTTATTAGGAGGTGAGGTGGGGAGGAGGGCCCGCCCCCGTGCCCGCTCCCCACTGGTGACCCCGTCAGGAGTTAAGGCTCCAAGCAGCAAGTGAGAGGAGGGTGCCCAGCTGAAACAGCCGAGGCCTGGAGACGCCCCCACCCCCCGAAATCAGCCCGGCTGAGGGGCCGTCCCGAGGCCTAGGTGAGGCTGGTGTTGGAGCTGCTGGTAGCACTGCCCCGCTTCTGCAGGCAGCGCACAGAGCTGGGGACCTGTAGGCCTGCCGTCACGTGGAAGCTGCCACACCACACCTGGGGGACGGCGTCGGGGGGGACACAGAGAGGCTCAGTAGTGAAGCCAGCCCTCACGCCACGCCCGCTCTTACCCCTGGGCCGCGGAGGAGGCCTCACCGTGAAAGCCGGCAGCAGTGGCTGTGTGAACTTGGCCTTGAAGGTGTGCAGCAGCTGTTTGGTGCGGGCGTTGTAGAAGGACAGGAGGCCTGGGGTGGAGGGCAAGAGGAACAGGGGGACCGGTAAGAGGGGTTTGGGCAGAGAGACGGCGGACAGGGGTGGCCGGAGAGGTCAGCAGGGGCCCGGGGTCACCTTGGTGGAAGTCGCAGTGCACGCCCAGGCAGTCGGGCACGGGGGTGTCCAGCACCTTGGCCTTGTTGGCGTGCTTGGCAGTGAAGCTGACCTGCAGCCAGTTGTTGACGTACACGCACCAGGACGCGGCTGTCTTGCCCAGCTGCTCGAAGCGGCCCAGGCTGCGGTAGGCCACCCCCAAGCCAAAAGCCTTGCTGTCCGGCTCGTAGCGCACCTCCCAGTAATGCTCCCCGCCATCAATCAGCGTGTCCCCTGTGGGGCGGAGCGGGCAGGGGGGACTGGGTAGAATCGCGTCCCAGGTGCCCTTTCACAAAGGGGCAACCAGAGCCCAGCTATTCCCTCCAGATACTGCTCGGTCCTCAGCTGTTCCTTCCAGATACTCCAGGCGTCCCTAGATATTCGTTAAGTCTGGATCTTCTCCAAGCCTCAACTAGATCTCAGCTACTCCCTGAGTCCACATCCTCCCCGGACCCCGGATCCAGATTCTTGCCGCCTCAGCTACTCCCCGATCCAGCTACTCCTGAGCTGCAGCTTCTCTGCACACTCTTGCCCCACCAGATGGTAGCTTTTCTCCTCACTCATTCCCAGAAACCAGCTACTCCCTAAATTTGTGCCCTCCCCGCCGCCACCTGCCACAAAGTACAAACCACACTGGCTTCCTCATTTACCCTGGCTTCTTTTTCAAGCTTTTCTTCTGGACAGTGGTGATTCCCCTGAACTCCAGGTCATCCTCGGACTCCAGCTTCTCCTTCACAGGATCCAATCAGTCCTGTGGTGCTAACCGCTCCTCTCATCCTAGCCATTCTCTCCACTTCTCAGACTCAGCGACTCTCTCTGGCTCCTCCACTCACCCTAAGCCACTTCCCCAAGCCCCTGTCTTGCTTCAGCTCCTCCACAAACCTGGCTGCTCCACAGGCAACTGTTCTTTCCAGCTACTCCCCGAGGCTCAGCTACTCCCTGAGTCTCAGCTACTCCACAGACCCCAGGAAATTCCCCCTCAAGCTCCTGCCCAGCCACTCCCCAGTCCAGAACACCCATAAGCTCTGATTCCCCCCATTAATCCCTCAGCCCCAAATCTTCCCATTCCTCCAGTGTCACAATAACACCTTATTGGGACCATTCCCACAGAAGCTTTGTTGATAGCTGCCTCAGTTTCCCCAGCCAAAGGAATTCTCTCCCACCACCCACCATCAGGGCCCTGCCCAGAGTACTCCTCTCTCCTCCCATCTACCCTCCTCCTTACCCAGCACTGTGTAGGACTCAGCTGTGAAGCGATCCCGTCCCCCACGACCCGAGGGCATCCTCTTGGGAGATGGAGTACCTCTGTGGGCGACAGGGAAGGGGAAGTCTCAATTCAGAACTCACCTCTCCCATCGGAGGGCTTCCCTGGTCCACCCCAGCCACGAGGAACTTTTCATCATTCCCTGACTGTCTGTTGTTCTTTTCATACACAGGGCCTCTCATGTCAGAACACACCAGTGCCCTTCCTCATCTGGAAAACTATTCAACCGTCAAAACCCATTTCAAAATCTCCTCTCCATTCACTCTTTGGGTCCCCCCAGCTCCACATCCCTCCCTCCACCCCAGCCTTGAGCACACTGGGCTTTGTGTGTCCATGTCCAGCTTGATCTCCTCCACCAGAGACTCGGGGAGGGGAGAGGGCAGGCTACCTGGCTGGGGAGTTGACGGGAGACGCCGTCCGCCCCTTGCCATCTTTCTCGCGAGCTTTGATATCCTGCACCTTCCCGCCCATGGCGTCCCACTCCACGGAGAGATCATCCACCCGCAGGTTCTGGTGGGATGTGGATGCATCCAGGCGGAACATGAACGCTGGGGCCAGGCAGATGTGGGAGTCACAGAGATGGGGAAACCCGGAGGCACAGAGAGAGACAGACAGTGACCAAGACAGACCATGACAGGGACAGAGAACAGAAAAACACAAAGAAACAGACTAAGACAGAGAGAGAGCAAAAGAGACCAATGGACAAAGATTCAGAGACAGAGAGATACAGAGACAACAGGCAGAAAGACACCAATAGACAAGATGGGGAAGAGTGGAGAGGGCAGAACATGTAGCCAGAGGAGTGAAGACCAAGGGCTTGTTGCCTAAAGGTATCCCAGGTCTGAAGCCATTTTCAAACCACTGTGCTGCCCTGTGCTTCTCCACTGGGGATTAATCCCAGGAAAGGGGCTGGGCTATAGCATGACAGAGTTAAGCAAGATTGCAGAAGGACTTCCTATCAGGACATTTAAAGGTGTCACTGTGGGAGGCTAACAAATCTGTCTTCAGTACTGATATCCCATTCCCAATTCTATAGCGTGCTTAGCCATTTTTTGGAAAAGAGAGAGAAAGAGAGAGAGGGAGACAGAGAGAGAGAGAGAATGTGTGTGTGTGTGTGTGTGTGTGTGTGTGTGTGTCTAAAAACCATCCAGGTATAATGGGATCAACTGCAAATGCAAAGAACAATACCAGGTTTATACCAGACACTCAGGCTAAGGAAGCTACTGTGGACCGAGCACTGAGCTTCCTGGCAACCATGGCAAAAAGGGTCACAGAATCCCGCTTAGAAGATTCTCCTCAGACACCAGTCCCTGGGGCCCTGGGAGTAAGGGGTTATGGTGTCTCAGCCAGGGCAGGGGTGGGAGCCAGTCACCTGGTGTCTCCAGGGTCACTGGCTCAGAGAACTCGCCTGAAACTGCCTTATTACAGGCCTTCACACGGAAATTCATGTATTTCATGTCAAACTTGAGACCTACGAGACAACAGAGCAATCAACATTGTGTACGCTTTGAGCAATAGATTAGAGGCCCCTGTGTCCCACAGTAATCCCACCACCCTTCATTCTAAGGAGTATCTTATAAATGACATCCCTGAGAAACCATCCTTGCCCTCATTCACCTGTGGGGTATCACTTGGCTCTGCCCACAACCCAGGCTGGCCAGTCAGGATGCTTTATGGCTCAGTCACACCAGTTGGTCCAGGGATAGGCACATGACCCAAACTAGCCAATCAGAATCTGCCCTGGGACTCTAGTATTATAACGAGCAGATTCTGTCTTTCCTCTGGGCTCGCCAGCTAGGAGGAAGCTCCTTTTGAGAAAATTTTCCAGCACATCGGCAAGCCTCCTTGAGAATGCAGCCCTAGAGCCACTGAGTGTCAGGAACGGAGCTGAGTGAGTCATTTGCTGGAACCCCTGGATCTAGCCATGCCTGGTTCCTTAAAGTCTTTCCATACTACTAGGTTATATCCTACCCTCCATTTCTATACTTTAAAAAATATATTATTAATTTCTTCTAATCTTATAAAATAAAAGCAACCATCAAGCTGTCTTCTCCCTCAAGCAAAACCTCTTTGGAGAGCTGTCCACACCCCCCTCTCAGCTGCCTCATTCCTCTCCTTCCTTTGGCCTTGTTAATCCTCATCTTTCAGGATCTCCTGGCTGACCACTCCTTCCTTCATGGAACATTCTCTTTCCTTGGCAGCCATGGCAGCCTGCCCCCTCTGATTGCTCCCCCTTGGTCTTCTTTGCAGGCTCCTCCATACCCTCAAATGTATGGGTGCCTCAGTCTGGAACCCCTGCTCACGTCACTCTGCTGACTGTCCCCTTCTCACCCTTCAGACACCACCTCTCCACCCACAGCACTCACAGCCCAACCTTTAGCTCAGACCACATGTCCAGCTGCCTCCTGGGCATTCCTCACAGGGTGCCCATTCTCTGGGCATCCCAAACAACACTTAGTACCCCCTGCTCTGAAATCTCCCATAGATCCCCTTGCCCTCAGGGTAAAGTCCCCGTTCCTCCTCTCCCCTCTCCCTACAGTTGTGGTTCCCTCTGCAGACTTAACTAGTTCCAGGCACAAAGGCTCAGTGTTCTGGCCTCTGAGCCCTTATCAGGCTGTTCTTCTGCCTGGAAGTCTGTTCTCCCCCTCTTCCCTTTTGGGCCTCAGCCTGGCTGTTAACCTCCTCCAGGTGCCCACACAGACTGCCTCACCCTCCCTTGGAGCCCCTTTTCTGAGAGTAAGGTGGTTTGCTCAGCAGCGCCATCTACTGCCCCAGAGCTAAGACTACCTACCACCCAGGAGGCTTGGTTTCAGAATCACAAACCCATCTGACTTTTGACAGTGCGTGCCTCAGTTTCCTACTCTGCAACCCAACAATCATATCCCCAACACTGAGGATGAGATGGGTCAAGGAATGTAAGTTATAAACTCAACCCAAACCTTCCTGTCTTCCAAACAATCAACGAGAGAGTAGGCGGACTGCAAATAACCACATAGGTTCTTTACAGAGGTGAGCGAATTCATCATTATCCTGAATATCGCAGGTCTTTTGAGGGATTCAAGTTCCTGCCCTATGGATTTTGGAAAAGGCCAGAGAGGCAAAGAGGATGCATCCAGAAGCCTGTGATGGAGAAGGTCTACACCTTGATGACGGTGGTGATGACACAGATTTACACATGGGATAAAATGGCACATGGGATTACACAGGCACACACGAATGAGTGCGTGTAAAACTGGTGAAAAGCGAGTCAACACTGCAGAAGGTACCCGTATCAGCTTTCTGGTTCTGGTATTGAGTTCTAGTTATGTAAGCTGCCACTACCAGAGAAAGCTGGGTATAGCCACACAAGGGACTATCACTCAGCCTTAAAAAAGGAAGGACATTCTGACACAGGGTACCACGTGGATGAACCTTGAGGACATGATGTTCAGTGACATAAGCCAGACATACTGTGTGATTCCACCTATATTAGGCACTCAGAGTAGTAACAATCGTAAGGACTGGAAGTAGAATGGTGGGTGCCAGGGGCTGCGGGGAGGGGAATGGGAGTTAGCGTCTAATGGGGACAGGGGGACTTCCCTGGTGGTCCAGCGGTTAGGACTCAGCTTTCATTGCCGAGGGTGTGGGTTCGATCCCTGCTCGGGGAACTAGGATCCTGCAAGCCGTGTGGTGTGGCCAAAAAGTTAAAACAAACAAACAAAGCTAGTGGGGACAGAGTTTCAGTTTTGCAAGATGAAAAGTTCTGGAGATGGATGGTGGGGAGGATGTTAGCACAACATCATGAACGCAGTGAATAGCTGATCTGTGCGCTTAAGAATGGTTGAGATGGTGAATTTTACGTTATGTGTGTTTTACCACAATAAAAAAAGATTGGGGGAAAAAATGGGATGTGTTTATTTTGTTTCCCATGCAAAGGATAAGCCAAGAGTTTCTCAGGCCCTCTCGCAGGTTGCTGGCTTTTCTTTCCTGCAATTAGCATGCTCATTAGTAACCATGCAGGCTAATTACAGCCCAAGAGCGGTGGTGATAGTTATCTCCTCAGCGAGACTCTCCCCGCCCCTGAGGATTTCCCTTGGCTCAGGATGGCTTCTTAACTCATTAGGGACCCCTAATTTTATCTTCCATCAGACCCTCCCCTACCAGCTGGACGGATTCCCCCAGGCTTTCTGCTCTCTTATAACTGCCAAGGAAATCCCCAAATCCTGGGAGGGTAGCCCCCCAAACACCAGTGCACCAGAGGAGGGATTTTCACCCACTTTGCTCCCCCACTACTCCAAGGATGGTGCTTGGTACCCTGCAGACATCAAGTCAAAATGAATGAATGAATGAATGAATGAACGAATGCTGGATCATAGAGATAAGACAGGGATGGAGGAGGCCCTCTCGGCCCGTACCTCACTCAGTTCCTTCATCTGTAAAATGGTGATAAGAAGCACGCCCATTACATGTGGGTAAAATGCTTAGCGCGTAGTAAGCCCTCAACACGTGGTACAGTGGCTGTCACCAGTATCGTTTTCATCATTGTTATTTCTGCTATGCCCCACTGGTCCAGCCCGGCTGCTCTCACACCCCACGTGCCTTGAGGATCGTCCATGAGCCCCAGGTTGACTGATGGGGAAGGGTGAGCTGCCCTTACCGGTCAGGGTATATTCTGTCTGCTGGATGCCCTCGATGACCATCCAGGGCTGGTCCTCCTTGAGGCGGGGCGGGCCCTCAAAGTTGGTCCGCCGATACTCCAGCACATAGTGGTCAATCTTGTTGTCCTCGTCCGGCATGCGCCACACCAAGGTTACACAGTTGTCGGCCACCAGGGACTCGGCCAGGTCGATCACAGGGGCACTAGGCACTGCCCAGGACAGAGCAGAGAGGGGTGTCAGGGCGCTGTGCCTGCAGGGGCGGGCCTTGCTGTAACCCCACCCACATAATAGACCTTCTTGGGGGCGGGGCGTCCTCTGGATCCCAGGATTAGGGGCGGGGCCCCTCTGGGTTGTGGGGCCTGGGGGTGGAACCTCCTCAAAGGGTGGAGGGTAGGGAAGAGATTTCTCAGGGTTTAACCAACAAATGGCTGGGCCTTCTCTGGATTCCACCATTCAGATGAAGAACATTTCCAGAACGCGACCAATTGGGGGTGTGGCCTCCATGGGACTCCACCCCTGGTGGGTGGGGCTTCTTCAGGGCTCTGTCACAGGGTGGGGCTTACTCATGGCTCCATCCACCATGGGGTGGGAACTCTCAGGGCTCCTCCCCAGGGCGGGGCCTTCTGGGGTTTCCACAAATGGCTGTCAGCCCTACTCTAGGCCTTGTCTCAGGGCCCCCCAGACTCCCGGGCCATTTCCCTGCAATCTTGGCCCTCCAGCAAGTTCCCCTCTCACCAGGCAGGAACGTGAGTGCCTGTAGCATCCTCCGCTCCTGTGCAAAGTCCACCATGAGGTGACTCATGTTGTCGCTGACCTTGGCTTTCAATGACAGCCGGAAGGCGGGGGCCATCGTCACACTGCAGGGAAGGAGGTGGACGCCCAGGCCTAGTCCTCTGAGGTGTGTGTAGGGGACCCCCTCCCCCTTCTTCCTGTCCAGTGCTCTGGGCCAAGGGACCCTCACCTGGGCATTCCCACCTTCACAACAGGGGTGGGGCAATGGGGTGGGAGCCAGGTCCCAGCATCTTACCCATCTTTGATTTGCTTGGCAGCCTAGAAAGAGGAACAGAATAAAATCCAAAGAATTGTGTTGACTGAGTCTGAAAGCCAGTATACAGACAGGAAGACTGAGGCCCAGCCAGGCATCTATGTGGCAAAGTGCCCCAACACTGGGGCAGAAAACCTTGGCTGTGCCCCGAAGGGATAGGGGGCAAAGACAGGCTCCCACCCCCACCTCCCACCCAGTACCCAGTACATACAGTTGGCTGATTTAGCAAATAAAAATTTTATAGGATGCCCAGTTAAGTTTGCATTTCAGATAAACAGGAAATGATTTTCTAGTATAAGTAGGTCCCATCCAATATTTCAGACACACTTATACTAAATATCGCACGTGACATATGACTAAAAAATTATTCGTTGTTAAATCTGAATTTCAGATAAAGAATGAATATGTATTTTTGTGTAAATATGTCCCATGCAACACTTGGGAAATATTTATACCAAACCTTTGCATGAGATATACTAAAAAATTTATTTGTTCTTAAATTTGAATTTCAGATCAACCACGATGAATTGTTCTTTTTAGCGTATGTCCCATGTGATCTTTGGGATGTACTTAGACTAAATATTGCATGGGCCATACTTATACTAAAAAATTACTCGTAGTTGATCTGAAATGCAAATGTATCTGGGGGTCCTGTATTTTATCTGGCAGCCCTACCAGTCTGGCTCCCGAGGCACCTACCTGAGGAAAGTCCCCGCGGTCCGTGGCCTGCAGGGTCTGGTTGGCCGTCTCCAGAAGCTCCTCAGAGCTCTCCAGAGCTCGCGTGCAGGCAGCCAGCTGGTTCTGCAGGCGCCATGGCACCGAGAGAAGAGACACCTTACTCCACTGCCTCAAGCCCTCCCAGGGCTCCCCACCGCCTTCGGGATGCAGGGTACCATGCCCTTCTCCAACTGCAGGTGGGAGAGGGAGGCTGGCCCTCTGCAGGCAGGGCATCAGAACCACCTGGGGATCCCTTCCTTAGAAATGCACATGCCCAGGCCACATCTAAGCCCAGGGCTCCACATCCCCCAGGGATGGGAATCTGGGGTGTTAGGAGGTTGCCCAGGAGGTTCTGGTGCAACCTCCAGCGACCCCAGCTTGGAATCTGAGACCCCAGGAGACTCACAGGCGGGTATTTGGCAAGGGGTGATGCCCTCAGATCTGGGGCACCAGTGGGAAGGGCTGAGAAATTGGAAGCGCTGGGTGAGGACAGGTGGGGAGGAAAAGCCAGATGTACGGGTGGGGCTGCAGCCGTGGAGAGGAGGGGTGGATGGGAGAGGGGATTAAGAAGGAGAGCAGGTGGGTGGGACATTAATAGGTCATGGCCAGGGAGGAGGCTGGGAAGACCCCAGGAAAAAAGAGGAGGTGTGGCCGACACCGCTAGAGGGTCTGGCTCTGGACACCGGGGACACTTGGGGACATCTCTGGGAAGGGGCACGGGAGGAGGGGCAGGTTTGGAGGAAGATGCTTAGGCCAGCTGGGCTCTGCTGAGTGCGAGGGGTGGGATGGAGGATGGCGTCTGGGCGGGGTTCCAGGAGAGCACCGCCCCCCCCTCTCCCCCCCCCCCCACCCCCGCACACACACCTGCAGCTCGTAGGCGCGGCTGGCACGGTCTTGCTTTATTTTCATGAGCATGCCCTCCTTCAGCTCCTCCAGGAGGGAGAAGAGGGACTGGAACTCGGCTTCCAGGTCTTCCTGCACCTTGGCCGAGTTCGCCTTTGGAGAGACATTGTGGGGTCAGAAGGGCTAGGATTGTCAAAGCCGGTGCTCAGATGGGGAAACAGGCCTGGCCGTGGCAGCCAGGCCCGCGAGTCCCATGGACATCAGCAGATTAGCTCGTATGGCTGCCCCTCCCTCCCTCCTGGGGGGGGTGACTTCCTTACCTCCACGTTCAACAGCATCTGCTTGAGGGAGTAGATGAAACTCTGAATCTCTTCGTTTTTCACAGCCAGTGTCGTGATGATCTTCCGCAGAGCCTCCTGCCCCCAGGGAAGCGCGCACACAGGTAAGCCCCTCAGCCTGGCCGGGCTCCCCGACTTGAGGCTCCCCATTCTGTCCTCCAGGCATCCAGGGAGGGGATGCGGGGGCCACGGTGCCAATGAGCTTGGGCATCCACCAAGAGCAGGCCCTGGGCGGAGCTCTGGCCCTACATCCCTCAGGAAGCGGGCAGGCATTAGACACCCTATGCGTGCCCATTTCACAGAGGAGGAAACTGAGGCTCTGAGAGAGCTTCTCAGGAAGGGACAGACCCTGGGCCCCAGTTAGGTCTGCCTGAGCACAAAGCCTTCAACCAGGTACCTATATCCTGAGGGCAGGGCATGATCCAGGGCGAGGGACTAGCTTCGGGAAAGAAACCCCAGAGGAAAAGGAGGCCTGCAGAACATGGGCTCATCTGGGGAAGGGGATACGCTGGGAAAAGGGATTAGCAAGGAGAAAGACGGTACCTGAGGGAGGGTTAGAGAGGCCAGGTAAGTGGAGAAAGGCAAGGAGGCCTGGAAGAGGGGATGCGGGAGGGAAGGAGGCCGCGTGGGGGGATGCTGCTGGGGCCTGTATCCCTAACCCAGGCCTCCGACGGGTGCTTTTCCTGGGGGCGCGGGATTGATGGGGTCACCAGTGCTGAGCTGGCGGGGCGTCCTCCGAGGCGGGGCGGGGCGGGGGCCGGGACACCTGGTCCGCAATCCGGGTGGAAGGCGTGGGAGATGGAGTCAAGGCTGGGTCCGGGGTACTGGGAGGGCGAGGGAGACATGGAGGGGATGTGCCCGAACCCAGGCCAAGATGATGCGGGGTCGTGGCGAGAGTGGGGGGGGGGCGAGTCTAGAATCGGGGCTAGATCCGGGCGCGGTTGCGGTGGGGGTGGGGCTTCCTCCGCAGAGCAGCTGGGGCGGGGGGGCGGGGAGGTAGCTGCGGCATCACCTGGTCCCCTCCTCTTGTCTAACCCCGCCGCGGGCCCCGCCCCGCCCCGCCCCGGTCTTACCCTCTGGTCCTCCATGGCTGCAGCCCAGGTCGTCCCCGGCCAGGGCCGCGGGTCTCACTCGCTCTTCTAGTCCCCAAGCTGCCTTTGCCGCTGCCGGTAGCCAATGGCCCGCCGAGCCCTCGCCGCCGCCGCCGCGCCCCCAGTCAGCGCTCCATCACTGGCCGCAGGGCGCAGGCGCGCCCCTCGCGGCAGACTGGGAAATGTAGTCCTTCTTGCGCTAGGGTCGCCGAGAGCCGAGACCCAGAGCCTGGGTCGTACCAGGCGACATTGCTAATGATGTCTGAGCTGGAGAGAGCCCGGAACTGGGAGGCAGGATGCCTGGGTTCGACTGCCGTGTGGCCTTGAGCCTACCCCTAGTCTTCCTAGTGCCTCAGTCTCCCCACTCTCTCACCCACACAACTTCTCAGCTGCCACTCAAACTGGAATTCCACTGCAACCCACCTCCACCTGGCCCAGAGATCTGCCCCCCGCAACTACTCACGCCTTACATTTACTGAAAAGCCAAAGTCTTTTGCACAAGCGGATGTTCAGCTTCCAAAGCCGCCTTTCCCTCCCTAAATCACAACTGAACTCCTATGCATCCCACAAAGCCCCAGGCTCTCACATCTCCTCCAGAAGCCTCTCTGCCTGCCCAGAATCCATAGGGCTAGGAGGAGGCTGGGAGGCACTTCCTGGGGAAGTGTGGGCAGAGCGCCACCGCAGGGGCCTCCCTGTGGTTGACAGGAACAATTCTGCCAAGAACACTGACCCTCTTCTTTCTGGTTGAAAAAAAGGAGGTCACACTGTGGTTGGGGGTGAGACATTGAGGCCTAGGAGTCTGCCTCCTCCTCCGGGGTGGGTACTGCCGGCTGTGGGGTGATGGGTGCAGGGCTGGGAGAAAGTCCAGAGCTTGTGAACCCCCTCGACTGGGCCCCCAATCTTCTCCCCAGGCTGTGGGGACAGGGGAGCCACCCTATCTGCCGTGGGACTCAAAGCCATTAGCAGAAATCCCTTCCTCTGAACCCCAAAGGAAGACACCTTGGGGGCAAAATAACTGAGCCTGGGATTCTGCCATTCTGTCCCCTGCTCAGGCCTCTGCCACCTGCTCTCCTCCCCTCCCCTTGCCTCACCTGCCCTTCATTGTGTCCCCCCCAGCCTAGGTGTGTTTGTATAGTCTTTTAGAAGGATTTTCGCTCACATGATCTCCACCACATACGCATACTGCTTTTCAGATTAAAAAAAAAAAACTTCTGGGAAACTGAGGCAAGAGGTGACAGGAAATGGAACCCCAAGCAGCAGTGGCCACCAGACGTCTGCTGGCTGCCCGGGTGTCACCTATACCTCTGTGGTGGGGGTGGAGTGTCACATATGTCTCTGTGGCAGGAAGTCTGTCATGTAGGAGGGGGAGGGGGTTGGCAGGATGCTGGGAGAGGGGAGCCTGATGGGCCAGGAATGGGTTCCCTGGGCAAGGTGCTGGTCCTCCTGGCACAGTTTTGGGGTGAGTACTTGGGCCTCCCTCCCCTCTACCCCCACCCTGTTGCAACCCATCACCCAGCTTCCTGCCCCTCCTATAGAGGGCCCCTCGAAACCTTAGTTTCTCTGCTCTGCCAAATAGGCCCCGTCTCTCTCCCTGATACTCAGAACTTTACAAGGGTTGGAGGGTTCTAGCAAGGATCCTCAGAGGGGCCTGCAGGATAAAATTCACACCATGACCTGCGTATGAGTCTTGCGTGACCTGGCTCCGCTGGCCTCTCATCTCCTCTCTCCTCTGCATTCCCTCTCTCCCCCGTGGCCAGCCTGCTGACTCTTCTCTCCTTTTTTCTTTTTTTTTTTTTTTTTTTTTTTTTTTTGCGGTACGCGGGCCTCTCACTGTTGTGGCCTCTCCCGTTGCGGAGCACAGGCTCCGGACGCACAGGCTCAGCGGCCATGGCTCACAGGCCCAGCCGCTCCGCGGCATGTGGGATCTTCCTGGACCGGGGCATGAACCCGTGTCCCCCGCATCGGCAGGCGGACTCTCAACCACTGCGCCACCAGGGAAGCCCCCTTTTTTCTTTTTTTTATCCCAACACATCAAGCTTGATCCCACCTCCGGGCCTTTGCACCTGCTGTTCCCTCTGCCTGGAATACTCTTCCCTGGATCTCCTCTCTCTAGCGTCAGCTACAACTGCACCCCAAAGACCGGGAACTTGAAGGGGTGTCTAACAGACACCCCGACTTCTCATGGCCCAAAGCAAACTCTTTCCCCTCCAGCCCTGCTTCTCCCTCGGTGTCCCCCATCTTGGCCCAAAGCCTCCACCATTCACAAAGTCCCTCAGGTTAAACCTTGGAAATCTGCCACTGTCCCTCTTTCCCTCTCTCTCAATTCAGTTCCTCTTGTAGTCCTTCTGGGGACAACTTTCAAAATCTATTCAGACTCTGACCACTTCTTTCCAGGGTCCGGCCCACATCACTGGTCTCCTGGACCCTCATTTCCTGGCCTCACCTGATCTCCCTGTGTCATAGTCTGTTCTCACCATGGCAGTCACGGTGATCTTTTTAAAACTTAAATTGGACCACATTTCCTCCCTGCTCCCCTGGTTTCCCATCACACTTAGGTTAAAAACTAAGCTGCTCCTCTTTCCCCACCCCCACCTCTGTACCTCCACCACACCCCACCCCAATGGCCTGCAGGCCTCGAAAAAGCCATCCCTGCTGACTTCTTGGATCCCACTTCCTCTCGCCGGCTAGCTCTTCTCCAGCCACAGGGTCTTCTCACTGTTGCTGCAACTTACCAGGCACGGTCCAGCCTCAGGACCTTTGCACGGCCCATTCCCTCTGTCTGGAGTGCTCTTCCTGCATATCTTCCTTCCCACGACTGACTACGTCTTACCATTCAGATCCCTGTTCAAATGTCGCCTCCTCTGAGAGGCCTTCCCTGACCATCCTCTATAAGTAGATCCTCTCACTTCATCCTTATCCCCTATTGCCACTCCCCATTCCTTTCCTCCGTCAGGATTCTCATTTCACGACTTCCAGTGTCTCTCTCCCCACAGACCCTCAGCTCCACAAGGGTAGGGATTTTTGTCTTAGTCACCTCTGTGTCTGTGTCCACAGTGGCCAGGACAGGGTCTGGCTCACGCGAGGCAATATGTGTGTGGCTGAGAGCCAGACACGTCATACAGTCCACCTTGAAATCTCGCAAGTGCCAAGAGACTTATCCCCATTTCACAGATGAGGCCATTGACCCTCAGCAAGAACCTTGCAAAGATCACACAGACAGCAAGCTTTCAGACTCTTACTGCCTCATCCCTGTGGGCTGGCTAATGCGGTAAGTCACACACACTCACACACACTGAGAAAGGCCTCAATCACCTCTTCTGTCCCCCAGGCCTGCAAGGAGCCACAGGCCTGAGTGTGCAGCAGGCACCCAAGTTGCTGCAGGTGAGGCAGGACAGCCAGGTGACCTTGGCCTGCCAGGTGGTGCAGGCCCAGGCCTGGGAGCAGCTACACATCGAATGGACCAAGGATGGTGACATCTTGTGCCAGACACGCATCATCAACGGCAGTCTCACCGTGGGTGTCTGCGGGCCTTGGGGACGGCTCTCCTGGCAGCCGCCTGGCAATCTCACCCTGCAGCTGGACCACGTGAGCCTCAATGACAATGGGCTCTACGTGTGCTGTGCGACCGTGGAGATCCCTGATTTGGAGGAGGCCCAGGGCAGTGGGACACAGCTCCTGCTGGAGACAGGTATGAGAGCATGTGCGGGCAAGCTGGGGACTTGGAACTTCCAGAAATCTTAAAACTGTAGAATCTCAAACTCCTAGAAACATAAATTCTCCAAATCAGATTCCTAGGAACAGAAAGTCTGCAGATGCAAGAAGTTTGTAAACTAGACAGCCTCTGTTGCAACAACTCCACTCTGCCGCTGCAGCATGAAAGTCACCAGAGGCATACCTACAGGAATGGGCAGGCCTGGATGCCAATAAAACTTTATTGAAAAAAACAGGCAATGGGCCATATTTGCTGAGCCCTGTTCCAAGATATCACAATTATAATAACCCTTGAATATATATAATTCTGGATTCTGGTTCAAAACATCCCATAAAACACGCTATTCAAGTACATCCTACAAACAGAGAAATGCACACACTGTAAGTGGCCAGCTCAATGGATGTCTTAGTCTGTTTGGCCACTGCTATAACAAAACACTACAGACTGGGTAGTGTTTTTAAATAAACCACAGATTTATTTCTCAGAATTCTGGAGGCTGGAAATCCAAGATCAAAGCACCAGCAAGGTTTTGTTCTGGTGAGAACCCTCTTCATGTTTCATAGCTTGCACCTTCTAGTTATGTCCTCACGTGGAAGAAGAAGCCGGGGGGCTCTCTGGGGTCTTTTTTTTTGGGCGTGCTGCACGGCATGTGGGATTTTAGTTCCCCAACCAGGGATCGAACTTGCGCCCTCTGCACTGGAAGCGTGGAGTCTTAACCACTGGACCATCACGGAAGTCCCCTGGGGTCCCTTTTATAAGAGCACTGATCCCATTCGTGAAGGCTCTACCCTCATGATCTAATCACCTCCCAAAGGCCCCGACCTCCAGTTACCATCATATTGGGGGTTAGGATTCAACATATGAATTTTAGAGGGATGTGTACAAACCACAGCAATGGATTCTCACAACCTGAACACACTTGGGTACCCAGCACCATGACAACACACATATCTGCTTCCTCATAGATGCTGTCCTCATGCCCACCCCACCATCCTGACCTCTAACAGCATAAATCTATTTTAACTGGTTTCACATTTTACTTAAATGGACTCACAGAGTATATTCTGTCTCCGACATCTTTCACTCAACCTGATGTCTGGAAGATTCCTCCATGTTGGTGTGTGGAGCAGTGGCTCATCCTTGCTGCAGAGCGGCCTCCATCACCACCAATCATTCCAATTTCCTACTGATGACCATTTGGGCAGCTTCTGGGTTCTGGCTATTATGAATAAGGCTGCTGTGAACAATCTAGAACTTGTCTTTTGGTCAACATATGGCCACATTTCTATTGTACCGAGGACAATTCCAGAATCTCAAACCACAAGATAGAATCTTGCAGTTCTAGGGCTTCCCTGGTGGTGCAGTGGTTGAGAGTCCGCCTGCCGATGCAGGGGACACGGATTCATGCCCCGGTCCAGGAAGATCCCACATGCCGCGGAGCGGCTGGGCCTGTGAGCCATGGCCGCTGAACCTGCACGTCCGGAGCCTATGCTCCGCAATGGGAGAGGCCACAACAGTGAGAGGCCCGAGAAAAAAAAAAAAAAAAAAAAAAGAATCTTGCAGTTCTAGAATCCTAGGGACATAAATTCCAAGCTCTGAGAATTACAGCATATGTTCTGCTTGCAGTTCTAGAATCCTAGGGACATAAATTCCAAGCTCTGAGAATTACAGCATATGTTCTGCATGGGACTGTCACTCCTAAGCAGGCAAAAATTTGTTCTTGGGAGCAAAGAAAATCTTACTCTTTTTATGTACAAAGCATCGATACGCAGACAGCCCATAAACAGAGTTACAGAATGTCTGTGGTATTAACATTTCATCGGGGAACAAATTAAGGTTCTTAGAACGTCTACTTAGGGGAGTGATAATGAAAAAAGTTGAGAAACACTAAAATAAAGGAATGGAAGATTCTAGAATCTTAGAGTTGTAGTCTTAAATACTTTATTTATTTACTTATTTTTAATATTAATTAATTAATCTATTTGTTTATTTATTTATGGCTGTGTTGGGTCTTTGTCGCTTGCACAGGCTTTCTCTAGTTGCCCCAAGCAGGGGCTACTCTTCATTGCGTTGCGTGGGCTTCTCATTGTGGTGGCTTCTCCTGTTGCGGAGCAGGGGCTCTAGGCATGCGGGCTTCAGTAGTTGTGGCTCGAGGGCTCACTAGTTGTGGCTTGCAGGCTCTAGAGTGCAGGCTCAGTAGTTGTGGCACACGGGCTTAGTTGCTCTGCAGCATGTGGGATCTTCCCAGACCAGGCTCGAACCTGTGTCCCCTGCACTGGCAGGTGAATTCTTAACCACTGCACCACCAGGGAAACCGGTCTGACTTTAAAAAGAGACTCTTAGAACTTTTTCCTAAATATTTATTTATTTACATTTTGGCCGTGTTAAGTCCCAGCTGCAGCACTCAGGCTCTCTAGTTGTGGCACATGGGCTTAGTTGCCCTGAGACCCATGGGACCCTAGCTCCCTGAACAGGGATCGAACTGGTGTCTCCTGCATTGCAGGATGGATTCTTAACCACTGGGCCACCAGGGGAGTCCCAGAGAGACTCTCAGAATTTTGCAATCACAAAGTGTATAGGAGCAGAAAATTCTAGAATTCCAGAATCCAGAATTGAAAACCATTGACTCTCGGGAATTCCCTGGGGGTCCAGGGGTTAGGATTCCATGCTTCCACTGCAGGGGGCACGGGTTCGATCCCTGGTGAGTCGGGGAACTAAGATCCCGCAAACCGTGCGGCACGGCCAAACAAATAAACGAAAAAGGAAGGCGTATGGACTCTCAAGGCTGGAAGCCACTTTCCCGATCGGCTAAGCCACCTGTCTCACTTTACAGAGGACGAAGCTGAGGCTCAGCAAGGGCCAAGACACATCCAACCACACACACAAGCCGGGGATGCAGCCAGCTTTCTCCAGAGCCCACCTCATGCGTTTCCCCCACTCTGCGTGACACCCCATTATAGGCCAAACCATAGGGGCCGGAGACTCAGGTTGACCCGATGGGGTCCTGCTCTCTCTCGGCGGTTCCCGAGGGCCTTGGGCACATGCCTGGCCCGTATCAGGCAGAATGAAGCACCACCCGGGCTCCCAGGCCCAAGAGACGCCCATTTGTCTCCAGCTGGCAGGACCCACCCGCTGCCTGCCTCTAGGGCGGTGTGTTATGGCTGTCCTGCCTGCCCCCCACCCCTCCAGTGATGAGGGGGCCAATTACCAATTAGCAGAGGCAGGGTAGCAGAGGCACCAGGCTGTGAGTTGTTGGCAGCTGTGAGGGAGCGAGAGTGAGCGGGCACAGGTCCAGCTCCCCACAGCTGGCTTTCCTATCCCTGAACAGCTGCTTGGAACCCTGGGACCACTGCCAACTTTAGAACCTCCAAGATGAAGGGGTTGGGGGCTCTGGGTCTCGTCTTAATCACAGGAGAAGGCGCCTTTGGCTGGGGTTCATGTCAGTTATACAGACCTGAAAGCACATCCCCGTTCTGCCATTCACTTGCTGTGTGACCTTGGGCAAGTGACTTGACCCTTCTGTGCCTGTTTCCTTAGTCATCAAAATTCAGCTAATAGTGCTTTCCTCATCAGATTAGGTGAATTTAAAGTGATTATATCTAAAGAGTTTATTGCAGGGTCTGGAACATAGTAAGTCCTCAGTAAACATAAGTGGTTATTATTGTGTCTATGATACTGATTATTCAGCAAGACTCAAAAATTCAGGCCCGTGTAAGTTTTTGTTTGTTTTGGTTTGGTTTTTTTCCTTTCCTTTCTTTCTGAAACAGGGAAGGGAGAGGGAAGCTGAGGGGAGAAACACCTTTGTTCAAAGCATGGCCCATCTGTTGCCTGGATGTGTGACTCCAGGCAAGTGACTCAGCCTCTCTGAGGCTCAGTTATCTTGGGATTGACACAGTGTAGACGCTCAAAAAACAGGAGCCATGAGGACGATAGATCCCATGATCAGGATGATGGAGCTCATGGTAGTGTTGGCAAAGTTCCTGGTGAAGATGGTGGAGCTCAAAATGAGGATGATGGAGCTCATGTTCAGGGTGATGGGACTAAGGGTGGGGATGATAAGGCTTGTGATGGGAACGGTGGAGTCTATTATGGCAGCAATGGGGCTCATGACAAGGGTGGTGCAGCTCATGGTGGGGATGATGGAGCTCATGATGAGAAAATCCCGTTGGCAGTTACTTCACAATAACCCAGCAAGATAGGAATGATTAGTATCCTTTTTTCAAAAGAGGAAACAGGTTCAGAGCAAATCCCTGCCTGAACTCACACAGCATGGCAGGGGCAAGAACCCTGAGGTCCCACACGGGGTAGAGGGGCTCTTACCCTGAAGAGGTGCAGGAAGCTGGACTCGAAGGTGAGCTCCCCTGAGACGTAGCTTTCTTCTCGGCAGATAGCTGGCTACTGAACCGGAGCTTCTCAGGTGAGTTCCGCCCACGTGTCCCTCCTCCAGCCCCGCCCCACCCCGCCCCCGTGCCCCGCCCCCAGTGAGACCGCCCACAAACCCCCACCGCCTTCCCAGGGCTCTCTTTCGCACTGCTGGTGACTGGAGCGGTGGCCGTGGCCGCTTTCGCTCTGGGAGCCTGGATCTGGGGCCGCCGCCGCTGCCGGAACAGAGACGCAGGTAAGGAACCGCGCAGGTAGCCGCTCGGAGGGTGGACGGTTCCCACGAGCACCGTCATCCACTGGCGACCCCGCCCCCGCGTGGCGGAGGCGGGAACTGCAGCTTCTTGACAAGGATGGAACGCAGACCCTTCTGACTTTGATACCTGCCCCTTTTGGAAGGAGCGAGGGTGAGGCTGGGAGGCAGAGAAGGGGAATAGATGGGGAAGGCTGGCCCCTACACCCATGTTTTTCAGAGGCATAGACAAAGCCTCCAGAAAGTGGGCTGGAGAGGGCCAGGCTCTCTTAAGTGATTCTGCCCTCTTGGTGTCATACCCCCCCTCCTTCCAATGCAGGGAATCCACTCTACATCAATGCCTTATATCAGCCCCGGAGGGCCCCAAGGAAGAGTGAAGCATGGCCTGTGTAGGGGAAGATGCTGGACATCTCCAGCAAGAATCAGAAGGGCCAAAGCTTCTATTCGATCTCTTTCCCCTGGCCCCCCACCCCCAAGCGGCCTCTGGCTCCCAAATCTTCCTCCAGCCCCAGGCCCAGTCACCCCATCTCTGCAGTTGAAGTCCCTCCTGGCCCAGGCCAAGAGGATTCTTTGAAGTGGGAAGACGAATCAGAACCCCCAGAGACCAACAGAGGACACCCCCCCAGCAGCTACGTAAAGATGTGACTTATTCCAAGAGGATCACGAAGTCCAGCAGTTCATCCTGAGACACGCCCCCTCCTCATTTCTATGAGTCTGGATTTCTCCCTTGCCCAAAGAACACCCAATAAAGGCTCATGAAGAAACCAAAGCCAGAATGTGTGGCAATTTGGGAGTGCTAAAGAGATCTGAGGAGTCATCAGGGGGGTCTCAGAGGACCACTGTGGTGAGGGGGCTCTTTGACGACTCGCAAGCCTTCCACCTCTTATCCTTGGAGAGACATGTCCAATTAGCAGAGAGAAGTGATGCCCCCGGCTTCAAAACCGTGCCCGGAGCTGGACGCACCCCCTCCCCAGCTGGTATCTCTCCCCCAGGCAGGCTTGGAGTTGGGTGCGGGGGGGGGGGGATCGGGGCTTCCTGGCATTTATCAGCCCCCGGCGTCTCCTGCCCGACTGTCACCTTGAAGTGACACCAGCTGGGCCTGGCTCCCCTCCCCCACTTCTGCTGTTTCCATGGGGACAGATGTCCTTTCTGCAGCATCAGCCCTTGCCCGCCCGCCCGCCCCGGATAAGGAGGAGGGGCAGGGTGGGGGCAGGGCTGGCCTGAGAGCCTCGCCCCCTCCGTTTCTCCATCTTTTTAATCTGCTGGTCTCCATCCACTGTCTCCGGAGTTTTATCTGCCTCCATGCCTCTCTCTCCCTGCCTGTCTCCAGCTCTCTGAATTCTGGTCCCTCCCTGTGAGCCATTCAGGCTCCAACCCCAGCTCCATCCCCAAAACAAGGAGCTGGGGATGCTCTTCCCCCTCCAAGGGTCTGCCTCCCCTTTTCCTTCTGAGGGGCTGAGATCCCCACCTCCCAGAAAGGACACTTGAAACACACAATAACTTATTTATTTTCCAGGCCAGAGGAGGGCTTCGAGACACAATTCTAATCCCTAGAACCTAGAAGGAGGCTGAGCAGGGCGGCTCTGATGAAGACCCAGAGCCTGGAGGGGCAGGGGCGGGGTTCTCTCCATCCAGCCTTCTCCAGGACTGGGAAGACCTCCACCGTTTGCAGCCACTGATCTGGGTCCTCACAGCCCAGGGCGGGGGGCTGAGGCTCAGTCAGGGGGTCTGTGAGACCACGGGGTACAGCAGGGCCAGATGCTCAGCGCCCTGCACGGGCAGTGGGCGGGAGCTATAATGGAGCACCAGCTCCGGCACGCTGGGGAAGGGGCCGCTGTGCTGACCCAGCACGAACTGGTTCTCTCGGATCCGAGCAAACTTCAGATGCAGGAAGCCCTGGCTGCTCCTGGAGACAGGAGTCAGAGGGGGTACCCAGCACTCCAGACCCGCCCACACTCTCCAACCCTAAAGCCACCCCCTCATGGCCCCCAGGAGCCCGACGCTGGCATCCCCTAATATTTCTGATTAACAGCCACTTGGCGTCAAGCTCTTGGCTAGTTCCACACTGCGGGGATGCCTTCCGAGCTTGTCCCCTATCAAGACAGGCTGGAGCTCCTACCAGGTGGAGGTCCCTCCCCAGGAACACAGAAGGCACTTTCTCTCCAAACCTCTTGACACCTTGTGCTACCTGTCCTGGGCTCCTCACTAGGGTTACCCTCAGTCTAGGGTCCCTGGTTCCCCATCTCACTCAAGCCCTACATCTACGGTATGGCTTCCTCTCCATCTTCTTGCGTACCTCCAGTGACAGGGTGTTCATTCTCAGTCGGAACCAAGCCAGTGGCCCCTCTGGAAGCCCCACCCCCTGGCCTGAAAGCTCTGTCCATCAGCCCTGGAAGTCCCGCCCACTGGCTGCTGGAGACACACCCCTCTGCTCCGGAAAGCACGCAGTCCTGAGACCCTCTGTCCCTCCAGGGGGCTGCGGTCTCACCTGAGGGATAGGGAGCAGTCTTGGGGGCTGGTCTCGCTGAGCCGCACGAGGTAGCTGCCTTCCTTGCAGAGCGACAGGAGGTTCTCGGCATCTGCCCGGCTCAGCGGGCCGTGAAACCACCTAGGGGGTGGGGACAGGTCTCCTGAAGGGCAATCCCCCTCTCCAACACGTCCTGGGGCTGGATGCAGGCACAGCTCTTTCAAGGACTTGTGACGTCCAGGCAAACAAGTGAGACAAATTCCCTTGGATTTCTCAAGAGGAGCCTGGTTTTCAGGCAGACAAGGTTCTCCCTGGGAGGGAGCTGAACCCAGGTCAACCTGGAGCTGCTCCTTCCAATTCAGCACATACCCCGACCTTGATTTTTACAGCCTCCCTCAGCTGGGTCTCCAAGTGTCCTCAACCCCTCCCTAATCCCCCAACTCGAATCACTTGCATATCACTTTCATGAGATTCACCACATCCTGTATCCCCAACCCACCTGTACCATTTGTTACATAATATTTTTCTTTAATGTGCTCAAAGAGAAGCTAGCAGTGGGAGCAAAGTGTCAAAGACAGATGAGCACCAAACAGTTGTTTGTATTGAAAGAAAATACCCTGTGCTTGTGTTAATTAGGCAGTTCTGTACGGCCCACCTAAGAGGTTTGGGAATGACTGTGATAAACACACCCTGGTACTCACAGGGCTGGGCTCTGGGGGCTCGGGGAGTTCCCTGAGAAGCTCCTAGACTGGAGAGACACAGAGAACACCCAGACTCTCCCAGCTTGTGAGCTTCACCCCAGCCTAAAGTTGGGACCCCTTCAAAATCCTGCTTCTCCCACTTTCACCACAAGATCTCCTGGGGGTGAGAAAGATGTCTCTTTGCTCTCAGGCTTATAAACCCCACTCAAGGGAGGAAATCCCCTTTTATTCTGTGTGAGGCAGACACTGTCTTGGAGGTGTTGAGCCCAAGGTTTGGAGAGATTAAGTGACTTGCCCAAGGCCACACAGCCAAAAGATAGAGAAGGGATTTGAACCCAGAATCTGACGCCGGAGGGAATGGAGACGCCACCTGATTCTGCTTTGCACCGAGCTGGGTGTCTGGCCCACAGCAGGCGCTGTCACCCAGCGAAGATTAGTTGAGGAAATGAATGAAGTGAATGAGTGAAAGTTCCTCCAGCCCCCCTGGCCCGAGGAATCTGTGGCTGGTGTGGGGCAGGGAGGGATTCAACTCCATCTTCAACTTCCCCACTCACGGCTGTTTTTCCAGAGGCAGGGCCGGGTCCACGCGCTCTGCAGGCTGGGGGCTTCGGGGCGGGAGTCTCCGGAGTTCCTTGGCTGAGCCTGAGGTTCTTTCCCACTCTGGACCGTCAAACTGCACTGGAGAAGATTTAAAGAGAAAATGGTTAAGTCCCGCCTATCTCAAGAGGGTGGGGTGGGGGCAAGCCAGTGGAATTTCAGTAGGAAGGCGGTGCCAGCTTAGGGCAACCTATCAGAACCCAGAAGAGGAGGGGTTGGGCTTAAGGCTGGGGCGGGATTGGTACGCGAGCAACCAATTAGCCTTCAGAAGAAAGGGGTGTGGTCATTCTTGAATCTGGTGGCATGGAAGGGTGGGCAGTTCCCTGAGTGATAAATCAGAGAGCAGGGGGTGTGGCTAGAGGGGTGGGTGGGAAGTTCTGCCTGATTTTGGCCAACTCATAGAGCTAGAAAACCACCCTCAATATACAGACAGGTAGACTGAGGCACTGAGCTCCAAGTTCCCTCACAGTCATACAACTTCTGGGGCAGATTTGGGTACGCACAACTCTTCCTGGTCCAAGGTATTTTTTTCCTATATATATATTTTTTGGCCGCACCATGCAGCATGTGGGATCTTAGTTCCCCGACCAGGGATCGAACCCGTGCCCCATGCAATGGAAGAACGAAGTCTTAAACACTGGACCGCTAGGGAAGTCCAAGTTATTTTATTTCTTAAAGCTGACCTTATTATTCCCTCTTTACAGAAGAGGAAACTGAGGTTCGGAGACTTATCCAAGCTTACCCAACTCAGTTACGAATCGACTCCAGGAAATGCTACCTTCTTCCACAACGGCTCCTGTGTAATTGAGCACTTTAGAACTCAATTTACAAGTACCCTATTCGATAGGTACTAGAATGATCCCCATTTCACAGGTAAGGGAACTGAGACTCAGGGAGATAAAGGGATTTGCCCAAGTGACACAAACCCAGATCTAGTGTGACATCAAAGCCTATTCCTGCACTATACTGAGCAGAATGAGTAGGTTCCATTGCACTCTGAAAGGGGAATTCCCTGGCAGTCCAGTGGTTAGGACTCTGCACTTTCACTGCCGAGGGCCTGGGTTCAATCCCTGGTTAGGGAACTAAAATCCTGCAAACCACGCGGTGCAGCATAAATAAATAAATAAATGGGGTTTCAGTTTCCAAGGAAGTTACAGATTCTCCTGGGAAGATTATGACTATCAGTCATTCACACTTTAGTGAGAATTAACAAACTACCCAAGTGACAGGTGATGGGGATTTACTCTGTAAGTTGAAACAGGGGATGTGACCAGAGCAGGAAATAGAGGGACACAGGCATTCAGAGGTCAGGGTCAGAGAAGCACCTGCAAATGCCTTGGAGATGTGGTCTTTCTTCCACTCCCAGGGCTGGTCATACTCGTCTGCTGGCCGTTCATCCTCCTGGGGCAGCCGGCTCTGCCGAGGTTTCCACCCTGAAGGAGGCCCATCTCCCAGATCTTGGTCCTGCTCCTCATAGGGAGTGTCATACAGCTGCACCCTCCTGTATGGCAGTTCTGGGAGGCCAAGGACACTGGTCAGCTCCCACTCCCACCTGGGACCCTGTCACCTTCCCCCAAGCTCTGCCCACTCACCGCTCATGACTCGCTGGGCATCGTAGGGCTCCATGTAGCCGTCATCCGGGGGTGACGGGTGAGGTTGGGCATCAAAAGGGTCCGAGTACTCGGTGTCGACCTCCAACTGGAGACAGAAAGGAAGGGGAGGGAGTCAAGGGTTCAGGGGGACCAAGCCTAGCTCTGAATACCCCTGCTGGGCAATACTACACCTCTTGCCTGCTGTCTCTGTGTCATCTGATACATCCCCTCCAAGCAAGTAGTTTCCTCTTCCACCCGCGAGTGTTTGCAGATAGAGCTTCCCTTACTCTCTTCCTCTATGCTGTTCTGATTCTCCCCGACACAGATCCCTACCTCCCTCCTTCAATCATTTTAATGATTAGGTCCCAGTACTGTTCTAAAGGCTTCACATATATTTACTTGTAGCACCAACACTCAGTAAGTACCTTATCCCCATTTTACAGATGAGAAAACCAAGGCATAGAGAGGGCAAGTGACTTGCTCAGGGTCACACAGCTGATAAGTAAGAAGCAGCGCTTGATCCTTGGTTGTCTGCTTCCCCGAGTCCCTGCTTCCTCCTACCTTTCTCTGTGCCATTAACCACTACCTGACACAGCCTACCGTAACCCTCTTTGAAGCCTTCTCTGTCTCTCCACTGAGGGTTTGGGGTGGACCCCCTGATCCTCTAGGAAAAGTACCGAAAAAAAAAAAAGCATGGGCATTGGAGGCAGGTTTGGGTTCAAGTTCTAACAAGCTAGAGCCATGTGACCTTGGGCCAGTCGATTCTCTTCTGTGAGCCTCAGTTTCCACTTCTGCAAAATGGGAGTAATAAGAGAGCAAGGGTGGAGAGCAGTGGTGAGGATGTTTAAGTGACCACAGGAAACTGACTCACTCAGATCTGTTTAAGGAAGATCCCTTCAGCTGCTAAGAGGAAGGGAAGCTGTGCGGAGGGATCCAGAAGGGGGGAATCAGGGAGCAGGAGGACAGGGGCACAAAGCCAGTCAGAGAGGGAGGAGGACAACCAGCGCTGTGCAGTGAAAAGGGGCAGATATCAAACTCCACGAAGCGGATGGAGGATTGGGGAGTGTCCGGCTGGTGCCCTGGTCTTTCCCTGGGGTAACACATAAAACACGCTCCCCAAAGTCCTGGGGAAACCTAGCCTGGCCGCCCCACCCAGTCTCCTGGGGCCACCCAACCTCTGGGCCTTAGCCACGCACCTCTTCCCGGGGGCTGCCCAGCAAGACCTTGGCTCTGGCCATGTCAACTGCCTCCACCTTGATGAGCCGGTGCTTTGGAGAGTCGTACTTGGTTTCTCCAGGGCCCTTGGAGTCCCCGGGCCCCGCGGAGTCGGTCTCTAGGCGGCCATCTGCATCCTCATAGGGGTCCTCAAAGTCCAGATCCTTCTGTTCCCGGTAGGCCCGCAGGATGTCGCTGTCCGTGTAGTCGGGGGTGGGCGGCTGCGGAGGGGGCCTCCGACCGCCAAAGCTCAGGTAGTCTCGTAGCCACTTGGCCATTTGAGCGAGTGTCACCCCAAACCTGGCCACTGTCAGAAGAGGACCCACATGCCCTCTTCTGGACCCTCTTCCTCGGCGGAGTCCCCAGGGAGGAGCAGGGGGAGAAGGAAGGGAGGAAGGGAGGAGGAGAAAGATCAGGTGTGACCCTTGGCTGGGCTCAGAGGAGGGGGAAAAGGGGGGGAAAAGGAGGAGACAGAGGAGGGAGGAAGGGGGAGGAGAAGCAAAAGCGCACCTTAGCCCGGCTCTGGAAGGACGGCGGGGGAAGGGGGCGCCCCGTAGGGCCCTGAACGCGGAGCGCGGGGTCGTCCAGCCAGAGCGAGGGGCATCCGCGGAGTTTCCGCGGGCAGCGCGCTCTCCTTGCACGGCTCGGCCACCCGTTGCCTCCGGGAAGCTCCGGGATCCCTTCCTGGGGGCCGGGGGCGGGGAAAGCGCCGCCTGCGGACGCCCCCAAGCCCTGGCTCAGCCCGGACGCCTGGGTTCTCAGCGCAGCGGGCAGGCTCCCCGGGGACTCGGGCGCCGCGCGCAAAGTTGGGCCGCGGGGACGGTGACCCCGGTGCGGCGCATCCTTTGTTGCGCTCCTCGCCGCTCCGGGGGGAGCCCCAATCCCGCGGCCCCCGGCCCGGCCGCCTCGATCCGGCCCCAGTCGCGGGCACAAAGGAAAATAAAATCTCCAATCCCCCTTCACGCTTTCGGAGAGACTTTACCCGCAGCCGCCGGCGCGCGCCCGGGAGGTGGGACTTTGGGGAGGGGGCTCTCAGACGGACGCCCCAGCCCCTACCAGTACCGGGCCGGGTCCCGGGCAGCGACGTCAAGGCTTCCCCGCCCCCTCCCCTCCCCTCCCCCTGCGCTCCCCTCGGAGGTGACTGAGACCTTCAGCTGTTCTGGGGAGGGAGGGGAGCATCTGCCCGGGGAGGGAGGGGGGATGCGGGGCGGGAGTCGCGGGGGCCGAGGCCGCGGCGGCTGGACAGTGACCCGGAGGACCGAGGCTGGCAGGAGCGAGCGAGGAGCACGGGAGGTGGAAACCCACAGGGGCTGACCTTGCTCCGGAGAGCGAGAGGTGTTGAGATGGGGAAGGGGGAGAGGGAGGGGAGGTGGAAATTGGCCGGGAAATGGAGGGCTGGACTTGACCGCGAGCAGGGATGAAATTGACCAGCAGAGGGGGTGAGCGTGACCACTATTGAGGGTTGAAATTGAACCAGGGTCTGGCGGCGAAACTGACCAGGAGATTGGGGTTGTGGAAATTGTTCCAGAGGTCACCGGCTAAAATGAATATTGAGGCAGCCAAAGGAAGGGGGGTTTGCAACGGAAGGGACGGGGTTCTGGCTTCCCCTCCCCCAAGAGGGCTCTTCTCCGTCCCCTCTCCCCCGGGGACTAATTGCAGGATGGGGGAAGGGGTTTGGGGCAGCTGGCCAGGGGAAAGGAGATGGTATCTGTGCCTGGAGTGTGCCTTCGGCATCTGTCCCTTTGTGGTTTCTGGGGGTGGAGGCCGGGAGGGGGACAGAAATGAGAGGTGTCTCGCCTGGCCTGGCTGCCTGTTGGCAGCTGCAGCTGTCAGGGGGCGAGGACACTAACGGATTTGGGGGGAGTAAGATAGGCAAAGGGAGCTGCTGGCCAGTTCCAAAGCAAACACATTTTTTTTCTTTCCCCATAAGGGGGCTTGCTCAGTGACCCCTAATAGAAAGAGTAAGAGAGGGGTAGTCAGGAAGGATGGAACCTCAGATTCCCTCCTCCAAGCCCCCTAGGGTGGGTGTGGCTTGGAGGGGAGGCAAGACCAGACGCAAGTCAGAGCTGACACTGTTGTGAGCTCTCCCCCACTCCGCCCCCCGCAAAGAACAGTGGGGCCTGGGCAATGTCTATGCAGGCCACGCTTTGCTTTCCTGATTTGAAAAATGGGGTTTCTAATAGGAAAAACTCAGAGAGCTGGAGGAAGGATCATCAGGAGGATGTGACATTTTTTTCCTGATGGGGAAACTGAGGCACAGAGAGGGGAGACACACCCCACAGCTCATTTCTGCCTGGATGCTGTGATATGGCCTGGCTTGGGATGGCATTCGACCCCCATCAGGTCTCTTCGTGGAATCAGAGGTTCTCCATCTCCCCTCCACTGTTAGCCCCATTTTCCAGATGGGAAAACTGAGGTCCAGAGCCGATGAGGCAAGGCCCCTCACGGCAGCAGGGGTGTCCGTATGTCCTCCCCTCCTCTTTCCTGCTTTGGCTGAGTTGGCCTCCACACGAACCTGTTGAACTTGGTCCTCCCTTCCGAAGAGCACTCACACAGACCCCCACCCCACCCCGTCCTCTCTGATCAGCGACAAGGCAGCATCCCTGGGGACTGCCCAGGGAGCACGGCAAGTAATTGTCCTGTTTTCTGTCAGCCGCAAGGCAATACCCGGCTCGGGGATGAGCTGTTGACAGATCTCATCAAATCCGAGTCCTCTCCCTGTCAGATAAATACGCGATGTCTAAGGTATAAATATTTGAAAGGGGCCTTCTAATTCCGGTCTGTGTCAGGAATAGCAATTAGAGGCCCTGGAGGCAGAATCAAACGGCGTTTGACTTTCCTGCGCTTTTGAGCTGGGTTCTCCTGGGGCTGCCCCCACTCCCACTGCAGGAGCAGGGATGGGGCTTGAGAAGGGGCGGGAGATGGTGGACGAGGGTTAGAGCCGGGCTGGAGGTCTGGCGGCCCTGCAGTGGTATGACCTTGAATAGCCAGTAACCTCTTGGGTTTTGCCTTTCTGATTGGGGGAGGAGGGAGCAAGAGAGCAAAGCCAGGAGGCAGGCACTGCATGGACAAAGGCAAGGAGGTGAGTGGTCTGGAGGTCCTGGGCTGATGGGACCTCTTTTTCCCCAGCATTCAGGGTCTGAAAGACGGTCTATCAGGGTCTCCTCCATCAAGGTCTCCTCCCGGGTAGCGCTGGGTTTCTGGAATCCCAGCCCACCTGACCTTGAGTAAGTGACCTGGCCTGTTTTCCCGTCTATGAAATGGAACAGCTAACCTTTGTTGAGCGCTTACTGCCTGGCACTGTTTTGGGTGCCTTAAAAAAAATTTTTTTTAAATAAATGTATTTATTTTTTACTTACTTATTTTTGGCTGCATTGTGTCTTCGTTGCTGCGCACGGGCTTTCTCTAGTTGCGGCGAGCGGGGGCTACTCTTCGTTGTGGTGCGCGGGCTTCTCATTGCGGTGGCTTCTCTTGTTGTGCAGCACAGGCTCTAGGCGCATGGGCTTCAGTAGTTGCGGCAGTTGGGCTCAGTAGTTGTGGCTCACAGGTTCTAGCGCGCAGGCTCAGTACTTGTGGCGCACGGGCTTAGTTACTCCGCGGCATGTGGGATCTTCCCGGACCAGGGCTCAAACCCGTGTCCCCTGCATTGGCAGGCGGATTCTTAACCACTGCACCACCAGGGAAGCCCCTGAATAGTATTTTCTTGTATGGCATACAGTAAGTGCTCAACAGATGCTTAGGGTGGATGGGACCTCAGGAAGAAGCCAGAGGGGGTCCCTGGCTGGGGGCTGCGCCTGCTCTCACCTCACGGATCCCCATGTCTGCAGGGGGGATGGGAGCCAAGGCACCAGGACAGGAGGGGACCAAGTGGGGATGACCCATGGTGGGACCTATAACCTCCTGATCTGATGGAGGAGACATGGCCCTGATTTAGGAGCTCCTAATCTGATAGAAGAGACGACCTCTGCTCTCAGAAGCTCCTGGACACAGCCCTGCCTTCAGCTCAGTCTGATGGGAGAGACATAGTCCTGCCCTCAGAAGCCCCCAGTCTGACGGAGATGTGTGCAAGCGTCAATAGGCTCCCAGTCTGAAGGGAGAGGCACGGCTCTGACCTTAGGAGCTTCCAGTCTGATGGAGGAGATGTGTGCAAGCGTCAATAGGCTCCCGGTCTGAAGGGAGAGGCACGGCTCTGACCTTAGGAGCTTCCAGTCTGATGGAGGAGGCATAAGACTGACCTTCGAAGTACCCAGTCTGACACAGGAAATACGTGCTTGCTTTCAAGGGCTCCCAGTCTAACACTGGCCTTCCAGGGCCCCAACCTGATGGGGGAAGCACAGACCATTCCCTGGAAGCTCCCAGTCTATAGGGTGTGGTGATCGAAGGTGTAGCCTTGGAGCCTCACAGTTTCAAAGCCAGGTCCAGCCCCTCACCCACTCTGAGCCCTTGGCCAAGGAGCCTCCTGCCATCTGTAAAATGGGGCGGTGGGTAAGGGAGCATGTGCCCGACGGCATGGGTGGCAGAGCCCTGGCATGGAGGGAGCTTGGGGCAGCGCTTGGCCCTCAGCGAGAGCTTGGGAAGCAGGAGCGGCCCCTTGTCTCCTTTGTGAAGCCCAGGCTCAGGAGGGAGGGGGTTCCAGCATAGGGGAGACCACCCCCCCAGTCCCTCTGATGTGCTCCAGCAGCCAGGCAGCCCCCAGGGAAGTTGATGTAGGAGATTCCAGATGAGGCCTGACAGCTCCCAAGGACCAGATGACAGACATGGAACTCGTGGGGGACGGGGACTGTCGGCAGCGAGCCGGGAAGGGCAGGCTCCAGAGAGCAAAAAGGGGGTATGGATCTCGGGGTGGCGGGCTCAGAGCAGGGAGCGAGGGGGCATGCAGGCTGAGGCCCTGGAGGGTCAGCACACACAACAGACCCCCTGTCCAAAGTGTTGCTACGCTGTCCCTCTGCCTGCTCGGCCCTGGGAACCCCTGCAAGAAAATTGGGGACCAGGAGACAAACTGTTCCCAAGACACGGGTGGGAGAGCAAAGCGTAAAAGCCTGCGGGGAAAATAAGAATTAAAGAAACAATTCCAGTGTAGTGTGGAGGAAAGGGGAGGGTGGCAGACAGTGGGCAGAAGCGTGGGGCTCCCTGGGCCTCAACTTCCTCATCTGTGAATGGGGAGATACTCACTCAGGCTACATACATTAATTGAGCACCTACTAAGTGCCTAGCTGGTCTTAGGTGCTGGGGACACACTCATCAACACACGGACCCTTGCAAAGCTCACTGTGCAGGGGGGTGTGCAGGTAGACCCTCAGGTGGCTCCTATGACCCCAACCTCCTGGTTGTCACACAAGGTGAGCCCCTCCCCTGGAACGTGGGAGGGATCTGTGGCTTGCTTCTAACCGCGGAATACTGCAACAGTGATGGGCCGTCATTTCTAGCAGACTCTCATGAAGCCAGTCCGTGCAGGCAAGGAACTGAGTGTGGCCTCTGGCTAAGGGTCCATGAGTAAGTGAATTCTGCCAACAACCACGTGGGTGAGCTTGACGCGGATCCTACCCCAGTCAGGCCTTCCCGTGAGACCCCAGCCGCAGCCAACATCTCAACTGCAGCTGTAACAGACCCTGAAGCCGAGAACCCAGTGAAACCACATCCAGATTCCTGTTGTTTTAAGCTGCTAGATTTGGGGATCACTTGTTACACAGCACTAGGTAACTAATACAGAGAGCCACAAGCAGTACGCACACCTCCTAAGTACTCCCATCAGAACTACCCTACCCTGCTTTAATTGCAACATTAGCGCCACCTCTAGTATCATTTGTTTACATCTTATTTCGATATATGAGTAAATATTTTGGCTTTGCAGGTCACAGAATTGCTGTTTTAATCACTCACCTCTGCCATTGGAGAGCAAAGGCAGCCGTGGGTGATATGCACACAAATGGGTGTGTAGGTGTGCCAATAAAACTTTATCTACAGAAACAGGCCACAGGCCACCTTTGGCCTGTGGTTCAGAGTTTGGTAACCCATGTTTTAGAACGGAGTCAGGTTAACAATAATGTTAAGTAAATAATAGCAACGGATGGTGCACGTACATGGCAAAAATTGTGGTGGATTAAGAGCAATGGCAGTTCAGGAAACCGTCTGAAAGAATGAATTGAAATGAAGCAGAGAGGCCCCAGCCCCCCAATTTCTTTTCACAACTACTTAAGCTGGGTGACTTCTTTACTTTTTATTTTTTGTTTTTATTTTTAGGCTGTGCCGAGCAGCTTTCGGGATCTTAGTCCCCCCACCAGGGATTGAACACAGGCCCTCAGCAATGAAAGCGCCGAGTTCCTAACCACTGGACCGCTGGGGAATTCCCTGGATGACATTTTAACCCAGAGTCTCTGAATGGCCCACGTCCAGGGCACTGTCTGCAGGATGCTGAGTTGGGGGAAAACAGGGAGTGGTGTGCTGGTACGGGCTTCACAGCTGGCTCTGGTGTGGGGAACTGGTTTGCAGCATCTGCCGATTTCCGTGGTGTAAACACTCCGTGGTGGCCAATTTTAAGCCATAAACATGATGCCGCTGGGTGCAAAACTGGGAAGAGATGCACGACGCATCAGTTCTCACTAGCTGCCAGTGTGGGCTGGCTTTAGTCCCCACCGTCAGGGCTTTTTTTTTTTTGGTCACGCCAAGAGGCACGTGGGATCTTAGTTTCCCAACCAAGGATCAATCCTGCGCCCCTTGTGGTGGAAGCGTGGAGTCTTAACCACCGGACCGCCAGGGGAGTCCCTGTCAGGGCTTTGGAATCAGACCCACCCAGGTCCTGTCTTCGCAGCCATGGAGCTGTAATGTAAGACCCCCAAGCCCTCATCAGAAGCCCTGGTTGGACCCTGGTTCACCTCGTTGTGCTGTCCTAAGCAAGGAAATCACCTTAGGAAAGCGAATCCCCAAAGTGGGGTCGTTTCATCCCCTAAACTCTGACAGTGAAAAACACAAAGCCTCATTATCAAATGCCAGATGACAGTCTGTGTGTGTGTGTCTGTGTGTGAGAGGAGGGCTAACGTCTGTGACCCCGGGAGGGGTGGGAGACCAGAGATGGGGGCTGATCAAGTTGTGAAGCAGTCTGGCGGGGGCACAGGACCTTCAACTAGAAAATACTGCAGCAGGAGATCACACAAGCTGGAATCTGGCAATCTTGAAAGAACGTGAGCTTTGGAATCAGACTTGCTGGTTACATGACCGTATCAGCTTTCCACTGCTGCTTCACAAATTATCCCCCAACGGAGTGTATGAAACAAGGAACATTTATTATCTCGCAGTTTCTGAGCCAAGAGTCCAGGACTGGCTAGGTTGCATGCTTCTGCAGCCCCCTCCTCAGATGCTGGCAGAGAGAAGGTACCCCCAGGCCAGATCAGCAGGTTCCTTTCATGGGTTCCAGATGGTTCTGTGGCGGGGATGGAGCCAACCACTGGTGGGTGGGCTCACCCACGTGCCCAGAGCATCTCGGAATGTCAGCCGCGACGACCTCGAAGGCCTGTCAGAAGCTGCTCCGGGGATGCCGCCATGTGAGCTGGGGACCCCGAGCTCCGGAGCAGGGAAGGTGGGGGGACGGGAGAGAAACTGAGTCCCTCAGCTGAAGCCATTGCTGACCCCGCCAGCCTTGGAGGTCATTTGTGCTTGTCCAGTGGTGACTCCAGTTGGTCCCAGGGCCTCCTGCCCCGACCATGGGCTGGAGCTGGCTGTGTGATCTTGACCTGGGGAAGGGCCTGGGGGCAGGGCTCAGTTGCTGCCGCTGCTGTCCTCGCTGTCGGAATACACACCCAGCTGGCTCAGGGAGGAGGTGCCAGACGTCTGGGGCGCAGGGCCAGCCACCTGCCCGTTCTTCATTGCATCTGGAGGAGAGGCGAGAGCTAGCCCACCGTGCCTCCTCGTCCCGGCAGCCCACCTCGGGACAGTTCCAGGTGGACTGGGCCATTCCTGCTTGTTTGCAGCCTTTGTGGAAAGTGCCTGGCAGACCCATCATGGTTTAAACTGCACACCCCTTGACCCAGCAGCTCCGCTTCTAAAAGCTGATCTAGGTGGGCAGAGGTGCCCATGCCGGGGGTGCAACACAGAAAACGGAAACACTCCAAGTCCCAAGTGACAAAGAGGGGCAGACCCTGGCTCCACCACCCACGCTGGCTGTGTGGCTTTGGGCAAACAGCTTCACCTCTCTGGGCCTCAGTCTCCTCATCTGATAAATGGGGTAATAACTGTTCTGATAACAATGGCTTGTGTATCCGCAAGGCTCGCTGGGTGCCAGGATCTACTGCAGGCGCCCGACATGGAGCAGCTCATGGAATCAGCCCCCAAACCCTACGAGGCCCTACGAGGTTGGTCCTGTTGTCATGAGCAGCTTCCAGGACAGGAAGCTGAGGACCGGGGTTGAGGGCCCTCGACCAAGGCCACAGAACGAGCGCGTGGAGGCAGAGGGATCTTCACCCAGGATGCCTGCCCTGGAAGCCTGCTCTTTCCACCTCATCGGGCCGACCTCACCCTAATTCTCCATCTCCCGAGGGTCCGAGGAGCCACACACACAAAGCATCTGCGACACAACCACCGAGGTGCAGACAATTTGTCCTACACGCCTCTATCTGACTTGGGTTTTAAAAGCAAGCACTTGCTCCTTTTGTAATTACAAGAAAAAAAGGGAACTGCAGCCCTTCTCCCCTTACCCCTGGTTGGGGGCACACCTCGCCCCGCACCGGAACAGCACCGGGGGTGCTGTTGCCACCTGGTGGCCACCCTTGGCACTGCATGAAGCTAAGGGACTGCAGGAACCTACCTGGGGCGGGCAGGACTCCTCCTCGCTGGATGCTGCGGCCCAGGTCTGTTTTCTTCACCACAACCAGGCCAGACAGCTGGGGACTGCTGCCAAAGGTGCCCACACTGCGCTCCCAGCTCTCCGCCTTCCTCTTGGCTTTTGGGGCCTGCAGTTTGTGGCGGGGGTAGCGGGGGGCAGGCATGACTGGGGGGGTCTGTCCCAGATCCTGCTCCTTCTCTGGCAGCCCGGTTCCTAGTCCCCAGCTGAGCCAGGATCTTTACCATTCCCACTCCCCCTGCTGTGCTGACCAATTCTCTCCTGCTCAAAACTCCTCTGTGGCCCCCCCACACCCTGCGCTTACACTTCCTAAATCACATTGTGACTGCTCACCTCCACGCCTTTACCCATGCCATTCCCTCCACCTGGAATGCCCCTTTTGCTTCTAGTTCACTTGGTGAACTCCTACTCATCCTCCAATACCCATCTCAAGTACCTGCTCCCCTGGGAAGCCTTTCCTCACATTTCAGGCTCAAGTGCGTGCTGCACGTCTGTGCCCGCAGTGGCCTCCACTGCCTTATTAACTGCCTCTGCAACCAAGCTGCGGGGTCCTGCCTTGTTCACTGCTGGGTCTGTAGTAGATGCTCAATCAACATGTTTGAGGGAATGACAGAAGATGGGGGCACCCACTTTGGGGACCAGTTAGCGGGAGGCAGAGAGGGGCTCAGCCCCACCTCCAGCTCTTCAGTCGCACCAGAAGAGACCCCTTTTATCTGTTTGATGTTTAAATAGAGGAACTGGAAACCACTAGATGCAGAAGACCCTGTCGGAGCTGGGAGCTGAGGGTGCAGGGGGAGCATGATGGCAGGGGGCTGCCCGCACAGAGCTCACCATCTGGGGAGGAAGAGGGTGGATGAGCAAGTAGATGCTCAGGACACCATCGTCTTTTTCTTTTTTTGGCTGCACGGCATGAGGGATCTCAGTTCCCCGACCAGGGATCAAACCTGTGCCCCCTGCATTGGGAATAGGAAGTCTTAACCACTGGACTGCCAGGGAAGTCCCCAGACACCATTGTCTTGATCAGTGATGTGAAAGAAAGAAGTTAGGGTGGTGTGACAGCGTCGGGGGGACAGCTACTGCTGATCGGGGGCCAGCAGAGCCGAGGTCAGAACGCAGTGCTGAGGTCAGCAAGCAGAGATGGGAGGCAGGACTGAGCCTGGCCCATCCGAGGGGGCTGGCACAGTTGGGGCGGGGAGTGGGGGCAGGAGGAGGACACAGCGGCCTCACTGCATCCCCCGTGTGTGGTAACCGAGACAGAGGCCGTCCGCTGGGGGCACAGGGAGAGACCGGCAGTCCTAGCCGAAGCTTGCTCATCTGGCACCACTGAACTGACTGGTGGAGCTAGCTGCTATCCTTCACCTTTCGTCAAACGCCATTCCATGTCCCCATTAAACTAAACCCAGGGAACAGAGGGGTCAAAGAGAGATGTTTCCGTAAAAGTTATGGTGAAGTTTGTGTAAAGCAAAATACAAGAAGTCGTCCACCGTCAAATTAGCTACGAGCAAGGTAACTGTAAGAGACTGGCAGGTGGGCTTCCCTGGTGGCGCAGTGGTTAAGAATCCGCCTGCCAATGCAGGGGACATGGGTTCGAGCCCTGGTCCAGGAAGATCCCACGTGCCGCAGAACAGCTAAGCCCGTGCGCCACAACTACTGAGCCTGTGCTCTAGAGTCCGTGAGCCACAACTACTGAGCCCGTGCACTGCAACTACGGAGGCTGCGAACCACAACTACTGAGCCTGCGTGCTGCAACTACTGAAGCCCACACGCCTAGAGCCCGTGCTCTGCAACAAGAGAAGCCACCGCAATGAGAAGCCTGGGCACCACGACAAAGAGTAGCCCCCACTCGCTGCTACTAGAGAAAGCGAGCGCAGCAGCAGCGAAGACCCAACGCAGCCAAAACTAACTAACTAACTAACTAAATTTATTAAAAAAAAAAGACTGGAGGGAAATCATACAAGGCCAGACTGCTTTGAAAGTACCTTCAATCTCTTGTTCCACTTGAAAGAAAAAAAGAAGAGGAAACTTTAGACCATGAATTCTGAGGCTGGTTTATGCAAGAGAGACAGCGTGAGAACTCTGATCAGGGATACAGCCTCAAGGAAAACACCTTGGTTCTATGTCAAAAGGTTAATGGGTGAGAGTACGTGACCCCCAAACCCGCTCTCTTCAGACACTTACAGAATTCTCAGCTGGAATGTGGTTGCCTCAGTGAAAGACTACATTTCCCAGCCTCCTTTGCAGCAGGATGTGGTCAGGTGGTTCAGTTCTGACCAATGGGGTGTGAGCAGAAGGATGTACTCAATCAAGGGTATAGTTACCCTCAATGTCCTCCTCCCTTGTCCCCACCTCTTTCCACTGGCTGGGATGCAGACGTGGCACTGAGCTGCCTTGCAATGAGGGAATCATCCTTGGGATGGCAGGACAATGAGGACCCGGACACCAGGGTCCACCTTCTCTGTTCTGCACAGCCCCGCACAATTGTTATTCGAGAGAAAAGTAACTTCCATGTAGTTGAAGTGGCTGTCACTTGGGTCCTGTCCAGTGGCTGGACTTGTATTTAACTAATACAGACCAGGAACATGTTTTGAATTAAAATAATAAGTTTCTGGGGGTGTCTGTGCTATTTATGATTTCCCACTTTAACCCCCTCCTTCAATTAACAAACCAGAGTGGCCTTGACCACCTTGGATAAGACATCTGTGGCGGAAAAGGCTCGCTCCCTCCCCAAACCCTCTTCTTTCTTTCTGCCAGCAAGGGCAGCTAGAGGAGGCAGCTCCCAGCCTCCCTTGCAAAGGCAGGATGCGGCCATGTGACTATGCCCGGCCATTGGGACTCGAGGGGAATGGAGGTGGGCTGCATCTGAACCTGGGTCTCCAGGCGCTGGCTGGTGGTCCTCCACACATGCTCTGCCTTCCTGCAGCTGGAACCCCAGGGTGCTCTGAGCCAGCTGTGACCGCAGAGTTGGCATCCATGTTCTAGGACGGGGCAGAACTAGGAGATGGGCGGAGTCTGGATCCCTGAGTGACTGCATGGAGCAGGGCTGCCTGGGAGTCCAGCCCAGGACTGTGAAGTGACTGAGAAATAAACGTCTGCCTGATGTCTCTAAGTGTGGGGAGTCTCCTTGTTTCTGCAGCTGAAGCAGGGGTGGAAAACTACAGTCCCGGAGACCTGTCACCTGTTTTTGTAAATAAAGTTTTATCGGCACCTGGCCACGCCCACTTATTCATGTACTATCTACGTAGCAAGTTTAGTGCTATGTTTAGTGCTATGATGTGGAGTTGACCACTTACGACCCAGACTGGCCTTTCAAGACAAAGTTAAGCCAACCTCTGGCTTACTCTGTCCCTGCTTCACCTGAGAGCATGTGGAGATGCAGGCAGGCCACACTCACCTCGTCCAGGATGGCGGTGGGGTTAGGCAGGAGGGCCTGCTGGGGCTGGGTGGGGGCAGCATCCTCCTCTGAATCGGAGTCTTCCAGGAGTCTTCGTTTCCTAGATTCTTCCACTAAGGCCCTGCGGGAAGGAACGTGGGACTTGGGAACGTGCTCTGTTGTGGGACAATGGCCAGGACCCCCCCACACACACACTGAGGTGCACTGCCTGGCTGCCCTGTCCTGATCTCACTGAGTCGGGGATGGGGATGCACAAATAACTTTAAAATAGAATTCTTTGTCCAGGGGCTTCCCTGGTGGCGCAGCAGTTGGGAGTCCGCCTGCCAATGCAGGGGACGCGGGTTCGAGCCCTGGTCCAGGAAGATCCCACATACTACGGAGCAACTAAGCCCGTGCGTCACAACTACTGAGCCTGCACTCTAGAGCTCACGAGACACAACTGCTGAGCCCGTGTGCTGCAACTACTGAAGCCTGTGTGCCTAGAGCCCATGCTCCACAAGAGAAGCCACTGCAATGAGAAGCCCAGGCACTGCAACGAAGAGTAGCCCCTGCTTGCCGCAACTAGAGAAAGCCCGCACGCGGCAACGAAGACCCGACCCAACACAGCCAAAAATAAATAAATAAGTTAAAAAAAAAAAAGTTCTTTGTCCACTGAGCCCAGTGGGGTGGTTAAGTGTCTGGAAGCCAGAACCATTCTGGGTTTGAACCCCAGCTGGGGGGCCTCAGTCAGGGCTGTGCTGGGAGCTCCTTGAACCTCAGTTCTCTTGACCACCATAATGACAGAGCCAAACTCAGAACAGTGCCTGGCACCGAGCAGGGGCTCACTAAACGCAGACTCCTCTCACTGTTATCTACGCCAATCCAACAGCAGCTAGTATGTGCCTGACCGTGTTCCAGGCCATGGATGCAGAGGTCAGAGCAAGTCCCTGTTCAGACTTTAGATGAGGGGAGATAGATAATAAATCAGGAAAGCGGCAAATCAGCAAGAAGGTTCCAGAGAGTGGGAGGTGCCGGGCAGAAGCACGAACACAGCAGGCCTGAGGCCAGATCCTCAGAAAGGTTGGCTCACCAGGCCAGCCCTTGGGGGGGGCATCTGGATCTGGACTTGGGGGCTCCTGCCACCCTCACTGATGGGGGGCTCCTTGTCCCGACACTGTGCAGACGTGGGGTCTGCACGGGCATCTGCTCTCCTCCTGGGTTTGGGGTCTTGGCCGTGCCGGGCCAAGGTGAGAACCCCGGGCTGGGTCTCGTGGGCCTCCCCCAGGAGCGCCCCTCCCTCTGCCGTCATGTCTCACCTGGGGGGATTAAGCCTGTCCTGTGGGACTCCACCGGGAGAGGCCTCTGAAAGTCTGCGCCCGGTCCTCCAACTCTGCCCCACCTGCCTTTTCCTTCTGCTGATTTTTCGCCGTAACTTTTCACTGTAATTAACTCATCAAACCTGGGGGTGATCCTGGGGGCCCCGACAGAGACGCCATGAGACACAAAGCGAGATGGGGAGGGAGATGCGGGGAAGGCCTCCCTGAGACGGTGACGCACGAGGGAGCTGTGGAAAGGTCCGGAAGGGGGGATTCCAGGCAGAGGGAAGGACCCTGTAGAAGCTGTGGGGGGGCGGGCGCCCCGGGACTCACGCCGCCTCCCGTTCGTCCTCCGCCTGCTCGTGCTTCCGCTGCTCCTCCTCCGACAGGCGGTGCTGCCGCAGCATGGCCTCGAAGTCCACGTGTGCCTGCCGCTGGTTCAGGTCCTTGAGCTCCTGCAGGTTCTCCAGAACCTCCATCTCCAGCTTGGAGTCCTTGGTTCTGTTCTCCAGCACCTGGCAGGTGTGCAGACACGGGGCTGAGTGAGCTGGGATTCCACCCCTCCACGTGGCCTGCCTGGCCTCTGGGGTCACCATGGGCAAGGGGAGACCCCCCCACCCTGGGGCTCGATCCACAGCACCCGGTCCCACAGCTGTACCCATTTCACGGCTCGGAACACTGAGGCTCGGGGAGGGGAAGTGACTGCCCAAGACCATGCGGCTGGTCAACGGTGGAGCCAGGTGGCCTGGACTTCCAGCCTGGCTCCGTCACTAAGCAAAAGTAATAAAGATTTTTAAAAAAGACGATCTGAGCAACTGCTGTGTGCCAGGCTCCAGGCTAAGATATTTCCAGACATAATCTCGTTTAATCTTCACAATAACCCCCACTTTACAGACAAAGGAACTGAGGCTCAGAGAGGTGAGGTTGGCCCGCCAGGTCTCAGAGAGGTGGCTTTGGAGCCGGGCGGGGCTGGGAATGAATCCTGCCTTGGCTGCTTCCTGGCTATGTGACCCTGTTGAACTAACCCTCTGGGAAATGGCAGTTGTGGTGGTTTGAAAATACGTCCAAAAATTCTTTCACGCTCCTCCCTTCCAGAGGTGTAGCCTAACTCCCCTCCCTGTGAGGGTGGGCTGTTGTAGTAACTCGCTTCTGATGAACACAACAGGACCAATGACGGTGTGTCCCTTCCGAGACAGGTCATAAAAGGCCCGGGGCTCCTCCTTGTTCTCTCTGGGACTCTCGCTGGGGGAGGGGGAGAAGCCCCCATGTTGTGAGGAGGCTCACGCAGTGCTGTGGAGAGGCCCATGTGGACAGGACATGAAGCCTCCAGGGAATGGCCACGTGAGGGGGCCACCCTGCAAGTGGCTCCTCCAGCCCCAGCTGAGCCATCAGATGAGGCAGCCCCGGCAGACAGCTTGACTGTGACCTTGGGAGGGACCCACAGAACCATCTAGCAAAGCTGCTCCTGGATTCCTGACCCTCAGAAACTGTGGGATAATAAATGCTGGAAGTTGCAAAGTTTTGAGTCGACTTGTTACACAAGGACAGCTAACCAGTACCAGGGTAATAACCCCGTGCTGGCCAGTGTAGCAGTAACTAGAGCAGCACGTGGACAGCACTGAGGGAGCTCCAGGAATACAGCAAACTGCCTCTAAGGCCTATTTCCCTCCCTGCTGCTCCGCACGGCTGCTGAAAACATCGGATCAGATCTGACGTGGCTTGACTAGAAAACACAGCTGGCAGAGGCATGAGGGTCCAGGAAGAGATGGGAATTATGGGGGTGGGAGGAGACAGAGGAGAACATGGACTTCCTACTATTTACGAGAAAGACGAAAAAAAAACGTCCAGTTAAAGATGAAAATTACTTCTTTAAGGGATAACAAAAGGAGTATCAATATTTATGAATTACTATGTGCCAAGCTGTGTTCTAAGAGTTTTATGTGTATGAACTCATTTAACCCTCACCACAAGTGTACGAGGGGGGCACAATTCTCATCTCATTTTACAGATGAGGACGCTGAGACACAGAGAGGCCAAGTGCCTTGGCCAAGGTCACACAGCCAGGATATGGTCAAGAGAACGTTTCCTTCTCTATTTCTAGTCTTGATCCAAACTAGCCTAATGGGAACCTCCTTAGAAAACCGCGGGGCAGCTGGCTGCAGGAAGCACCTGGCGTTCTGAAGTCCAACTTCCTGACTCCCTGTTAGTTTTCTCTTGCTGTGCCACAATTTGCCACCAGCCCAGTGGCTTAAAACAACATGAATTCATTGTCTCCTGGTTTCTGTGGGTTGGGAGTCTGGGCCGACACAGCTGGGTTCCCTGGCAGTCTTGCTAGGCTGAGATCAAGGGTCCAGGGCCCTCTTCTGAGCTCACTCAGGCTGCTGGAGAATTCAGTTCCTTGTGGTTGTGGGACTGAGTTCCCTGCCTTCTTACTGGCTGTTGACTAGGGGCTGTTCTCAGCTCCTAGGGGCTGCCTGCTGTTCCCTGCCACGTGGCCACTTCCACAGTGTCAGTCCTTCATGTCTCTGACGTCCTCTGTCTCTGACTCTAGACCCGTATTAAGGGGACCATCCGGATAATCTCCCTCTTACAAGGGCGACTGTGCCATAGTTTAACCTAACATAACTTAGTCACAGGAATAGGATCCTTGTACGCACAGTCTTGGAACTGGATGAGGTGTGTGACCAGGAGTCAGGGCTCTGGGAACATCTTAGAGTTCTGCTGACCACACTCCCCACCCCATCACCCTGCCTGGAGGCCTGAGGCAGGAAGGGGCACCGATTCCTCCAGCACCGAAGCACAGGAACACGTGCGCGGGCGCGCACACACACACACACACGCATGCACACACGCACCTGCGCACACTCACCTTCATGGGGTTGTTCAGCTCCTCGTCCTCCCGTTCCTTCTGCACCCTCTTCTCCTCCTCCTCCAAGAGCTTCTCAGCCTGGAAGTTCCGCGTGGCTCCATGCTCCATGGTGTAGTCTGTGTTTTCGGGGTCTGTCTGGGAGGGAGGATGGGCAGACATCAGCTCCTACATCTCTGAGCATCAAGAGCTTCTGCTGAACAGCAGCCAGCAGCCTGGGACACCTTCTCTCCGTGTTTCACTCCTCTTAATACCAATTCTTTCTTTTTCTTGCCTTATGGCTTTGGCGAGTACAGTTCTTTCTTTCTAGTGCTCCTGTCCCCTTTTGCAGAATCGCTGAACTCCCGAGCATAGACCTGCAGACCCTTCTCCACCTGCCCACTCCCTCCCTCCTGCCCTTCACCTTCCACATGTTTGCAAATAAAAGTCTCTGGACCTCTGCACATCTTTTCTGGTGTGTGTGTGTCTGTGTGTGCGCGCGTGTGTGCACGCACTTGACCTTCTTCCCTTAATTATGAATTACACATCACGTATGTATAGGGCATGCTCCTATTTGTGTTTATAAAACGGAGAAGCAAAAATATAACATGGTATCCTGGATGAGACCCTGGAACAGAAAGGTGACATTAGTAGAAAGATTGAAATCCATATCATGTCTGGAATTTGGCTAACAGTAATGATCCAGTGTTGGTTTCTTATTGTGGCAGATGCACTGTGGAAATGGAAGACGTTAACAGGAGGGGAAGCTGGTGAGAGGCAGATGGGAACTCTCTGTGCTATCTTTGCAACTTCTCTGTAAATCTATAAGTATTCCAAAATAAGAAGCTTACTATTTAAAAAGAAACAGCAAGGAAGAGAGCGATCCCTGTGTGTGCATGTGTATGCAGAGCACATTTTTTGAAAGCCACACAAGAAACTGTTGTAACTGTCTCTATGCATGGGGGCTGGCTGGGCAGAGGGGAGCAGTAAACAAATTTTCCAGTGTTAATCCTGCACTACTGTGGGAGTTCTGTTTTACCATATGCTCACATACACACACACATATATGCAATCCTAGTTATTTGAAATTCTTCCCTATAAAGGCCGATTTATAACATTTTGCCGTAGTTTCTCTAGTCTTTAAAAAAATTCATATGTATTCATTAATATCTAAATATACACATACTTCGTAATTCAGGTAAAAAAAACCATTTTCTGGAGACAACCCGTATGCCCATCAGCTGGCAAATGGATGAAGAAAATGTGGCCCATCCACACAGTGGAATATTATTCAGCCCTGAAAAGGAGTAAAGCACTGATACATGCTACAACACTGATGGACTTTGAAAACATGATGCTCAGTGAGAGATGCCAGACACAAAAGGCTACAGAGTGATTCCACTGATAAAGAAATGTCCGTAATAGGCAATCCACAGACACAGGAACTGGATTCGTGGTTGACAGGGGCTGGGGAGAGGGATGGGGAGTGACTGTTGACAGGGCTGGGGCTTAATTTTGGGGTGAAGAGAACATCCTGGAATTAGAGAAGACAGCTTGGTACGTTAGGAGTATAAACCACTGAATTATACAATTTAAAGGGGAGAACTGAATGGCATATAAATCATATCTCAGAAAGCTGTTGTTAAAAAAGTAATTAAAGGGCTTCCCTGGTGGCACAGTGGTTGAGAGTCCGCCTGCCGATGCAGGGGACACGGGTTCGTGCCCCGGTCCGGGAAGATCCCACGTGCCGCAGAGCGGCTGGGCCCATGAGCCATGGCCGCTGAGCCTGCGCGTCCGGAGCCTGTGCTCCACAGCGGGAGGCCATAACAGTGAGAGGCCCGTGTACCGCAAAAAAAAAAAAAAAAAAAAGTAATTAAAATATATCATTTTTTAATGTACTTTTTATTTTAACCAAATCTTGTTTTTTAACCAAAGGAAAAAAGTCCCTAGCAAAAAAAATGCTCAAACAGTACAAGAGTATGTGAAGAGAAAACTATAAGTTCTCTTCATCCTTTCCTCAAATCTTTAATACGACCCTTAGAGTAACAAACTAAAAACGTGACTGCTACTGGCTGTGCAATATTCCACTGTATAGTAGTTTGTCCCTTGAATCCCATCACCGTACATCTAGGTTGCTTCTGATTTTTTGCCTTTATAAACAACACTGCCGTGAACTTCTCCCCAAACCTTTGCTGTTTTCTGCAGAGAAGGTGAAATGGGATTTCCCTGGAGGGAGAGTACAGGAGCACTGACCCCCAGGGGAGGAAGGACCAGCCTGGCTGGCCGCCTACCTTGAAGGTGATCTCTGCCAGGCAGCGCGTGCACTTGATGTAGAAGCGGAAGATGGGCAGGCCCAGGTAGGACTCGTTCTGCACTGTCTCTTTGCGGGCATTGAACTTCTTGCCCTTGTAGATATATTCTCCACATGTCTTACACCTGTGGGGCAGGAAAGGGACTCAAGCCATCTCGGTACCCTGGTTCTTACTGGTAGGACGCTTTAGCATTCTGGCAGATGGCTGCTTGCATACCTCCAGGGACGGGAAGCTCCCCACCCCGCAAGAAGACTGTCCCACTGTGTGTACTGATTCCCTTAGACGGCATACTCTTCTCACTAATATCTGCCTGGGTCTCGGCTGAAGTGCTGCCTTCTTGGGAAGCACCCAGACTACCCAGGCTAGGTGAGACTCGCCTATCACCCATTCCTGGAAGCAAGCCTGGAGTTCATGGGGCATCCTGACCTCCAAAGTGCGGATTCCACCAGGAGGGATGCCACAAGGAGCAAGGCAGAGCTCGCAGCCCCTGCCCTCCCGCGGCCCCTCCTGCTCAGATCCTGTGCTCCCTGGCCTCCTGGCTGTTCCTACAAACACCCCAGCTCAGTCCCACCTCCGGGCCTTCACCCTTGCAATTCCCATAGCCCGTGACACCTTCCATTCCTCAGATCCCAGTTCTGCTGGCATTTCTTCCAACGTTTGCCTGACCACCCAGCGAAGCACCCTCCCTCCCTGGCCACCGTCCAGTCCCTCTCCCTCTCTCGTGACCATCTTTGTGTCCTACATGCGCCTTTCGTGAATACGCCTGAGCCCTTGTGTATTATCTCTACTCCCCACCAGATGGCTCCAGGGGGGCAAGTCTTATTTATTTATTTAATTTTTTAAATTTTTGGCTGCTTTGGGTCTTCGTTGCTGCGCGTGGGCTTTCTCTAGCTGCGGCGAGTGGGGCCTACTCTTCATTGAGGTGCTCGGGCTTCTCATTGCGGTGGCTTCTCTTGCTGCGGAGCATGGGCTCTAGGCACGTGGGCTTCAGTAGTTGTGGCACACGGGCTCAGTAGCTGTGGCGCATGGGCTTAGTTGCTCTGTGGCATGTGGGATCTTCCCGGACCAGGGCTCGAACCTCTGTCCCCTGCATTGGTAGGTGGATTCTTAACCACTGTGCCACCAGGGAAGTCCCGGGGGTGGGGGTGGGGCAAGTCTTGATGCCCACAGTGTCCCTGGCACCCAGCCAAGGCCCTGGTGCACAGCAGGTGCCCAGTAAGTGAGTGCTGAGGGAAAACGAATGAAGGAAGGGGAGAGAGAAAGGAATACGTAAACACGGGCTGAATTTCACTAACAAAGGTGGCTTTGATTACCACTTCGTTTCAGATGTGCTAAGATGTAAAAAATTGTGGTGAGGTACAGTAATTCCGAGGCGGTATGAAGGACGAGGCCTGGGGACTGTGATGCGGAGGGAAGGATGGAGGGGGTTGGGAGGGGGATCCGGAGGGCCTCTCTGAGGGGGCGAGATCTAAGCCAAGTCTTGAAGGGTGAAAAAGAGCCAGCCAGGGCTGCCCCGGTGGCGCAGCGGTTAAGAACCCGCCTGCCAAGGCGGGGACACGGGCTTGAGCCCTGGCCCGGGAAGATCCCACATGCCGCGGAGCAACTAAGCCCGTGCGCCACAACTACGGAGCCTGCGCTCTAGAGCCTGCGAGCCACAACTACTGAAGCCCGCACACCTTGAGCCCGTGCTCAGCAACAAGAGAAGCCCTCACAATGAGAAGCCCACGCACCACAATGAAGACCCAGCTCAGCCAAAAAAGAAAAAAAAAGAGCCAGCCATGTGAGAGCAGAAACAAAAGTGTCCCAGGCAGAGGCAACAGCTTGTGCAAAGGCCCTGGGGCGGGAACGGACAGGACTGCTGGAGGAAGTGAATGTACATACAGGACCCTGTCTCGTGTGCTCACTCTTACTACCAGTGACTGAGACCTCGACACAGGTACCAGCTGGGAGCTCTGAGACATCAGGGAGATGGGTCCTGAACGGCAGGAGGGTGAGGTCTGGCACGGTCACTCGCTCACTGGGTCCACGTCTGAGCCAGGACCGACGACCTGGTCTGCGCACTGGGGGCGGGACGCTCTCTGTGGGTGGTCTGCGCACTGGGGGCGGGACGCTCTCTGTGGGTGGTCTGCGCACTGGGGGCGGGGACGCTCTCTGTGGGTGGTCTGCGCACTGGGGGCGGGGTGCTCTCTGTGGGTGGTCTGCGCACTGGGGGCGGGGCGCTCTCTGTGGGTGGTCTGCGCACTGGGGGCGGGGCGCTCTCTGTGCGGCCAGCGCAGGGCCCGCGGGGCCGCTCACCTCATGTTGAAGGGGGCCATCAGCCGCACCACGTACTGCCGGTCTTTGGGCAGCTTGAGCTTGGGGATCTTTGACGGGTCGAAGTCGGGTGGGTAGTATTTCTGTGGGGAGGAAGGAAGGGTCAGGGGAGCTGCTTTCAGACGCAGGGGCAGGCTGGGGGCAGAGGGAAGGGGCTCTGGGGAGCTGGGTCTGGGTCCCCACGTTTGAGGATTTGGTGAGAGGACTCCTAGGACTTGCATACACTTGTCCTCATGGCTACAATTCATTACAGCAAAGGGATACAGAGAAAAACGAGCCAAGGGAAAAGGCATGTGGGGAGGGGCCCAGGGAGACCGGACACAAGCTTCCAGAGACTTCTCCTGATGGAGTCAATTCTCCCAGTGATATATTGTGACAACGTGTGCGAAATGTCCCCCAGGGAAGCTCAGGAAGACCCAGCACCCAGGGTTTTCATTGGGGGCTGGTGTGTAGGCACCTCTGCCCGGCACGTATGACGATTCCAGACTCTAGACTCCCGGAGGGGAGCAGGTGCTCAGCATAAACCACACTGTTTGTACTAACAGTTTAACCCCAGGGAGCCATTCTTTTCAGAGAACATTGGGAACCATCCCAAAATTCAGGTTCCCGGATACCAGCCAAAGTCCAGCATTGCAAGCCAGGCTTTCTAAGGCAGCAGCCTCAAGCCTGTTGCATTAACTCTTTCTGCACAGGAGCCTGAGATGGGAGATGTGGGGAAGGAGAGTTTGGATTATGAAAGAGAACTACATACGATAACCAGAAAATAAAGCACTTTGCATTTTGAGCACTTACTAGGCTCCACGTAGTACACAGAGAGCTTTATGTCCCCTGCCTCGTGGAATTCTTGCAAAGACTCTATGAGACAGAGAATGGTGTACCCATTTCACAGAGGAGGAAACTGAGTTCTGGTGGTTTCAGCTACTCAGGTTCACACAGTGTGAGCAGCAGATCCAGGATTCAGACCCAGGGACACAGCTCTGGGGAAACTGTGGTACAGTGATTAGGAGCATCAGTTACAGAGCTGGCGGGGAGGGGTGTCTGGGTTTGATTCCTCTATTCTGTGGCTATTACATAACCACTCTGGGCCTCAGTTTCCTCATCTGAAGAAGGGATAACCTGTTCCCCTGAGAAGACCTGATGAACAAGGCACTTAGAGCTGTGCCTGGCACACAGAAGTATCTACCAGCAAGTTATGGAAATAGCTGGGCTGCCAGTTGGATCCTCGGGATGGAAGGACTTTCACGGACTCGAAGTCCGACACACTGCACTGGGTCTGGCTGGGGCTGAATTCCTAATATAGGTGTTTAAGAGATTAGAGCACTGAGTCACTGTAAGGGACATCATCCTGGGCTCCAAGCCACCAGTCTGGAGGTCTCCTCTCTACTCCGTCCAGACATCTTAGGCTTACACACTCCCAGGCTGGGGAGCTCACCCCCTTCCTGGGAGCACACACCCTGCTGAAGGGCGGGGAACAGGGACTCAGAATTCCGGAGCGCTCTTCTCCAGAAGCTGAATCCTGCCTTCCAGAGACCAGCTCCACACCCCAAGAGTCCCAGTTTTCCCCAACAGAACTGGGAGAAGTTGAGGCAATTGGAAGGGTCCCTGCCAGCGCAGCAGAAGAGCTTAGCAAAGCCTAATCCCTCCGAGGAACACGATTGGCTAGAACCCCAAGCGGGGAGAGACTTAACAGAGCCACGCCTCCTGGAGATGAGAATGTAAAGTGAGAATACCAATATCCTAAGGAAGCTCCGCCCCCAACGGGAGTGACTGGATAATTCCTTTCAGAAAATCCTATCAGAAGTGAGTGGGTAAATAGCCTAAGCTCCGCCCCCACAGGTGACTGGGTACACCCCACCCTCGAGGGGAAGGCTTAGTGAAGGCCCACCCCCCGCAGAAGGTGATTAGGAGGGTTCTAGAGAGCCCCGCCCTGCAGAAGGCCGTTGGGGAAGAAAGCAAAGGCCCTAATAGGAGAGTATAAGTAGCCCTCCTCGGCCCGAGCTCCGAGATGTCCCGCCCCAGGTCGAAAACCCTAGTTGCCCAATACTTACGTTTAAAACTTTTCGCTCCGACATCTTTACCTCCTACTCTTCTCTCGACCACGAGAATACTGATTAGGCTGAGTGCTTGTCGAACTTCCCCGACCATCTATCCTTGTATTTCCGCTTCCGTCACTTCCTTCAGCCGCTGTTATTGGCTGCTGCGTACACAGCTTGCCTTTTCATTGGTTCAGATCCCCGCCTGTCAACACTCGAGTCCTTCTGTATTCCCTCCCCAGTTGCAACCTCGGTAAGGACGCAGCAAAAGGTTCCGGCGTCGGTGTGGATTTGAAGTTCCGAGGAGGAGGCGCTGCGCCCTCTAGAGGTGAGCAGCGACTGGTTAAAATTCCGTCGTCACGCGACGTGGCTGCTGGTAGCTACGTTCCCTGTGGTTTTATTCAGCAAACGTAGAACTCAGCGTTGAGCGCTTACCTTGTGTGTTGGGCTCCGGGAACCTACACATCGTTCCCGTGTCCCTAGCGCTCACCTGAGGACTGGGGCAGCTCTTACGATCCACACAGTTCCACAAGGAAGCACCCTGGACGCCCCCCCACACCCAAGTTTATCTTGAGTCACAGTTAGAGACTCAAAGACCAGGCTCCAAACCTACCTCCCCCTACAAACATTTGCTCCCAGATGTCCCCCCCGTTGTTTGCCTCTGAGTTGTCCCTCTAAAGAGGTCGTTCCTTCCCTAGCCTCCTCCCTTCCTTTTACAAATGTTTGTTCTGTGTCAAAGACGTGCTCAGTCACTGGGGACACATCAGAGAATAAGACGTAAGATTTCTGCCCTCATGGAGATCACAGTCTGTCTGGTGGGACTGATGGCACAATAAACACACACAAAAACCCTTTCGGGTCCTGGTAAATGATCTGAAGATAATAAAACAGGGAGACATATGGAAAGTGATGAGAAGGGGCTACTTGAGATGTATGAGTGTCCTATGGCTGCTGTAACAAATTACCACAAGCTCAATATTTTTAAACAACACATTTATTAGAGTTTTGGAGGTCAGAAGTCTAAAATGGGTGGCAGGTTCCTTCAGGAGGCTTCAGGAGAGAATCCATTTCCTTGTCATTTCCAGCTTCTAGAGGCTGCCAGAGTTCCATAGCTCGTGGTCCTGGATCACTCTGACCTCTGCTACCACTGTCACATCACCTTCTCTGTCTCCCTCTGACCCTCCTGCTTCCCTTTTATAAGGTCACTTGTGATTACCTTGGGGCCACCTGGATAATACAATATAACTCTACTTCATTTTCATTAACTTTAAAAAACATATTTATTTATTTGGTTGCACCAGGTCTTAGTTGTGGCAGGCGGGCTCCTTAGTTGTGGCTTGCTGGCTTCTTACTTGTGGCATGCAAACTCTTAGTTGCAGCAGGCATGTGGGATTTAGTTCTCTGACCGGGGATCGAACCTGGGCCCCCTGCATTGGGAGCATGGAGTCTTAACCACTGCACCACCAGGGAAGTCCCCATTTTCATTAACTTAATGAAAGATCCTCAATCTTTAAGGATCCTCAAGATTGTTAAATTAATCACATCTGCAAAGTCCCTTGTGCTGTGTAAGGTATCACATTCACAGGTTCTGGGGATTAGGACATGAATATCTTTGGGGGGGGTCTTTATTCTGCTTGCCCTAGATGAGGTGGTCAGGGAAGGCTTCTTGGAGGAGGTGACCTTGGAATTGAGACCTGAGTGAAATGTACCGAGAAGCTTCTGGATTGAGAAAATCCTTCAGAGCCTGGCTGTGTTTTCCCCTCCTCAGAGCTTCCCAGACAAACTCATGTGCCATTGGTGTCCACCCACAGTGGGGCTCACATCTGGGCAGCTTTTGAGGTGAACCAAACTGAACTGAACTGAATGGATTCATCATTCCAACCCAGGTGGAACACCCACTACCCCTGCCCTGACTCCCCCAGCCCCGTCTCTTTCTCTGGTCCAGCCCTGACCCCGTGTGTGGCAGTGGGGATTCACTTTGTGTGTGTGTCCTGGTCTGTCCTCTCCTCACAGGGTCTCATGTGGATCTGTTAAAAGAAGGAAGAGTCCTCATTCTAGTGACAATGATCCTTTTCTAATTAAACAATTTAAAAAATCTCATATTCACAGTTCACAAAACATTGCACTGTGTCAAAGGAGGCAGGCAGTACATCCCCATTTCACAGACTGAGAAACTGAGGCTCAGAGAGGCAAAGTCACTTGTCCAAGGTTGCCCAGCAACTCGGCAGCAGTGACCCCAGGCCAGTCAGGTCCCATCCACCCTTAGGTGGATGTCAAGGGCACAGCCCCTCTTTGGGGGTGCAGGGAACCCCCACTACTTGCCCAGGGTCACGGAGGCAACGGCGGGGAGACTCCAGGCGCTTGATTCCCCATAGTCAGTGAGGTCCAGAGCAGCCACCTGGATGCAGTACTTGGCTTGGGGCCTCACAGCCTTGAGGGTGAAGGATGTGCCTTCAATTGGTCCCACCTGAAAGCAGAAGGAGGTCTGGGTCAGTGGAAACAAGGAAGCTATGTGATCAAGCCTTCCGTCCCCATGTTTGGGCTGCTGCTCCAAGACTCAGGCACCAATGTCAATCCTCATCGGCATGCCCTCTGCGGCCCCTGTACATCTTCGGACATCTTAAACATCTTGCTGAGCAGGGCGAGCCTGCCCCTCCCTGGCCAGCCAATTCTTGGTCGACCAGGAGCATGCCTTTCATATAAAAACCAATCCACCCGGAGTCCACACCCCCATCCATCCCCTCTCTGTACTGGTCACACACCAGCCCACATCCCCACCCTGTCCTAAATCACCCCAGGGCCAGATGCCAAGCAACTAGAGACCACCCTGCAGCCCAGAGCCCACTGGAATTATTCAAACTTGCTTACCCTAAGCTGTTCACCTGCCCCGCCTAGGCTTCCCCGAGGAAACCCCAATCCACCTCTGGCCTGGGCTCTCCCCTGGCTCCCACTTCAGGCTCCTGATGTCCCGAAGTTGCCCACGTGGCCCTGCGTGGCGTGATGTGTCCTCTTTTCTGGGGAAATGTAATAAATTCTTCTTTCGATGGCCTTGACCTTTCCATGTCCTCACTCAGGCACCTCCACAGATGAAAATCCCTGGGCACCCATGAGACACCCTCTCAGCTCTGCCTTTCTGGTTCTCCGCCCTGTCCCCTCTGTTCCCGCCACTCCACACTCTCCCTCCAACATCGGGGTCCCCCTCATCCTTGGCATGTCCCATGTCAGCCACCATCAGCAGCTTCCCAAGTTCAGGTCTGACTATGTCCCTCCTTCCTCTGCACAAGCTGTCTCATATGGCAGCCGGATGTGATGCTTTACGTTTTAAATTTAGATTAATTAATCATTGCACAATCTTGCGAATACATCAGTTACCGGCCTGTGCACTTGAAAACAGAGAGCTTCGTGGCATGTAAACTCTGTCTCGATTTTAAAATTGCAAGCATTTACAAAATTAAATTAATGAATACTACATCAGCTTTAAAAGCCCATTCCTCGACTCCTCACCAGGTTGAAACTGCTTGGCAGCCTCATGCGGCCCGAGGCTACCGTCTTGGACAGTGTGGATGTGGAACATTTCTACGGTTGCAGAAGGTTCTAAGGGACAGGACTGCAAAAGCCTAAACCCTGCAAAGACTCAGCTCCTCAGCCCAGCATCCAAGGCTGCCCAGGACACAACTGCCCTGCCCGTATGCTCACTGACTGATACCCTGCCTTTATTTTTTAAGAATGTAAAACAATATATTGGTGCTCTCAATTGAGGTGAAATTCACATGATGTAAAAATTAACCATTCCAAGGTGGATAATCTAGTGGCATTTAGTACATTCACAGTGTTGGGCAACCATCACCACTCTCTAGTTCCAGAACATTCCATCCCCCCAGAAAGAAGCCCCGTCCCCATGAGCCGTCACCCCCTCTCCCTCCCCCAGCCCCTGACAACCACTAATCCAATCTCTGTCTCTGTGAATTTGCCTGTTCTGGACATTTCCCATTAATAGAATCACACACAGTGTGTCCTCCTGTGTCTGGCTTCTCTCACTGAGCATCGTGTTCTCAAGGGTCCATCCACGTTGTAGCGAGTCTCAGGGCTTCTCTCCTTTTCAAGGCTGAGTGATGTTCCCGTGTGTGGAGGGACCACGTTGTGTTTATCCATCATCCGTTGATGGGCACTTGTGTTATTTGCACCTTTTGACCATTGTGAGTGGTGCTGCTGTGAACATTCGTGTACAAGTAATTGTTCGAGACCCTGTTTTCAATTCTTTTGGGTAGATGCCCAGGAGTGGAACTGCTGGGCTGCGTTCACGTTGCACACCAGCACCCCAAGCTGTGACCCACACCCCACTGTACCTTTGCACATGCTCTTCCGTCTACCCGGGAACTGCCCTCCCCATCACCTCACCCTCCTCACCTGGCGGAAGCGGGCAGCTCCGTGGCGCTTGTAGCGGATCCGGTACTTGAGTGAGAAGATCTCTGGGAAGGGCCAGGACCGGGGGGGTTCCCATTGCACCCAGAGCCGCTGCCCAGGGAGGGGGCTCAGGCGCACACCTTCTGGAGGGTCCGGTTTGACTGACGGACAAGCAGGAGACAGGGTCAGCGGAGGGCACATTCACTCATTCATTCAACCAACCAACCAATAAATATTAATTGAGGGTCTGCTGAGTGTCCAGGGATGTTCTGGATACTAGGGACACAGTAGTCCTGTCACCTTGGAGCTCAATCCCCCGGGCAGAAGATAAGACACAAAGGCAGATCCGAAGGTCATAAAAAGGAGGGAAGAAAGGTCAGGAGTGCAAGGAGGGCAGTGGGTTGCAATGTTTTTGGAGACACGACTCACATACCAGAGAATTCACCCTTTGAAAGTGTACAGTTCAGTGGTTTTAGTATATTCACAGTGTCATGCAACCATCACCACCATTTAATCCGGAACATTCCATCTCCCCAAAAGAAGCCCCATCCTCGTGAGCAGTCAGCCCCCCATTCCTCCCTCCCAAGCCCCTGACAACCAAAAACCCACTCTCTGTGTCTGTGAATTTGCCAGTTCTGGACATTTCCCATCAACGGAATCACACACTGTGTGTCCTTCTGTGTCTGGCTTCTCTCACTGAGCATTGTGTTCTCAGCGTCCATCCATGTGGTAGCGAGTGTCAGGGCTTCTCTCCTTTTTATGGTTGAATAATATTCCATTGTGGGGATGGACACGTTTTGTGTATCCATTAATCAGTTAATGAGTATTTGTGTCGTTTCTAATTTCTGCCTATTATGGATAATGCTGCTATGAACATTCATGCATAAGTTTTTTCTGCAAACGTGCTTTCCATTTTCTCTTAGATATATACCTAGAATTGGAATTGCTGGATTACATGGTAACATGTTTAGCTCTTTGAGGGACTGCCAGTCTGTTTTCTAATAACCACCAGCAATGTATGATGGTTTGCAATTTAAAAAAAATGCTTAGGGAGGACTCACTGAGGAGATGACATCTGAGTTGAGAGCTAAAGGAGATGAGGGAGTGAACAGTGTGGAGACCTGGGGGAAGAGCCTTGCAGGCAGGGGGAACAGCACGTGTAAAGGTCCTGGAGCAGGACTGTGCCTGGTGTGTTGGAAGAACAGCGAGGAGGCCCATGTGGCTGGAGCAGAGTGAGTGAGAGGGGGAGAGGGAGGAGGGGAGGGCAGGGAGGGGACAGAAACAGATGGTGGGAGCCCTGGAGGGCTGTAGGCAGAGCAACAATGGGACCTGACTCAGGTGCTCACAGGCGCCCTCTGGTGGCTCCTGTGGGGAGGACAGATTGTGGGAAGGAGGGCAAGAGCTCAAGGGGGGACCCGACTGGAGTGCTCACAGGCACCCTCTGGTGGCTGCTGCGGGGAGGACAGACTGCGGGCAAGAGGGCAGGAGCCCAAGATGGGACTAGACTTGAGTGCTCACAGGCGCCCTCTGGTGGCTGCTGTGAGGAGGACAGATGGGGGTGAGGGCAGGAATAGGGGACCAGAATGGAGGGGCTGCCACTGGTCCAGGTGGGCGGTGATGCAGGTTGCACCAAGTAGGGGCTCAGGAGAGGGGAGAAGTGGGCGGATTCTTGCTGAATTGTGAAGGTGGAGCCCACAGGATCCGTGAGAGATGGACAGGATCTCATCCTGACAGGTGGGAGGTGGGCGTGTGTGTGTGTGGGAGGAGCAGAAGGGGGACCCTCCACACCCCCACCGCTGCCCCTACTCACTGATGTGCTCTGGGACGAACGGCACGAAGCTGCTGCTGACGCCCCGGGGGTGGACAGCCGTGATGTTGAGCACATAGGGCACCATGGAGAACATCTGGATGTCAGGGATGATACAGCTGGTGGCCTCTGGTGTCTGCTGGAGGCAGGGCCAGCTCTCCCCATGGGCTGCCACGCCAAGCCTGGACACCGAGTGTGCTGTGAGGGTCCCAGCACTTCCTGCTGGCCCCCTGTGCCCTGGACCCCAAGTAGGGACAGCAGGTGAGGAGTCCTGCTCTTGTCTGTGTGATCCTAGGGACCCCTCACTCCAACATCACAGAGCCCGGGGGACCCAGGGTCAGGGGTAAAACCCCACAGGGAGATGCTAGGGTCCAGATTCTAACACTTTCTGGGGGGACTTCCCTGGCGGTCTGGTGGTTAAGAATCTGCCTTCCAACACAGGGGACGTGGGTTCGATCCCTGGTCGGGGAACTAAGATCCCACATGCCGCGGGGCAACTAAGCCCATGCGCCACAACTCCTGAGCCCTCATGCTCTGGAGCCCATGTGCCACATCTAGAGAGAAGCCTGTGCACCACAGCGAAGAAGAACCTGCATGCCACAGCAAAGACCCAGCACAGCCAAGTAATAATAATAATACAGTTTTTTAAATAAATAAAGCTTTCTGGAATGTCAACATTCCAGCCTTAGAATTCCAACATTCCCAGGTCTACGATTCATGGATTCTGGAATCCGAAATAATAAGATTCCAGTTCTCTCGAGTTCTGACACCCCAAGATTTCAGACTCTATAGGCTGGAGCTCAGCACCGTCCACAGAAACTTCCACAGCATCCAAAACGTTCTGCTTCTGCCCTGTGGATATGAAGCACGGCTAGTGCAACTGAGTGGGACTTTTTGATTTATTTCATCTAATCTGAATGAAAAGTTTCCACCTATCAGAAAGCGTGGGAAAGTTCCTCAGAACAACTCAGGTGTGTGAATCTACTTTTCCAAACACAAATGTTATGAAATCTAATCAGAGATCAAGAATATCCGATTGGGGGACTTCCCTGGTGGCGCAGTGGTTAAGAATCCATCTGCCAATGCAGGCGACACGGGTTCGAGCCCTGGTCCGGGAAGATCCCACGTGCCGCGGAGCAACTAAGCCCGTGTGCCACAACTACTGAGGCTGCGTGCCACAACTACGGAAGACCATGCACCTAGAGCCCATGCTCCACAACAAGGGAAGCCATTGCAATGGGAAGCCCACTCACCACAATGAAGAGTAGCCCCCGCTCACCACTAGAGAAAGCCGGCGGGCAGCAACGGGAAGACCCAAAGCAGCCAAAATTAATAAATAAATTTGTTTTTAAAAAAGAATTTCTGATTGAATGTTTAGCATCTGAATTGAAGTGTGACACGTGTAAAGCACACATGGAATTCCATGACTTAGTATAACAAGACCGAATGCAAAATTTCTCATTAATTTTTAAAGTATTGATTACATGTTGAACACTTTAGATAATCCTATTAAATGCTATGAGATCAATTTCTAGTACAAGTTTAAATATATGAATCGTATATAAGCATGTTAAAGTACATTGCATTCGATCATATTAAATGATAAACATTTGGAATATTTAGATACTATTTAAATAAAATATTAAAGCCAATGTCACCCATTTCTTTTTCTTTTTTAAATGTGGCTTCTAGAAAATTTTACCCTCCATGTGTGGCTTGCAGTACGTATTTTAGGGAGTATATTTCTAAGGGTTGGTGGTGCTCTAGAATTCTGAGGGGTTCAGGCTCTCATGAAGTCCCCAGCTGCCCTGATCCTAGGGGGTCAGCCCCGATGTAAAATCCCCAGGAAGCCATCCAGGCTCTCTGACCTGTATGTGGCAATGAAGGACGTGGGCCTGGAGGAGTTTGGAGCGGGCGGCAGGGTCCAGGAGCAATCCACTGCGATCGGGTACCTAGAGGCCTGGCACCGCACCCTGGGCTGGGTGACAGCTGCTGGGGGGCCCGGAGAGAGAGGGAGAGCATGAGCTTCTGATTCACCCAGGACCATCAAAGTCCTACCGTGGCTTGGCCCCCACCTCACTGCCAGCCAGTGCTGGGCACACATTAGGAGCCTAATAGAGGTTTGTGGAATAAATGAGTACATGAATGAAAGGCACCTACATCACCTCTCACTCTCGCTCCAACCCACCAAAGCAGGAACTATTAGCCCATTTTCCAGATGGGGAAACTGAGGTTGAAGGACCCACAGAGGGGACCTAGGGTTGACGGGGATTTCTGGGGGGAGGGAGATGCTTTACCGGACCCCCTCTTTGTGATGGTTTTGTTTTGAATCACATGAAATGAATGGATACAATTAAAATTTCTTTCTCTCTCACCCTCCCTTCCTCCAGGCTGTGGCTGCCACTTCCCGGTCCCTTTGGGGTAGCTCTTGACCTCTCTGTGCCTCAGTTTCTCCCACCCATGCAATGGGATGGTAACCCCCTCCCATCAGTGGTCATACAGAAGGTGTGTGAGCTCCCACCCCACCCAGGATGTTCCACGGCAGACAAAGTCCAGTCCTCAGAGAGTGTCCCTCTGCCTTGGCTCCCCCTACCCTCCCCAGGTCCCCACGTACCTTCTCTCCCGCAGCAAAGTGAGCAACCCACCCAGAAGGTGAGGGTGAGGACAAGTCTTGGGGCCATGGCTCAGGCGGGATCTGCTTTCAGAGGCTGGGGCAGGGAGCACCCTCGGGCAGGCAAGGGACTCAGGTCCCACCCAGGGGAAAGCCCAGCCCCCAGTCGAGGCCCCCTACTTCCCCTTCCCCTTCTGACTCACTGCCTGGTTCATGGGGCTCCGGAGGAGGAGCCCCCAGTCCCTTCCCCGGCCACCGCCAGTCTTGGGTGCGGAAGGCCCCAAAGGTGGGGGCCAGAAGGAGGAGGCCACGAAAGGGAGAAGTGGTAACCCTGTGGCCTTTCCCAGAAGAGCCTTCCTTCCGGCTGCAGCGAGGAGGGGGCACGCCAGGGAGGGCCATGATGACAGGGAGAAAGACAGAGAGAGGCCAGGGCGGGGAGGAACAGAGAGCAGTTGGCGCCGACAGAAGATGCCCATCACTCATCAACCACAGAGATGGGGACCCCCACCCCCACCAGCCACATTCCACGCTCCAGGCCACAGAGAGGCAGAAACCCAGGAAGGTAGCCCCGAACCGTGGACATTCTCCAAGGGCCTGGGACGCCCGGGGACAGGCAGAGCCACTGCTGGACGCTGAGGAAACCTGGGGAACAGGCTGGACACGGAGCTGGAAAGAGCCAGGAACCCCCAGGGGATTTCAGGGGGTTGGCCCAGAGGCAAAGAGGCTGTGGGACACTCCCACCAGGGCCGGGTTTAGGGTGAGGACAGTGAGGTAAGTCGTGCAGCCTCAGATTCTGTCTTCATTTGACATTCGCATATTTTCTTCATTATGAACTTTTGGGAACCCCTTCTGACTTTTAAAAATAGTGCAGTAACTGGGGAATTCCCTGGCAGTCCAGTGGTTACGACTTTGCACATCCAAGGCAGGAGGCACGGTTCAACCCCTGGTCTGGGAACTAAGAGGCTGCATGACGTGGCCAAAAAAAGAAAGAAAAAAGATACTGCAGTGACATAGTAACAGTGTTCCTCCCGGGGACTGAGTCCTGCCTTGCTCTCCTCACCCTAATCCCCAGTCCCTGCTCTGGGCCGCCCCTTCCCCGCTTTGCAGTGGGAGCCCAGCAATCAGGCCACACGATGCTTTCATCCTCTGCTCCGTGAGCTTTTATTCCTGGGGTGGCGTCTGATGATAAGACCAGACGTGAGGGAAGGGACTCACAAATTCTCCGGCGCAGGGAAGGGTACACGGTCAGGGCCCGGGTCTAGACTGACCAGCGCATGCAGGGACCAGTGGGGCCGTGGAGGCAGTGAGGGATCGTTGGGAAGGAGCCCAGGCTGGTCTCCAAGTGCAGATGGTCAGCGCGTGAGTCTGGGAGCCCCGACTCGGGGCCTGGAAGGCGGAGGGCAGTGCTCTGACCTCAGCGGCCCTGGGCCTGGAGTCTTTGCATCTGCAGGATCTGACTCAGAATCCGCTGTACGTCTTCATCCATCTGACCCTGGGGTGGGAGGTGGAGAGAAGCGGAGAGAGCCTGGGCGTTCCCCACCACCCCCCACCCAGCTTCTCCATTCCCCTCCCCGACCCCCCGCCCCGGAGGCCATGAATCTCTTCCCTCGACCAGCGTCCTGTTGTACAGGTGGGGACATTGAGGCCCAGGGAGCAGCAGTGGCACACCCAAAGCCAGGGTGACTCACCTGAATGGCGTAGAGGAGGTGGCTCCTATACAAGGCCACCACTGCACTGTGGTCCCTGGCAGCTTCCTGTGGGTGTGGGGAGGGCGCTCAGAAAAGCAGAACCCCCTCCAAGATATGCCAGAAAGCCCCCTTTGCACCCCGAGCCCCTAGTTTGATGGCAGGCGCCGGCGTGGCTGTGCTGCTTGCTAAAATACTGAACTGTTTTCCTTCCACGCCTGGCCCATGTGCCCAACCTCCTGCCTGCCCGTCACCCTCCGGGGACCCCTGTGCCCAGCAGGTGGGCGAGGCTCTCACCTCCAGCTGCTCCCGTAGAGCCTTCACCTGGCCACGAAGGGCCTCCACGTCCGAGGAGCCTGGGGCTCCCCGCTGGTCCTTCAGTGCCTCCTTAAGACTGAAGACTTCCTTGGAGAGCTCTGTGATCTGAGGTGGGATCAGGGGAGGGTCAGCTAGCATCCTGAGCCCGGGGCTGGGGGCCTGCGACCTTTCCAGGCAAAGGACAGGCCTTGGAGGGAAAGTTGCATCCTAGAGGTTAGCAAACTCTGCCCTGCAGGCTGAGTCCGGCCCATCGGCTAAGAATGGTTTCCACATGTTAAATGGTTGAGGGGGAAGAAGTCTGAAGAAGAATGACATTTCACGACATGTGCAAATGAAACCAAATTCACATTTCCATGGCCAAACGTAAAATGTTATTGGCGCACGGCCAAGCCCATTCACTGTCACAGGGTCTACAGCTCCTGCATCAGCGGCAGAGCTGAGTGCCCTGGCCAAGCAAGGCCAATAACATTGACCGTCTGGCCCTTTACAGAAAAACCTTGTGGATCTTGGAGTCCCGGGAAGTGAAAGCGGAGACAGACAGAACAGGAGGGCCGAAAGCAGCCTGGCCTGGTGGGGCTGGGTCAGGCAGGCCAGGGTTTGGGTCCTTCTCTACCCTTTCCCTGCTGGAGATCTGGGGAAGATGACTTAAACCCTCTGAATCTCAGTTTCCTCATCTGTAAAGAGAATCACACTTCTCACCTTGGCAGGCTGCTGTGATTAAGTTTAAACTGTGTCAGCAAACAGCAGGCACTCAATAAATGCTGGGCTTTATTGTTATTTCTATAGATCAGAGGTTCTCAACCAGGGGAGATCCTGCCTCCCGGGGATGCCAGGCAATATCTGTGTTTGTCACCACTGGGGGTGCTCCTGATATCGAGTGGGTAGGGGCCACGAATGCTGCTCCATGCCCCACAGTGCCCGGGATGGTCCCCCACAAAGACTAACCTAGCCCCAAATGTCACTAGTGCTGAAGGGGAGGAACACTGCTACAAATAAACCATAATCCCTACCGCAATTTTATCTTCATTTTACAGAGGTGGAAACTGGGGCTCAGAGAGGTCAAGTGACTTGCCCAGGGTCACACAGCAGGTTGGGGCTGGGTTTCTCTGTGTGCTAAAGCACCTGGGGCTCTGGGGGTCACATCCACTGTCTAGTGAGGTGCTGTGTGACTTCAAGACACTCAGTTTGCCTCTTGGAGCCTCTGTTTGCTCATCTGGAAAATGGGCTGATTTCCCAAGGCTCTTTCAGTTGGGACATTCTTAGATTCCCTCCAACCTCTGTCGAGTGGGGGGCCCCCTGACTGAGCACAAGAAAAGGGGACCCACCTTCTTGTCCTTCTCCTTGGCGCTCTCCAGGGCCTCCTGGGCACGGCTCTGGGCCTGGCGTGCCCGCTCGGCCTCAGTACGTAGCCCCCGCAGCTGCTGCTCTGCGGTGGCCAGCTGGGCCTCGGCCGCGTGCCGTTCACTCTTCATGAATAGCGCCTCCCGCTGCACCTGCGGCCCAAACCCATGTGTGACCCTGAGGACGTCTGGACCCCAAAGATGCCTGGACACCAAAGATTCTGACCCTTCTATTTTGGTCTGAGGCTATTCAAGCCCGTTTGGCCTCAAGGAATTTGATTCAGGGAAGTTCTGGATTTCTTTGGGCACGATGAACATTCTGACTCTGCCAAGCTGTGTGTCCTTAGACAAGTGACATAAGCTCTCTGTGTCTCAATTTGCTCATATGTAAAATGAGGATAATAAGCGCCTCCACGTCACAGGGTGATTGTGAGGATAAAATGAGAAAATACATGGAATACACTTAGAATGGTGCTTGGCACTCAGTAAGTGCTATCTTCAAGTTTGTGATGTTGTTTTTAGTGTTATTATTACATAATGAACGTTATTATCATTATTATTACAATATAGCCAATGTTCTTCTCTCTGCCGGTGGTGTGAAGGTTTGTAGATTTCTTACGAAATGAAGGAAAAACAGAAGAGTCTGGATGAAAAGCAAACAAATGCCCCAAAATTGATGACTGCACTTTCACAAAAATATCAAGATTGGAGCAGTGTTAGATTTGCAAAAATTGATCCTGGGGGGGATCATTGGCCTTAAAAGAAATAAAAGGTCAGGGAAAATGGAAAATAATTAGATGTTCCACTTAGTACAGACTGACTACACCTTAACAATTAAAAAAAAAAAAACTAAGTCTGAATCAAATCAGCCTTGCAAAATTTACCCACAAAAGAAGTGATCATGAAGGAAGGTAAAATTCAAAAAATAGGGCTTCCCTGGCGGTCCAGTGGTTAAGACTCCACGCTTCCACTGCATGGGGCACGGGTTAGATCCCTGGTCGGGGAACTAAGATCCCTGAAAGCAGTGCAGCCAAAAAAAAAAAAAAAAAAAATAGAAGAGAATGTTCTTGGAAAAACAGTAATCCTGGCTGCAATTATTAATCACTTGTACCATCACTGTCCTAAGTAAAATTAAACCATTTAATTCTCATGTGAGGACTAAGAACTATTATTAGCTCCATTATACAGGTGAGTAAACAGAGGCATGGAGAGAAAAACGCTTTCCTGATGACAACTAACAAATGTGGCTTTTTATTCACATATTTGTTAAAAACAGTTGCTAGGTTTTTTTGCGGGGTGTGTGTGTGTGTGTGTGTGTGTGTGTGTGTGTGTGTGTGTGTGTGTGTGTGTATTTAAGAAAAGAGATGGGGTCAAAAGATCCACCTTCAGGACTTCCCTGGTTGTCCAGTGGTTTAGAATCCTCCTTCCTCCACTGCAAGGGGTGTGGGTTCGATCCCTGGTCAGGGAACTAAGATCCCACATGCTGTGGGGCAACTAGGCCCGCATGCTCTAGAGCCCGCGTGTCACAACTAGAGAGCCTGTGCGCCGCAACTACTGAGCCCGTGCACTGCAACGAAGATCCCACGTGCCAGGGACATCCCCCGTGGCACAGTGGTTAAGAATCCACCTGCCAATGCAGGGGACACAGGTTCGAGCCCTGGTCTGGGAGGATCCCACATGCCACGGAGCAGCTAAGCCTGTGCGCCACAGCTACTGAGCCTGCGCTCTAGAGCCCACGAGCCACAGCTAATGAGCCCACACGCCTAGAGCCCGTGGTCCGCAACGAAAAGCCACCGCAATGAGAAGCCTACACACCACAACGAAGAGTAGCCCCCTCTCGCCGCAACTAGAGAAAGCCCGCGGGCAGCAACAAAGACCCAACACAGCCAAAAATAAATAAATAAATAAATAGATAGATAAAAAGGAAGATGGCGGGCTTCCCTGGTGGCGCAGTGGTTGAGAGTCCGCCTGCCGATGCAGGGCACATGGGTTCATGCCCCGGTCCGGGAGGATCCCACATGCCGCGGAGCGGCTAGGCCCGTGAGCCATGGCCACTGAGCCTGCGCATCCGGAGCCTGTGCTCCGCAACGGGAGAGGCCACAACAGTGAGAGGCCCGCGTACCGCAAAAACCAAAACAAAAACAAAAAAGGAAGATGGAAAAAGGGCTAACCATTAGAAAAAATGATGGGGTCAAAATGACCAAAAGGTTTTTAAAAAGAAAACACCAGTTGAAACACCCAGGAGGTCAGAATGGCTGCAGGGTCAAAGGTCCACCTGGATATATCGCAGCGTCAAGTCTCTGCAGGACTGAAACCGATGGGGTCGAAATATCGCATGGCTGTGGGGTCAGAACAGACCACCAACTGGCTACTGGCTGTGCCCAATGAGGATCCCACCACGCTCACCTGGAAGACCTCGGCGCTGGTCTTCTCGTGGCGTCGCCCCAGCTCCTCCAGCTGCCCCTGCAGCCGGGCCACGTCGGCCTGCAGGGCATCCACGATGCGCTCGTGCTCCAGGCGGGCCACGCTGCCCACACGCTCGCGCTCCAGCTCTGCCCTCAGACGGGCGGCCTCCTTGCCCGTGGCCACCACCTCCTGCTCCAGGCTGGCCGCCCGTCCCCGCAACTCCAGGGCCTCCTCCTGCAGCCGGTGATGCTCCGAGGCTGGCACCACTGACTGGTGGAGCACCTCGGAGGCCTCACGCAATTCCGCCAGGCCCCGCCGAGCCTCCTCGCAGGCCGCGGCCAGCTCAGAAGCCCGGGCCTCAGCCACGTCCCGCGCCTGGCCCAGCTTGACGGCCGCAGCCCGCTGCTGCTCCCCGGCGGCTGCGGCCGTAGCCAGCTGCTCCCGTAGGGCCTGCACCTCCCGGCTCAGCTCCAGCCTCAACTCCTCCCGCTGGGCCAGCTCTGCCCGCAGGCCTCGAGCCTCCTCCTCGGCCAACAGCCGGCCGGCCTGGGCCTCGTCTAGCTGGGCTGAGGCCGCTTCCATCTCCCGGAGGCGGCAGTCCCGGTCTCGGAGGTCCTCCCGGGCCTGCTCCAGGGCGGCCCGCAGCTGGCCTGTGTCACCGCTGCTGACCCCGCCAGCTCCACCACCCTCGGCCTCCGCGGGCTCACACTTGCCGTGGGCCGCCTCCAGCTCGGCAGCACTGGGGTGCAAGGCGGGGCCTGTGGTGACCCTCGGGGTCGTGGCCTCCACTCCCATGGCCTCCGTTTTCATGGTCCCTGTGCCTGTGAGCTCTTCCTGCACAGCACCTGTTCCACTGGCCTTCCATTCTGGTTCCTCTGTTTCCGTATTTGTGGACTCTGCTCCCATGGCCTCTGTTTCTGAGTTTCCTCCTTCTTCTAGAGTTTTCGTTTCTGTGACCTCAGCCCCCGCGGCCTTTGTTTCCAAGCGCTCGGCGCCCACACCCTCTGTTTCCGTGGCCTCAGCGTCCGTGGGTCTTGTTTCCGTGGCCTCTGCCACCATGGATGCTGCTTCCAAAGCTCTGGCTTCCGTGGTTTCTACTCCCGCAGCCTCCTCATCTGTGCTCTCGGCTCCATTAACTCTGGTTTCCGGAGCTGCAGTGCCGTTAAGCTCTGCTTCCACTGGTCCGTTTCTGGCGGCCTTGGCTCCCGGGCCGTTGCCCTCCCTAGGGGCTGCCTCCTCTTCTCCAGGGCCCTCCTGTGCTTCCTGCTGCCCCAGCACCTGCAGGGCCTTGGCATGCTGCCTGCGGAGCTGGTCAAACTCAGCCCGGAGAGAGTTGTACAGCGCCAGAGGGATGACCTCGGCCAGACTGTCAGCCTCCATCTCGTCCTTCTCGAAGTGCTCCAGGATCTGGCGGGGGCAGGGCAGCTGGGCAAGAGCTGAAGTGGCCATGGGGGGCACAGGGCAGCCATGCCACTTTCCCTGTCCACAGACTCAGCCACGTGCCCGCCCAACCCCCCGGGGAACAGCCCCTCAGGTCCTCAGGTCTGTCCCCACCCAACCCTCCCAGGCCTCAGTTTCCCCACCTGGACCTTCTCCATCAGTTCCTGGTTCTGTCTGGTGAGCGTGGCCACCTGCTCCTGCAGCGAGGCCAAGAGATCCTGGGCCGATGGGCTTAGGTGCTTGGAGAGCAGCGCCTCAGCCCCTGGCAGGGGACACAGAGTCAGGCCCCAGGGTCCCTGGGCAGGCCGACTTTGGGGAGTGGAGTAACTAACGGGGCGGGCCAAGCTCCCTCCCAGATGCAACCTCTCTCAATGCCTATGGGTCAAGGCTCCAACTCCTGGGGCCCCAGACACAACGGGTGGGGAAGGGCAGGTGGGAGCTCACCTGGGAAGTCGGGCAGCTCACCCTCCTCGTCCTGCAGGGTGGCCACATCATAGCTGGTGTTCTCCCTCTCATTCTGGTGGGGGGGTGATCAGGGTCCGGCTCGGGGTCTTGCCCTCCCTCCAGCCCCCATGTCTCCCCCAAGTTTGTGTCCATAACCCCAACAACTAGGGGTGTACGTGCCACCTGGTCACAGGGGACCAAGAGAGGGATGGGAGTGAGTCCTTGAAAGGGTGTGTCTGCAATTCTGTGTGGGGCCACGGCTGTCTGCCTGTGTGCGAGTACCTGCAACAGTGGTTCAGGGTCTGTGGGTCGGCGGTGAGCATGTGTGTGCACGTGTGGGCGTGCACAGTGGCCCCGATCTCTCCTATGTGAGTCCCCGTGACTGTGTGTGATTTTGCGCTTGTATTTTAGTCTGTGGTGTGTGACCGTTCTGTGTTTCTGTATGTGTGCATGTGCGTGAACACGGTTGTGTACGTGTATCTATGTTTGTGTAATTATGTATTTTGAGAAATACTTGTGTGTGTACATGTACTTGTGGGTGTGTTGCCTAGGTGTGTGATTGAATGAGAAATATCTGCTGTGTGTGCCCAAGTATTTGTAGTGCATGTGTGATTATACACCCACAGATGTGTTTGTTGTGTGTTTGCCTGTTGTACGTGTAAGACCACATATATACAAGCATGGCTGTTCATCTCTGCACGTATGTCAGCATGTGTGATTCTGTGTTTTTAAAAGTGTCTATTATGTGTACCTGTGTTTGTACGTTTGTCTGTTCTGTGTTTGCATGTGTGTGAGACTATGTGTATTAGTGTGGCTATCATGCAGCTGCAGCAGAAGAGAGGCCCTTCCCCCTGGTGGCCCCGCCCCTAGAAGCCCCACCCCTGCCCTGCTCCCCGCTGGGCCCACCTCCAGCAGGGACAGCCTGCTCTGCAAACTTTCCACCTCCCGTCCTAGACTCTCCTTCTCCTCCTGCCTCTCTGCCAGCAGCTGCTGTAGCTCTTGCACCTGCAGGGAGGCAGTGGGGGGCTCAGTGGGCCTCTGGGGAAAACACTGGGCAGCTGGCCATCCAGCTTCCCCCCGCCTTCCACCCTACCTGTCTCTCCAGGCTGTGGAGGGAGCTGGCCTCCGCCTCTGGCAGCTGACGGAAGAAAGGGGCCTGGGCTTGGATCTGGGCTGGGGGGCCTCCCTGGCCTACCTCCTGCTCAGTGGCCCTCCATCCCAACCACAGATGTCCTCTGGCCTATTTTGTGCCAGACCCCCTTTAGGGCCACTAATTCGTTTATTTATTCATTCACTCACTTACTCAAATATTCATCCATCCAGTAAATACTTATGAAGCATCTACTGTGAGCCAGGTGCCATCAACCATATCTGCCCTCGTGGGCTTACAGTCGAATGGGTGAATATGAATAAAATATATGGTACATCCAATAGCAGTAAGTGCTTTAAATAAAAATAAAGGGAACTGTGAAGTGAGTCGGGGTGTAACAATTTTAAATAATTTCAGTAGGGGAGGTGTCTTTGAGCAAAGACCTGAAGGAGATGAGGGAGGGAGTCATAAGGACATCTGGGAAAAGGTGTTTCTGGCAGAGGCCACAGCACGTGCAAAGGCCCGGGGGCAGCACCATGCCTGGAGTGTTGGAGGAACACCGAGGAGGCCCGTGTGTGTGGAGAGGGAGAAGAGGTAGGGTACCCCCAAAATGGTACCTGCTGCAGGCTTAGCCCAAGGCCCATGTCTCTGAGGCCCCTCACCTCCTGCTTCTTCCGTTCCTGGTTCTGCTCCAGGCCCCGGATCTTCTGCAGCAGGCGGCCCCTCTCCTGTCGCAGCCGCACGATCTCCTCATAGGCATCTTGATCATCCTGTCCCCCGACCCCGGGAACCCACCACCTTTACATGATGCCCAAGGACTGTACCCTCCCGTACCTGAGCCAGAGCTTTCTCCCCATCCTGCCTGGAGTCCCTCCATGCCTCCCCCCAAGGCCAGGGCATCTCTCACCGGCATCGGGATATTGGCAGGGGGCTGAGGTGCCTTTCGCTTCTTGGGGGCCCCTTGCTTTTCATGGCTGGACACAGAGTTCTGGGGGGAGGGGTAGAGGGGGTACATGGGGGACATGCCAGCCTCCCACCCAAATAAACCAACACAGCCAACCCACTCTCTGTCACCAGCCCCAACTGTGCCCTCACTTCCTGTGTGATCTCGAGTGAGTCCCTGCCTCTCGCTGGTCCTCACTTATCCCAGCATAAAAGGGGGCAAGACCACATCTCCTGAGAGCTCCAAATCTTATGTTTTACCCTCTGCCCCTCTCCATGCCCTGGCACTTTCCCCAGCTAGACCCAATTGTTTACAATTCTTTCCCTATGGAGCTGAGATGCTGTAGTGCCGGAAGAGAGAAAGCGGCCAGACCTGACTCCTTCACTGACTGCACCAGCCCTCACCCATCTCAGTTCCCTCTACCATCCCACCCTAGCCCCATGATGTGGCCCCATCCCCCCAGTGTTCTCACTGAGTCTTGAGAGTTATGCTGTGGGTGCTGCCGCCACTTGGTGGCAGCATACCCCGAAGGTGGCATTCTTCCCCAACCTGGTCCTTCCCGGTATTAACCCTGAGTCAAGGGTCCATCTCTTCCTTCTCTTCCCAGGGAGCCTGGGGCAAGGGGGAAGGTAGTGTGTGCACAGGGAGAGGGACTTGCTCGCTGCTTAGGGATCCATACCTGAGATGATGCCTCGCCTGAGTCATCCTCTGGGAGGGCAGGGGAGAGAGGGAAGCAGGGTCAGGCACTGTTCTAGGGATTCCATTCCTAGCCCTAGGAAGGGCATTAGGGAGCCCAGGGGACTTGAGAGCGCTCCCAACTCCCCCCAGCATCAGGACTTTTAAGGTAGGAATCAACCATTTTGACAGAATACTAATAGGAGGGGCCTTGAAACTCTCAAAAGGAGAGAACAGTGGCATCTCCAGGATGGGGCAAGTGGAGGGGCCAATTCTTAGGAAAGGCAAACATCCAGGCATATGGATGACCCAGGAAAACAGAGTTGACCCCTAGGCTCTTCTAAAAGCTCTGGGGTTCCTCAAAACTGTCCTGAGTAGTGTGATGGGAGCAATGAAACCTCCTATAATACAAATAGGGATACCTTGAAACTATCCACAGTAGGGAGGGAGAGAAAGGGGTGACAAGAAATTACCTAGAAGATGGAGGAGGGTGCTCAAAATTGTTCAGAGGTGGGGTTTGCATACCGCTGGGTGCTGAGGGGCGCTGGGCGGCCTCCTGCAGGAGGTGTAGGATGAGTTTGTCCCCTGCCAGGGCGCCGTAGTGAGCAGCGTCCTGGCCCAGCGCATCAGTGATGCCCGGCTGGGCCCCACCCTGCAGCAGCACCTCCACTGTTTCGGGGCTGGCTCCCTCACAGGCCAGCATCAGGGCCGTCCTACCAGAAGAGGAGGCTACTGAGGGGGTGAGGACATTTTCAAACCACCACACCCTCCTCAACACCCAGGGTGGGTAAGGGGAGGAGGACAACTAGATCCCACACCCAGAGAGGTTAAGAGACTTGCCTAAGTCACACAGCACACAATGGACTGGCTGAGAGGGGAGATGCTCACCTGCCCTGAAGGTCCTGGTCATTTGCAGCAGCCCCTTGCTGCAGGAGGAGGCGGCACAGATCTGTGTGACACATCTGAGCTGCTATGATGAGGGGTGTTGTACCCAGCTGGGGGTGGGGGGGTGGGAGAGGGGTGAGACAAGGCATGAGAGAATGACTCTGGGAGGTGGGGAAGCCTATGACGGCCCCCAAGCTTCCCTCCAAATCTTCATACTTTTCAAAGGGTGCCTGGGATGCTGCCACTGGGTGGCAGCATACCTCAAATGCAGTATCTTTCCCCACAAGATCCCAAAGACTCACCCGATCTCGGGGATTCAGATGTGCCTTGAAGGAGCAGAGCATTTCTGAGCATGAGACGCAGCCGCCAGCCGCTGGAAAAAGAGAGAAGGGTGGGTAGGAAGGGCATGGCTTTGATATTTTCTGGGGGCCTTCTGCCTGAGCGTGATTCTTATCCTTTATTTCATGAGAAACTCCCACCTCCCCCAGAAGATCAGTGACAAAGATATGACTCCTATTATACAGATGAAGAAACTGAGGCCCAGCCAGGCCCACGGTCACCCAGGGGGTCAGAGAAAGAGCCAGGATGAGGACCCAGGTCTTCTAATTCCCAGTCCCAAGCTCCTTCCACATTCCACTGTGGGTCCCTCTTAGGGTGGAACGTTTCACTGATTTTCATGTATTTAACCCCTTTTGATTCAACCAGCATTTATTGCGTACCGACTATATACCAAACCCTCATACAAAGAGTGTTAATATTTACTACAGAGATCAGACCTCCGCTGAGGTTGGGCAGGCTTCTTGGGGTTTGATCTGAGCTTGAGTTTTGATGGAGAAAGGGGGAGGGTAGAGGTCACTGCATGGACATGGACCCTGAGGCAGGGAGGAGCTTGAAAGGACTTGGTCATCAAGGAAGTAGGACAAGGTGTGTTATGTCCAGAGCCTCAAAGAGGGAAGGAAGGGCTTTGTGCAAGGAAGTGTTGCTGGAAAACCATTAAACTCTTGGATTTCCCTGGCGGTCCAGTGGTTAAGACTCCGCAATTCCACTGCAGGGGGCGCGGGTTCGATCCCTGGTGAGGGAACTAAGATCCCACGTGCTGTGCAGCATGGCCAAAAAGATAAAACAAGAAAAAAAGCTAAAAAAAAAATCATCAAACTTTATGTGATTACCTGCTGTGTGCCCAAGGACTTATGGGGTTTTGTTTGCTGTTGTAATCCCATCGCTTAGAACCGAGCCTGGCACACAGCAGGTGCTCAATATTTATTGAAAGAAAAAAACCATGGAGCTTCCATAACGTGATCAAAGGCTTTGCCACCACTAGGTGGCAGCGTACTCCAACTGCAGGGAATGTTTCAACAGTGAATAAAACTCCAGAGCAAATGTATTCCACGCTCCCAAGAGGATAGACGTTTCTTGAGTCATCAAGTGAAAGACATTCTCGAATGTCATGGGCACAGTGGACAGACGTTGGGCTGGGTCCTGGCTCAGGTGGGTGGGTCCCTTCCCTCCCTCAGGAAAGGAATTTGGATTTGATGACTATGAAGGTTGCCTGGACCTTTGGCCTTCCTGAGATTCCCTAGGAGTTCCTTGAAGCAAATTATACTCTGGTCACCCTCTGATCGTCCTCACCCAGGCCCAGCATACAGAAGCCTGTGCTTCGGGGTCAGACGGCCTGGATCCTCCCCACTTTCTTGCTGATAAGCCTCAATCCCCTTGTCTGTGCAATGGTCATCGTCCATGGCTCAAAGGGTCACTGAGGATAATGCAGAGCCCAGTGCCTGGCACACGGTAGGGGCTCCATGAGGAAGGAGATGGAATGTCCTAGGCAGGTCCCCAGAGCCCTAGGTAGAATAATTCCCAAGCCTAGCACCCTCTGGGCCATGGTGGCCAGGGCGAGGCCAGGCTGCACCCACCTGCGTGATGCAGGGCCGTCCACCCACTACTGTCCACAGTATCCACCACGCAGGATGCCTGGGGGGGGAGGCGTGTCATTGGAGGTGGAGCCATCCCTGTTTAGGAGCCATCCCTGTTGCCTAATTTCTCTAGGAACTGCCCCTCCTTGGGCTCTGCTGTATTTCAGCCTCCTTGCCTCCCCCCTTCTCCCCTCCCACCCACCTGCTCTGTGGAACCCACTTCTCACAGGCCACCAAATGACTCTCTTGGCTTTTACGAAAATCGGTGAGAAAGAGGGATTAGCTGGGAGCCCAGGGGCAGCCGGGGGTTTGGGGAGAAGCTGGGCTCAGGAAATAGCTGGTATTGGGAGTATAACTTGGGTGTGGGAAGTAGCTGGACACTCAGGGAGTATCTGGTTGTCCAAGGAGTAGCTGGGACTCAGGAGTAAAAGGGGCCAAGGAATACAAAGGATTCAGGGGGTAACTGGGGGTTCAGTGAATTCCTGGAACTCAGGACTAGTCAGGGCAAGGGAGTATCTGGGGTTGGGAAGTATCTGAGGCAGGAAAGGACATGACCTGCAGTAGTTGCTTCAAGCACTGAGGGTGCCCATACTTGGCGGCCAGGTGGAGGGCACTGTAACCTGAAAGGGAGAGAGAATGTACTAGAGCTTCAGATACTCAGGGAACTTCCAGTTGCCCCCCCCAAACCTGTGTCAACTACTTGTGATGACTCTAACAAGTCCCCAAACCCAGGTACTTCTCAAAACTGTGCTACTCCCTGGGACCAGAGGCTCTCCAAACCTCAGCTAGTAGGTGTCCCAGACAATCTCATCCCAGCTACACTCCACATCCATCCACTCCTCAAGCACTACTGTCCCCAGCTACTCCCCAGGTCGCCAGCTACTCCCCAGGTCCTCAGCTACTCCCTCGGTCCCCAGCTACTCCCTCGGTCCCCAGCTACTCCCCAGGTCCTCAGCTACTCCCCCAGTCCCCAGCTACTCCCCAGGTCACCAGCTTACTCCCTAGGTCCCAGCTACTCCCCAGGTCCCCAGCTACTCCCCAGGTCCCAGCTACTCTATAAGCTCAACTACACCAAAGTGCCAGCTATGCCGCTTTCTTTGATACTCCACAAATTCCCAGTACCCATACATCCTGGCTCCTATACTTGTTGCCCTGAAGCTTCAGATGTGGCTATGCCCCATGCCTAGCTATTCCCTGAGTCCCAACTACTCCCTCTGGCCATGCTTTCTATTGCAGTTATCCCTCAGGGCCCTAGTTAAGTCACACACCTAGATTCTCCTTTTGTCTCAGCTACTCCCAGAGCTCCAGCTAACTCTAGAGCCCAGCTACTCCATGCACCTCAGATACTCCCCTCCAGAAAACTGTACTTGTTATTCTCACGCCCCCAGATGCTCCTCAAGCTCAGATGCTCCTCTGTTTCCATTACTTCCTCTGACTCAACCACTACCTGAGTCCCAGCTCTCCCTGATCCACAAGTTGACTCACTCTGTTTGCTGCCAGCCATGGTCTCCATCCTTGGGTACCACAGCCTGACTCGCCCCTGTGCCTCCCTGGGGGCACTGAAGAGAACCCCCCTTTTTCAGCAGGACATGGAGGCCATGAAGCAGGGCCCGGCTGGACCCTCAGGCTGGGCACCTGGTCTGAGTTCCTCTTCCCTCCCCCAGGGCCCGGCGGGTAGTACCTGCCCCATCCGTGCTCATAACGTTGGCGCCGTGTGTCAGCATCACCTCTAGACAGCTGGCTGCACCCCTCATGGCCGCCAGGTGGAATCTGGAGGCCAGAGGTCAGGGGTCAGCTGCAGGGTGGCCACCCCTCAGCCATCACACCCCCAGGACGTGGGCACTCACGCGGACTTGCCCTCGGGGTCCAGCTTCGTGGGCACCAGCCCCTTGCGGACAATGAGGGAGGCCACCCGTGCGGCATCATTGTTCTCCACGGCCTGCAGCAGCCGCTCGTCACTTTTGCCCCAGTCCTGGCTCTGCGGGGCACACCCAGGGGAACATGGGACTGGCAGCCACTGCCCCTCCCCACTCCCCCAGCAGGGGCTCCGGGCTCTCACCGCCCGGCCTGGGCACTTGCCTGGCGCCTGCCTCTGGCTGCCGGCTTCGGGATGGGGCAGGGGCCGCAGGGTGGGCAGGAGCCAAGGTCAGTGGGGCTGAGCCGCAGCTGCCGGGGGGAGTGGTCCTGGGTGGGGGCCTGAGACAGCAACCCTCAAGCCTGGGTCCCCAGCATCTGCCCCCAGGTCCATCGCCCCAGCTGTCATACACCACTTCCACCATCGTACCATTAAACCATCCCCAGATCAGCCCCCAGCATCTTTCCAAAAAGTTGTCCCCCAAACCTAGGCTCCCAGCCCATCCCTTAGTGAAAGCCACCTTTCCAATATCACCTCACCATATCCCTTTCTGAACTACCCTCCGAAATCTTCCCATAGGAACCCCTAAAAAGGTTGCTTCAATGTCCCTCAGCACCACCCTCTGCCATCTATCCTTTGACTGCCTCTGAGATGTCACAATTGTCTCCCAAATGTCCCAATATCTGAAATGTATTCCAAAATGTCTTCCCCAAATTCCTGACATGTTCTCCAAAATCATCCCCCCAATGATCCCATCATCTGTCCCCAAAATGTCCTCCCCTAAAATCTTTCAGATGTCCTCCAAAATTGTTCTCCAAATGTCAATATCTTTTCCCAGAAAAGATCACCCAAAACAGCATCCAAACTGTCCCCACAAATGATCCCCCAAAACTGTTCCCCAAAACTGTCTCTCTAAATGCCCTCCAAATTCTCCTGTGTCCCCATCTGTCCTCAAAACCGTCCCCCCAAATGTCCCATCCATCCCCCCCCAGTCTCTGCCCCGCCCCCTCCCTCCTCCCTGATCATCCTTCGCGGGTCTGAGGGTGGAGGGTCTAGGCTCTGCGAGGTCAGGGGGCGGGGAGGGGCGGGACGGGGAGGGGAGGAAGGGCCCGCGCCCGCCCCGCTCCCGCGCCCCTTCCCCCGGCCCTACCGCGAAGGAGGCGGCGGCGCAAAGGCACAGCTGCTTCATGGTGTCCAGGGCGCCGGGCGGCCGGGCGGCCGGGCGGCCGGGCTCCGGGAGGTGACCAGAGGGAAGGGCCCGCGATGCCGGGGCTCGGCCGCCCGGCCCGCGCGGTCCCTCCAAGCCCCGCGCCAAACCTCCCCCGCGTGCCCCGCCTGCTGCCCCCCTCCCGGCCTCTCCCCTACGGGTCGGGGGGAGTGCCAGGGAAGGGGGCTGGGCTCTGGGGGAGGGGCACCGCGGTGGCCCGACCTGACCTTCTTGCCACCGGGAGGCTGAGGCAAAGAGGGCCAGGCTCCCAGGATCTCCACGGACCCGCCTGCGTTCGTCTCCGCCTCTCTGGGGGGGGGGGGGGGGGGGGGGGGGGAAGGGGGGGAGTGTGGGATACGGGGGGGTGGTCTCAGGTGACTCCCGGTCTGGTTCCACTGCCGCTGGGCTATCCGGGCTCTCCCTCACTCATTCATTCACTCATTCATTCATTCATCATCCACCAGCGGGGCTCTGCCGTCTGACAAACCTGAATTTGAATCCAGGGCACCCCCCACCACGCCCCCTGCCCTCCACACACCCGCATTTACCATCTATAAGATCGGCCCAGATACTTACCTGCTTTGGACTTCACTTTCCTCATCCGGGAAATGGGTTTCATATTAAACAGTACCTACTGCAGAGGGTTACTGGGAAGACTAAATGAGATGCTAGATATGGGGCCTGGAACATAGTGCGCCATAAACACGGATTCAAAGAAAGATGTGGTTGGGCTGTGTGCATATCTAATACTGAATCCTAGGGACGCAGGACATAGTAGGTGCTCAGTTAAACCACTGAAAGACAGAATGGACACAGCCTTTGGCTCTAACTCCAAGGGGCTGGGAGGGTCTGTGTTCTGCTGCTTTTCTCAGACTGGAAGCCCCTTGAGAGCAGGGTCCCACTGAGGCCTCCCTGGCAGAGGCCAGGGTGGGATGGGCACCCCAGGGTGGAGTGGGCAGTTGGTGAATGTTTGCTCTGTTAATGTGTGACTCACAAAGCCAAGCCCTCTGAACCATGTGTATTTCATTCATTCAGTCCGCTTGTGCTACAGGGTGCCTGGCACTGCACTGGGCATTGGGACTCAGTGGTGACGAAGACAGATGTCCCTGCTATCACTGAGGTCCCTGGGGAGACAGACACATCCATGGGTTTATGAACCAAGGTGATCAGGGCTATTATGAGGGAAGCCCAGGTGAGCTGGGAGCTCAGAGAGGACTCTTGATATCATCTGGGGAGTCAGGGAGGGCTTCCTGGAAGAAAGGACATCTGAGCTGAAACTTGAAGAATGGGCAGGAGTTGGGGAGTGGCAGGAACAAGATCATGTTTGGGAGAAATCATGAAATAAATTGCTCTCCTGGACCAGTGCGGTAGCCTCTGCCCTGGTCCAGGACCTGGGGCGTGGGGTGGGGCAGGGGTGTGCATACTTAAGGGTGGGGGCAGAGGAGGAGAGGTGCTAGCATAGGAGCTGGAGGAGGGGGTCCTGGGAAGGCGGGGGAAACCAGGAGTGTGGGGTGTCAGGAGAGCCACAAATGGTTCCAAAAGTCAGGATAGTCCACTGTGTTGTGGATGCAAATTCAAGAAGGGACCAGGAGAAGGGAGAAGATTGGGATTACAGGGGAGAGAAGGGATGAGTGAGGAGACAGGCCTTCAGGAACCCAAATTTAAGAGCAGTGACTGCTGACAGGCACTGGGGCTTTGAACCCAGCTTGGCCATTGTATAGTTGCTGTGTGACCCGGGGCCAGCCATTCTCCCTCTCTGGGCCTCAATTCTTTAACAAGGGGATAGATAATGGAAGGAACACTATAGAGCCGGGTTCCTCCACCCAGAGGCACTGCTGACACTTGGGGCCTGGTCATTCCCTGGGGTGGGGCCATCCTGGACTCTGTGGGGTGTTGAGCGGCACCCCTGGTCCAGAAACACCCCCCACACACACACCATGTGAAAACCGTAAATGTCCCAGGTATCACCCAGTGTACCCGGAGGCAGGATCACTGCTGTTGTCCGTGATTATTCTTAGACACCTTTAGGCAGATGGAGGGAGAGGTGGGGGCAGGTAAATGGAGAATCTGCTGATAAGCAATTGGGGAGTTGGAAGGAGGGTGTTAAGGGCTCCTCTCTCCTCTTACACCGAGGGGGGGTGGTGTGACCCTCTCAGGCTTGTCCAGAGAGGAGACTGAAATGGATCTCCCAGCTCAGGCCTCGGATTTCCAACTGCCCTCGGCCTGTCCTTCTGGATGTTAGACAAGTTCAGAAGCCCCCCGCAGTGGGCCAAGGGCGTCACTGTCCTGGTAGGGGCTTAGGCCAAGTCTTAGCATCATCTCACTCCTCTCTCACCCCATACCCAATCCAGCAGCCAACCCCGCCAGCTGTAAACTACGTCCAGGGACCCCTTCTCACCCATGGTCCAGCCCCATCACAATTCTATCTGGAGGTCACCTCCTCCCAGGCCTCCCTGCTTCTGTTCCCCTCCCTGGTCCACAGCTTCCTAAAGCCTGCATCAGAGCATTTCTCTTTTCTGCTCAAAAGCCTCCAGCGACTTTGCTCGGCATCAAATGCTAACTGCTCACAGAGCCCAGGAGGTTCTATGGCAAGCGGTCCAACTGCCAACTGAGGTCCCCAGGGCTGGGGTGGGTGGCAAGTCCCAGCCCACCCCATCCCCACCTGGTTTGGTCCAGCTCAAGAGCTAAGAATGGTTTTTACACTTATAAGTGGTCAGGGAAAAAAAAAAATCAAAAGAAGAGTAATACTTCCTGACACATGAAAATTATATGAAATTCTCATTCCAGTGTCCATAAAACAAGTGTTATTGGGATGGGGCTATGCCCATCCATTTTCAAATGGCCTATGGGAATTCCCCGGTGGTCCAATGGTTAGGACTCCATGCTTTCACTGCCGAGGGCCGGGGTTCAATCCCTGCTCAGGAAACTAAGATCCCACAAGCTGTGTGGCGTGGCAAAAAAAAAAAAAAAAAGTTTACTTTCTGGCCCTTTACAGGAAAAATGTGCCCAGCTTTGCTCTAAACAATCCTCCTCGTCAACTCTCTGAGCCCATCTCCCCCTACCTTTCCCGTGGTCCGTGACATCCTGCTGCAGTGGCCTCCTTTCTGGTCCTCAGACAGCTCTGCCCATCTCTGGGCCTTTGCCCTTGCTGTGTCCTCCACCCGGAATGCCCTCCTTCCTCCACTGCCCACAACGCTGATTCCTTTACTGTCTTTTGCACTGGAAGACACCTCTTCAGAGAGCCCTTCTCTGATCACCCCTTGTCACTCTGACCCCTTAGTGGGGGGTTATTTTTCCTTCATCGTTCTTATCACTACCTGACGTCATCCTGTGTACCTTTCTGAAAATATTGTTTCCTCTTGATCTCTCCACAGAATCTCACCTCTGCACAGGCAGGAATTTTTGTCCCCCTTAGTCAATGCGGCTGGATCCCCAGCAGGTACCGGGTATAGATTTTGAAGGACCCGGTGCAAAATGAAAATGCAGGGCCCCTTGTTGGAAAATTATGAAGAATTTCAAGATGGGGAGAAATGAGTATGAAACCAAACATGGGGTCCTTCTGAGTGGCAGGGTATGTGTGTGTGTGTGTGTCTGTGAAGCCGGCCCTGATCTCCAGCCCACAGTAGGTGCTGAATAAATGTTTGTTGAATGAATTAAAGAAATAGTGACTCATTTAAAATAAGGTCACATATCTAATATATATCTATATGTACATTTGTTCATTTCAAGAGTACTTTTCAGGGCATCCTAATAATAAACTACAAGCTACAAAATTCAATCAATCCCCTAGTGCCTGTGTTGATCTAATAGCAATAAACTACTTTGTTCAAACTGAAAAAAAGAAAGAAAAAGAAACAGTGACTCTGGGAATAAAAGTGAGGGAGAGACAGACAGACAGACAGATTTTCCAAAAAGTGTTGAGGCACCGGGAGTTTACGAATCTCTAAAATTTTCTACAAATCCGCACTCTTCTTCCATGCAGGATTTTTCAAAAACCTGAAATAAGGGCAGGAGGTTGATGGGAATCCAAAGACTAGGCTCCCGGCTCCAGTTAACTCCCATCTTTTTTCTTTTCTTTTCTTTTCTTTTTGCGGCATCGCGTGTCATGTGGGATCTTAGTTCCCCTAACAAGGGACCAAATCCGTGCTCCCTGCATTGGAAGCGCAGAGTCTTAACCACTGGACCACCAGGGAAGTCCCTCCCATTTTATGGATGGAAAAACTGAGGCCCAGAGAGGGTGCGAGAAGGCTCAGAGCAAGTAGGGCGCTCTGCTGGGACCTGGCAGAGCAGGCTGTATCATGAGAGAAGCAGAAAGGAGCGGAGAGGGCGCGCCGGGCAGGTTGTGTGCTGAGAATGGGAAATGGAAGGTCCGGAGAGATGGAGACGGAGGTGGAGACGGACCACTGCAGTCACGGGTGTTTGCTTTCTTCCCTCGGGGCAGCCGAACAAAAGCTGAACCTGACTCCTGCGTTTGGCAGAGAAACTGGAGCCTGGCAGGTAGAGGGACTGACGGGGGTGGGGGGCGGTTTTGTGGGGGGAGTGGAGGACCAGCTTCTCCTCTCCTTCCTCCCCCAGGCCTCCCATCTGCTGTGCCCGCTCCAGCCCAGGCGGGCTCTGCTCGCTGCCCCCGCCCTCCCTGACACGCCCAGAGACCCTCACACCCGGGCTGAGGTTTTAACACCCTTCTATTCCTGCCCTCATCTTGACACTGTGCCAGGCACCTATCAAAACACACCCACGTCCCAAATTAGGTGTTTTTTTGTTTTTTGTTTTCTTTAAATTAAGGGTACTTTAATCAATTAATTTATTTATTTTTGGCTGTGTTGGGTCTTAGTTTCTGTGCGAGGGCTTTCTCTAGTTGCGGCGAGCAGGGGCCACTCTTCATCGCAGTGTGAGAGCCTCTCACTGTCGCGGCCTCTCTTGTTGCGGAGCACAAGCTCCAGACACGCAGGCTCAGTAGTTGTGGCTCACGGGCCTAGTTGCTCTGCGGCATGTGGGATCCTCCCAGACCAGGGCTTGAATCCGTGTCCCCTGAATTAGCAGGCAGATTCTCAACCACTGCGCCACCAGGGAAGCCCCTAGGTGTTTTTTTTGTTTTTGTTTTTTTTAGCAGCACAAACGTTTTGAAGGATTGGATTTCAATAGGACTCTGCTTTTGAAATTCAACAATCCCGTGGTTTGGTTTACCACTGGCTACAGCTTCTCCGGAATCTTTAGCAGGAAATGTGAACACTAACTAGGAATCGATTTCGAACGGGATGAAAATTTTAGGATCGTTTCGCAGTGAATGAAGCTAACCCCACACCACGTTTTGTAGGGCTTAACAAACAATTTATTCCTTGCTCTGGTGCCCTCTCTCTCTCTCTCTCTTTCATTCTCTCTCCCTCCCCCTCTCCCTCTCCTTCCTTCTCACTTCAATCAATGCAAGTTTCCCCGCAACCAAGGCCCAATAACACAGCCCTAGTAACACAGGTGTTCCTAGTAACACAGCCCAGGGAGAAGGCAGGAATTCACTTCCTAGCTGTGTGATGTTGGGGAAGTTCCTTAACCTCTTTGGGCATCGTTTACTCATTTATAAAGTGGAGATAAAAGCTCCTACCCCATATGATTGTTATGAGGGTTAAAGGAGCTGACATCTGGCAAAGCACATGGAAATCTCCTTGTAGTGTTTGAAAACAAATAAATAAAAACAAAAATGGGATGAAATAAAAATGAGATCAACGGCATTGAATTTAAATTTTAAACGTTAAAATAAACAAAATGAAAGGAATGTTAAAATTGACAAATAATAAAAATACATTTAAAAATCATTTTGAGGGGGGAATTCCCTGGTGGTCCAGTGGTTAGGACTCTGAGCTTCCACTGCAGGGGGCACTGGTTTGATCCCTGGTCAGGGAACTAAGATCCCACAAGCCGCGCAGCACAGCCAAAATAAATAAATAAAAATAAAATAAAATAAAATAAAAATCAGTTGGGAAAACTTTGGAAGGCCAGAGGATGGTGGAGATATACACAGTCACCAAGCTAGTCAGGGGCAGAGGAAGGATTCGAACCCAGAGCCATCTGACTTTAAAACCAGGCTTGGGACTTCCCTGGCGGTCCTGTGGTTAAGACTCTGCTCTTCCACAGCAGCGGCCACGGGTTCGATCCCTGGCTGGGGAACTAAGATCCTGCATGCTGCGCAGCAAGACCAAAAAATTTTTTTTAATTAAAAAATAAAACCAGGCTGTTCCTCTGCCCCGTTTTTGACATTCAAGGACTCCTCGGGCTGGGCCCTCTCGGGCCTCAGCTCCCCCTCACATTCTCTGCTCCAGCCAAAAGAACCTCTTCATCATCCCATTATGTCCCTGTATCAACCAGGCTCTGCCCAGCCTCCAGACCTTTGCTCACACTGGTCCCCATCCCCCTCCCTGTGTGCCTTCACTTGTCTAACTAAATCTTCCCCATCCTTCCATGCTCTGCTCCAGCACCACCTCCTCCAGGTAGCCTCCCTGATTGCCTTGGGCCTTCCGGATGGGAAGGTCCTGTCATGGGAGAAAGACCAAGGGCTCTAAAGTCAGACACGTGTGGGTTTGAATCTCCCTGTTGCCACTTTACTCTGTGACCAGGAGAGGTAAGTTAACCTCTCTGGACCCTGGTTTCTTTGTGCTGTAATTGGGAAGTCTAGCCTGACAGAGGCCAGTGCTCAGGAAGGCTGGCTGCCAGACTCTACATGTGAATGCTCTCTTAGCTTCTGTCACTCTGTGCCCTGGACCAGCCTGCACACTGGCAGGGACTAGCGGGGCCGGGAGGGAGTGGGTAATGAATGAGGACGGAGTGCAGTCTCTGGAAGTTCACAGCCCAAAATATAGCTGCAAGAGAAGCCAGCTAGACCCCACCTCAGGGCCTTTGCACTGGCTGTTCCCTCTGCCTGGAACGCAGTTCCTGCAAATACACACATGGTTTCCTCCTCCTTTCCCTTCTGATCTATACTCTAATATCAGCTTCTTGGTGAGGCCTTTCTGGACAACCTGCTTTAAAACTGCAACCATCTCCCCTGCTCAGGATGCTTTAAATTCCCTTTCTTTGTCTCCCTGGTACAAAATATGCCTTTTCACTTATTTATCTTGTTTAGCATCCATCGCCCCAACACAGCTGTCAGCTCCACAGGGGCAGGGATTTCGGTCTGCCCTGTTCACTGCTGTGTCCTTTGTGCCTAGAACAGCACCCAATACAAATATTTGCTGAATAAATACTCAAAAGCAAGAAATCAGGGTCCCCGAGAAAGTGAGGCCCCAGAAAAGCAAGTGGTCACTGTAGCTGGGAATAGAGATTTTCCGGAAGAAATGTTCTTGGAGACAAATTGCGAGCGATGGGGAGGATCTGATACACAGTAGTACAGGGAAGAGAACTGCAGGTGGAGTGAACAGCCTGGACAAAGGCATGGTGGCTGAAAAGCTTTAACAGGAAGTAATGTGGAGATCAGGGCAGCAGGGGGCAGTAGAGAGGAAAGGGAGGGGAGGTGGCCAGAGGCTAAAAGGGTAAACTTGAACCTGTGGATGGTGGGCAACCATGAAAGAGTTTTGAACAGGGAGGGGCTTGGTCATACTGCCAAAAGAATCTGATGACAGACAGAGGACAGCAGTCCAGGGGCCCAGTGGATCTTCAGCCAGGTCCTGGGGGACAGGAGCCTGAAGTTGGGGGACATCAGGCATCTCAGTGGCCTCAGACTCACCTCTGTCTTCTTAAATCGTGCCCGCAGGGTCTTCATGGCCAGTGTCAGGTGTTTCTCCTCTCCCCAGGCCACCTACAGAAGGCCAGGGGGTAAGGGACATCAATCCTGGTGGGCAGGAGAGTCGTCCGCCTCCCACTCCTCAAAAGTACCACTTCCTCCTCCCCGCTGGCCATCCCAGCCCCTAGAGCAGGACATGAACCTATCCTATCTTCTAAATGCTGTGTGTCCTTCAGCAGGTCACTTGCCCTGTGTTTTACATCTCTCTTCCATAAAATGCAGGAAATAATCCCCTCTTACCCAACTCGTGGCCAGTTTCCTGTGAGGTTCCTAGCATACAGCCTGGCAAACATAGGTGCTCAATAAATGTATTCCACCAGTATTCCCT